TGCGCAGGATACTAACGTAACAATCTGATCTACAACAATCTAATTGGTGGGATATTCTAGAGTAACAATCTGTTCAATTACAATCAAAAGTTGCGTAAGATACTAACGATTTCACCGATGGCATTGTAACGATGCGCGAGATACTAACGTTAGATTCTAATCAATTATGATCCAAAGATGCGTGAGATACTAACGTAACAGTTTAATCAACTACCCTCACAAGATGTGCGAGATACTCGCAAAAGGATCCGATTAATTACACAGTGAATCAGTCTAAAGACGAGCGAGAACTATGGTAACAATCTGATCAATTACAATCATTGGATGCGCGAGATACCAACAAAATAATCTGCTGATCAGCTACAATTAAAAGATGCGCAAGGCACTAACCTTGCAACACAATCAAAAACAATCAAAAGATACACGATGTAACAATCGGATCAACAACAATCAAAGAATGATTATATATGCAAGAGATACTTACGTAACAATCAGATCAATTTCAATAAAAAACTGCGAAAGATACTAACATAAAACTCTGATCAATTACAATCAAAAGATGCACGAGATACTAACGTAACAATCTGATCAAGTACAATCTAAAGATGCGTGATATACTTACATAAAGATGTGATCAGTAACTATCTTAAGATGTCCAAGATACTAACGTAACGAGCTGATCAATTACAATCAAAAGATGAGGAAGTTATCAACGTAAAAATCTGATCAACTACAAACAAAAGATGTCTGATATACCAACGTAGATACCTGATCGCAGTAAAATCAAGAGATGCACAGGATACTAACGAAATAATCCGATCTACAAGAGTAAAAGGGACATTCTAAACTGACTAACAATTTGTTCAACTACAATCAAAAGTTGCGTAAGATACTAACGCATCATCTGCACAACAACAATCAAAAGATGCTCCAGACACGTAATAATCTGATTAACCATTATCTAACGATGTGCACGATACTAACGTAACAATCTGATCAACTACAACCAAAAAGTTTATATTAACGTTACAATTTCGTTGATTGCAATGTGAAGATGCGCGACATACTACCGTAAGAATCTGATCAATTATAATCTAAAGATGCGTGTGATAATAACGCAACAATCTGATCAACTACAATCAAAAGATGCGCAATATACTACCGAAAGAATCTGATCTACTACAATCTAAAGATGCGCGAGATACTAACGTAACAATCTGATCAATTATAATCCAAAGATGCGCGAGATACAAACGTAACAATCTGATCAACTACAATTAAGAGATGCGCGAGGTACTAACGTAACAAACTGATCAACTTCAATCTAAAGATGCGCAAGATACAAACGCAACAATCTGACCAATAACACAATTAATCAAAACTATAACAAAATTCTCGAACTTGATTGGTTATCACCAGCTCGGTTTGAGCACTAATAGGACAGTGTACGCGTTATGCTTGTAATTGGACAGTGTTATAGGACAGTTAAAGGAACAATTGACACGTCATACCTATGTAAGTGGACAGAACGCGTCTTGAGCGCGCGTTGTTGTCTCGCATTTCGCTGAGTTAAATATTGATATTTTTATGAAAACGTATACCTGATGTCTAGTTTCTTTCTCAAATTTTATTATAGTTTTGATTAATTAGTAACAGGACTTCGTGTTGTCCAATTCTGTCTGTAATCATACTCTTGATTAACAAATTGACTCCACTCGGTCCTATTACCATTATTAATCATAACCATTACGATTTCCTCAAATGTGATTGGTGGATCAGCTGCATTATATTTCACTAATCACTCTGTACAGTTGTAATCGAACAGTGTAATCGGACACCTGTAATCGGAAAGTCGAAGCAGCCGATCATACTAAGTCCACTTTGCTAATTCCACCAATCACAGAATTGTTCATAATAACCATAGCAGCAACCACTTAACCCGGAAAAAAACCTGGGAAATTTCCAAATTATTTGCTTTAGACATTGTCCCTACTGGAGCTGTTTGTCCTGAATGTATTTTTTTCCGGAAATTATAATGGTTATGATTAATTGGTAATAGGACTTCGTGTCGTCTAATTCTATCTGGAATCATACAAGTGACTGACAAATCGGACTCCCTCTTCGCGGTCGTCCGATTTTATCAATCACTCGTAGGATTTCAAACCGGACTCCTTGGACTCCACTTGGTCCTATTACCATCATTAACCAAAACTGTAACAGAATTCTCGAATGTGATTGGCTATCACTAGCCCGATTCGAGCACTAATAGGCGGACAGTTTGTGTGTCATGCTTGTAGTTGGACTATGTAATAGGACAGTTAAAGGGAAAGTTAACACGTCATGCCTATGTAAGTGGACAGAACGCGTCATGAGTGCACGCTGTTGTCTCGCATTTCGCCGGGTTAACTGTTGATTTCAAGTTATGAAAATGTATAACCGATGTCTAGTTTCTTTCTCAAATTTTGTCATAGTTTTGATTAATTCGTAACAGTACTTCGTGTCGCCAAATTCGGTCTGTAGTCATACTCGTGATTAACAAATTGGACTCCCGCTTCACGGTCGTCCGATTTAGTTAATCACTCGTATGATTACGCCGAATTGTACCCCACTCGTTCCTATTACCATCATTAATCAAGACTATTACAAAATTCTGGAAAGTGACTGGTAATCACCACCTCGATTTGAGTACTGATAGGATAATGTACGCGTCATGCATGTAATTGGACAGTGTTATAGGACAGTTAAAGGGACGTACGGTTAACACGTCATGACTGTGCAAATTGACACAACGCGTCCTGTGCGTGCACTGTTGTCTCAAATTTCCCCGAGTTACCTGTTTTTTTTTCTTCTGAAAACGTATAACCTATGTCTAGTTTTTATCTCAAATTATGTCATAGTTTTTACTAATGGTAACAGGACTTCGTGCCGTCCAATTCTGTTGGTAATCATACTCCTAATTAACAAATAGGACACCTGCTTCGCGGTCGTCTGATTTTGTTAATCACTCGTTTGATCACGGACCGATCAACTACAATCAAAAGATGGGCGAGATACTAACGTAACAATCTGATCAATCATTATCTAAAGATGCGCGAGATACTAATGAAAGAATCCTATCAATCATTATCTAAAGTTGGGCGAGATACCAAGGTAACAATCTGATCAACTGATATCAAAAGATGCGCGAGATATTAATGTAACAATCAACTACAATCTAAAGATTCGCGAGATACTAACGTAACAATCTGATCAACTACATTCAAAAGATGCTCGAGATACTAACTAAGGAATCTGATCAACTATGATCAAAGATACACGAAATACTAACGTAACAATTTGACCAACTGCTATCAAAAGCAACAATATAGAGCATTGCTTCTAAGAGGAAAACTACCGGCCGGAAATTCAAGCAGCCACTTAATATATAAAACCCAGTGCTTCTGCTACTTGTAATTCCAGGAAAAGCATCCCACTCCTATGGAATTTGTCCCTAGGACCCTAAATACACACTGGCTGTCCACGTAAATTATGCTGATATATGCCTTGACTGAGCCTCTCTGCTTTTGGTGCCTCACTTGGCCCGGGGAGAAGGGGAGTCCAACTTCCCTTCGAAGGGTGGGGGGGGGGGGGGGACAGAACAAGCAGTCGATGAGTAGTAAACTAGTTTACTAACCCACCCTATTCCCCTAAATATTTTCAGGGAACCCCACACTGACTGATAGCTTTGTCCCTGTAAAATCTAGCGATCGTTACCGAGACGAATCCCCTTCATCAAAAACATTTTGCTAGCTGGGGGTGTTCTCCATCGCACGGGTAAACCAGGTACTTGGGTCTATCAGTAGTGTGCTGAGGGCACAAGCGTAGTGGGAGAAATTTTGTTTATTTTGTGAAACAGAGCCTTTCAAGCAGATAACCTGTGTACAGCCTTTCCCCTACGATTTCCTTTTGGAGGATGGGGGGCGGCTGTACACAGGCTATCAAGCAGAACGTCGTTAAAATATTTAATATTTACGCGGCAATCAAACGGTGAGGAAAGAAGATTTGTACCTCGGGATGCTGTGTGACGATCAGAATTCAGGATACTCAGAATACAACTATTATGACTCTCAAGTTTACATTTAAGCTGTATCTCTAGGTCTAAAGTACTGCTCAATTTATATATCCATGTGATTGGCACTTGGTAGTAAAAAAATATTTTGCTGTTTTTCACTGCGCCCACGATTGACAAATTGAAAATTTAGCGGCGACAGATTTGCCGAGATTCTTGGTGGATCAAAACAAATTTTGTCAGCCTAGTGCGCCTGGGACCTATGTGTACTGTAAAGTTCTTGTGACCTAAAATAGTTGTTTTTTTCCAATATTTAAACAGCTAGAAAACATTCAACAACATTCCACATTCAAATAAAATGTACCGAGGACACTCGACCAGTCCTTTTTTTAATCTCTGGTCTCTGATACAAAAAATTCGCTTCCCTCTTAAACCATCCTGACTCTGACTGACTGATCGACTATGATCGATTCCTACTCTGAGTATCTTTGATCGAGTGACAGCGAACTTTACGGTACACGTTAATTTATTCACTATTTGAAGCATGAATGGTTATGCCGGCCAACTTAACTCAGGGGATTAAATATTTGTTGTAAGAACAATAACGAACAAATGTCCACAAGAATATCACATATGAACAACAACGTACTTAATGCTGCCGATCAAATGATCCGGCATCCGTGACTGCCAAAACCATCACACGGACTTAAAGTGTAGGTCCATGGCAAAGTCAATACACTAACAAACACGTCCACTGATCGAAGTTGGACAACACAGTCATCAGGGAACTGATCGTGATAAACTCGCTGAAACGTTTCAATCAGGAAACCGACATTCAAGGCCTCTGGGACATCAACAAGTACGTCACGTAATGAACTTTGGGACATAATTATAAGTCCTTAACGACAGCAGTGTTTGTCACGCAACACCAAAGCACAGTTGGAAAGTGCGTCATATGAAGACAGCAGAGCAGAGGTTAGCGCGTTCATTTTGACATTTATCGGCCATGAACTGGAATTGGAAAGAAGATGAGTTCCTTGCTCTAATTTTCTAACAGGGGTAGGTGTTTTTCCTTTAAACACGCCGAGTTTCAGTCATTCGAACTGTTGTCATAAGTTAGAGGGCCATCGAACTTAGCTTGGTTGACGCTGAAATACAACAAAAACGACTGCAATTTCATCATTTCTTGATTTCTCGGGTGCTTTGAAGAAGCCCTCACTGTGGAAAATGCTAAATTAACATTATATTCTTCGGGATGTTTGGTAATAAGTAGAAGACTAACAAGCATACCTCACAGTCTTTTGAACCGTTGATAATTCACAAGAGGAGGGAAGACAGAGTGATGTGTCGTGATTTATTTACACAGAATGAAGGGTAATCTCGATTCATGCGAGGTGCTAATGATCAATACCTCGCAGGAAAGTTTCATCGAAATTTGCATTTTGTACGATTGATTTCAGGCCGTGTAACAATCAATGAGAACCAATGAGGTTTAAGTTGCTCGAGTTAAAATTGTTCATTGTTTTCCTTTTTCTTATCAAATAATTACTTTCGCCAAGAGTTTATGATGACGGCGACAAAGTCATGAAGCATGAAAAAAACATGGTGAACAAAGACTATTTGCATTGCGGTGAAAGAAAAAGTAAATTTATTTATTTTGCGACTTTAAAATGAACAGAAACTGAAGTCAACGAATTGACATTTTATTGTTTTTCGAGTTGAAGGCCGGAGATTCATTTCAAAGAGAGTTTGACTCAACAAGAGATCAATTAATCAGTTTGGAGTCCGTACTGACATTTAAAAAAATTTGGAGGAAATTGTTGATTCATTTGTTCTGGCTGAATAACGCGGAGGCTAGTCAAATTGCTAGCAGGTATCTCCAACAGGTACGATATCACATTAACGACTGTTATCTAAAAGCTCTTTGAATATACTTCCAAAATTATGATTCAAAGGCCAACATTGACGATCGATGACTCAGTGTTTAGTGTCTGCTTTTTCAGTTGTTAGATTTGGATCTAATTTGCAAAAAAGTTAAGCGGTCTTCCTATCAAGACTTATGGTGATAGAAACTCTTTCTTTTACAGAATGGCGGAGAGAAAAGCAATGCCGTCCTTTAGGAACAAAATCGCTTCTGAAGATAATATCCGTAGCAGTTTACAATCCAAACTTGTACAGAATGGTCACTTCACGCTGCAGACGAACGCTTTTCAAAACAAGCGCAAAGTGGAGTTATTTATTGAGTGTACAGACCTCGTACAACTGGACACCTTCTCGAGAACAGACCCCATGTGTGTGCTGTATGCGAAAAGACTCGGGCAATGGATGGAATACGGACGGACAGAATCCATACCAAACATGTCTCATCCAAAGGTATACGGTCCGCAATATGATATTAATTATCGATTTATCAATTTGTAGCACTTCGTTAGCATGCTCAGGGCGAAAAAGAAAAAAATCTATTTGACTTTTATTTACCTTCATGCCTCTATTTTGTCTTAAGGGGGCGACAAGTGACTGAATAACATGCTAAGTTAGCGAGAGGTTGAATAAGACATCAAAAAAGAAAAAAGAATTAAAAAACCTGCCACCTATATATTTATATAAGAAGCGAAAACAAAAAAGCCCCTTGCGGGCATGATAAGAAACAGTTTTTTTTTTCGTCATCGTATTCAATTTTAGATGTTTGTTATTTTCATCCCGATCACATCGAATGACGATATGAATTTTCGAGCAAGTTAACCTTCTACAGTTATTATGCGGTCGCAGTGGTTTTCCAAGAAAAATGTGAGATTTATCATCCAGTTAATTAGCGTAGGTCGGCTCTCAAGAAAAGATGATTACTGAATATCAAAAGAACTCACCTTTATCCCTCTAGTTAATTAAAAACTCTGCTCCTTTTGATCGCCAAAATGTACTTTTTTAATTTTTAAAAAATAACGCAAAAAGAAAAGCGAACTGTGAGATGTAGTCATGTAGTTTAAATTCTCTTTTATTCATTACTTTTTACGCAGTTAAACGCGTTTATTTGGTACCTATCGCGCTCCACTCAGGATTAAACACCGCCAAGAGTAGGAATCCTTTCATTTTGAATGTTAAACTGTCGGCGCTCTTAGATTTTCATCAATGTATGCGATTAGGAGAGGATAATCCTCCCTTTGAAGCCATATTTTGGGGTCTTCATTTCGAAGTTATTAATGTATACTGTATTATGTAAATAGCTCTCAGGTGGAGGTAATTATAAGTTGCTTTGTCCAAACTGTTGGCAGGCCATGACTTGCATTTAGGTTCCGAGTTTTTTACGTTTATTTTACATATCTACGATGTTCTCTCTAAATCTAAGTCATTATTTTAGCTGGTAAATAATGGTAAGGTGGGCAAAATATCTTTCGTTCCGTTCTAGAGAAAACCCACCAATAGTTGTTTCCGCACTGTCATCCATATCGTTCGACATTAGTAAACTCTCCGACAATGTAAAGCCGTATTCAAATAAGCAACATTTCCTTGGAAACTTCACTCTTAAAGGAAAAATTCAAGTCTAATACACTTGTCAAGAAACTGATTTGCTGGAGAAGATCAAGTTTCCTTGTCGACTTATTTTTTCAAGTCATTCAAGCAAGCAGATTTCGTCTGCGACAATTTTTTACTGAACACGGGAGTTTGACAGGCTAAAGCAGTTTTTATCCTCACCACCAAACACAACTTTTAAGGGGAAATCTTGTCACACAAAATTGACTCGATAATTTGACTATTAAGAAAACTTGCGGATACGAATTCACTCCGTTTTGCCAATACCTATACCCTCTATCATTCCTTTGTTCCCCCCTTTCTTGGATATTGCTCTCTAAAGTTTTTAACGGGTGTACTTCAATCTCAATACCACAATAATCCGGCCGAGATCTGTCCTCTTCCACCGTCAGGAGTGTAAAAACAAAAAAAAAACAACAACAAAAAAATACAAATAACGGACGAGATCAAAGAACGTGAAATTGGACAAACCGAACTAAGTCTTAAAAAACGATGTTCTTTCACCTGAAAACTGTTTTCATGGAGAGATAACAATAAATGACGTTTTATTTATTATATTTCTTTTGTTTCAAGTTTTGTATCTTTATTAATTGATAGCAAGATCTTCGAAGATTGTATTTTTTATCTCATTTGTAGCATGTTTTAATATTATCTCTATTTTTCTTGTAGTTTGTAGAAACATTTATCATTGAGGCCAACTCTACGGTTTATCCGAGGTTAAGGTTTTCAGTGTTCGACTTGGCCAACTTTACATCCAAAGATCTCCGTAAACACGATTTTGTGGGCTCGATTGAAATCGAGCTCGACACATTGTTAGAATCAAGTTGTGGTACGTTGATAAGAACACTGAGAGTGCCAGGAGACGTCAAGTCACGTGGTTATATTCACATTTACGTGGACGATGTGAGAGATGATAAAACAAATGTTAGACTTCATTTTGGCGCCACAAATCTGGAGAAGAAAGGCCTTTTAGGAAAATGTGATTCGTTTTTTGAGGTTAATCGACTTCTTCCAAGGAGTAATCATCATCACCCAGTTTATAGATCTGAAGTGGTTACAAGGACAGCATGTCCCAAGTAAGTAGATTCATGGTGCATTTTTTCGTGAATTCATCTCATTCCTTCCTGCGTACTTGCATCGTTGACCCAAAGCTCACTCATTGTCGAAGGAACCCGAAAGGCTGATTGGGGGCTGGGTATGAGCGATGAACTTCATTCCAGGAGCAGAGAGTATACTCCTAGTTGCTCTATGCTAAGTTATGAAACCTTCGTCTGCTAAACGAGAATCATTTGTGCTATCCGACCTCGTGTATGGCAATTACAAAGAAAATCCACCATCAAAGATAAGTGGCGTTTCTCTATGGGTGGGAAGTGAGGCCCAGAGCTGTGATCTTATTCTTCAAGTAAAGACAAAATTATCTTAGAAAACTGATATAAAGGTGGCCACACTAATGGCCTTTTTATAGAAGCCCGGGCTTATTTCGTAGCTCGGAATGAATCGCCGCAAAGAACAACACTTTAGACAAGTGTGGTTGGTCATAATCTGGTGCACATGCAATTTGTTTACCTAGAGACTGAACCAGGTCGGTCTCTCTGACGATGAAAAACCAATGATAATGGCTTGTAAGGTGGTGAAGAAATCTAGCTAAAAACGGAATGGTGAAGTGAAAACATAAAACAAAACAGAACAAATTAAAAACGAAAACAAAACAAAAGATGTAGCAAGCATGGTTGTGCGAGTAAAAGTACTGACCCAAGTTAGCGTTTGGGCGAGAATTAATCCATATGTCGGCCTGGGTTACGACAAGGGTTACCTGCTAAGGGCTGGGGGTCGTGTTAATAGGACCCGGCTTCTCCGCTTTCGCGGTTATTTTAGAAGAGTTAAACAGCAATCTGAAGTGTGAAAAAGGGCGCCGCTATTGGGTTACTAACAACATTCCGCAGCGAGGTTTTTTTTTTTGTTATAACTTAATCTAAAAAGCATCAATCCTACCGTTGAAATTCATTGTAGATGGACGGGTAACTTGGTAGTTAAGAGAAAAATTATTGTAGGCGTTTATCACGACATTGTAAATCACTTCGTTGTTGTTTCAAATTTTCTTTTGCGCCCAAGAAACTTTCTTAACGTCTACTCGGGTTTACTCTCTACTTGCACATGATCAGTATTGACCACTATTTTTTTCAGGTGGGCGCCGTTGGATATTAGTTTACAGAAGTTGTGTAATGAAAACATTGATGGACAGCTTGTGCTAACGTGTTGGCATTTCTCTAACACTGGTAACCACACCCTGGTGGGGGAAGCCAAGTTACCATTGAATTTACTTCTTAAGAGGTAGGGTATGAAATAATGTGCGAATGTTAAAAGAAAAACAAAATACAAAAGCATGTGCTCAATACCTGGCCGGTAAACCCACTCCTTAGCTGAACTAACACTGTCCCCCACCACCAATAGCACTTCTACCTTCTCTCAGCTTCAAAGAAGCTTCACTCGGTCAAGGGTAGAGATACGTCAGACTTATGGTTTACCTATGCAATCGTTGACTCTGGTTTGAGATCGTTGACAGGTGCTCTCTCCTCGGGATAGTTTATCTTCGCAGTATTTCATAAACATATGTCAGTTAGTTTTAGTAAACAAACACTGTTTAGAACAAGTATCCCGTAACAAAAATTGAAGCTTATGTCAAATTAGTGCACAAACTAAGGTTTGCTTCAAAAGGTACCGGTCGTTAAGGTTATGTGGAATTTTTTCAGCGTAAAGGACTTATTAGCAATATGTGGAGATAAAGCTGTATTCACGAAATGATAGCGCAATCGTTTATCCTCTAAGAAAACTATTTCAGCTTGATTTTTGTTGACATTGCTGAGGAGCGTTACAAGAGGAACTACATGCGTAAAGAACGCGACTCCACGCGCGTCTTCCCCGCAAGGGTTAAAATCATTAAAATTGACATTTCCATTATTTGGTTCTCTCCACAGAGCAGTCAAACAAGTGGATATAGTGAATCCAAAGAAGCAGATTAAAAATAAACGCTATTCAAACTCTGGGATTCTTCGTATTCTACACTGCTACGTGGATAAACAATTTAGTCTTATTGATTACGTCAGAGGAAATTGCGTCATCAGAATGGTATGCGCCATTGATTTCACCATTTCCAACGGTCCGCCTTTGACCCAGGATTCCCTGCATACGATGGACGAGGAGAAGGTGAGAAGATGACGCTTGTAAGGGGATTCATAGTAACTCCTAAGTTAAGGATTGTGCATCAAAGGTAGATGCTTTTTTTTGGTGACGAACAGAACGTAAAGTGTTACGATTGGTATTGTTTGTCTTCCTATCAAAATAGTGTCACTTTTGGTTTATGCGACACGCATACAGTGTTTATGTCTTTCTTGCCGAGAAAGTGAGAGTTCTCGATATTTACCGAATCTTATCAAACACCTTTTTCCATGATCGAGAGAATAGACATGATTTCCCAAGAAGGAAGTCCTATACTAGAATCTTAAGAACATGCCACGTTGTTGTTGCTATCGTGCGTAATCACTTTTTTTCCGGATAGTGATTGAAATGGGCCCTTTGCATTCCAATTCCACTTAGCTATTGCTTTGATTACTTATCTCGGATATTTTTTAAATGAGTAATCAGTCCCTGTTGTGGCTCCAAAGATTGCCATAATAAAGCCACTCTGTGCTGTGTAAGAGTACTCTGTGATACTTTTCCATGGTTTCTTTGCCGCCCATACCTTAGAGAAAAACTTCTCCGGGTTCTCTTACGAGTAAAAAATGGCACACTACCACTGAGTGTCTATCGTTAGCCTGTGTGGCTCTTTTGAATCAGACTTACAGTTTTGTGTGCCCTAAGTGAAAAGTGGCTAGAGCAGGAGAGGAGAGAAACCACTGGCAGTCTTTATAAATCTTTCTTCTGTCTCAAGTCTCACGTGCGTTAGCTGCTCATTATTGCTTTAGTGCGCACAAACCCGCCAGCCACGCAAGCCAGTCTCTTGCCCTCTTTTTCGCTCGTCTCCACTGACTAAGGGTGGGGACCTTTGCCCAAATGAGGATGGATCAGTAAATATTTCGTAATGACATAAGATTTCAATCTGTGGTTCATTTAGAATGAGTATTCTCAGACCTTGAAGTCAATAGGGAAGGTTTTATCAAGCTTCGAGAAAGATAAGAAAATTGCAGCGTATGGATTTGGAGCCCAGGCCTGCTCAACAGGAGCGCTACCTTATATGTTTGCTCTTGATAGTGAAACAGGAAAACCTGAGCTGGAGAATGTAGAGGTACTAATATGAATTTTTACTGTTCGGTTTCTCATTATACTCGTTACAGCCTCATTCATTCAGTCAGTCAGCTAGTTAATTACTCAGTCATTCCGTCCGTCCATCAGTCTTTCAGTTGATTTACTCCTTAATTCGTGTGTGATGTCTAGTCAGTCAGTTACTCTGTCGTTCACTTAGTCAATCTGGCAGTCGGGCGGTCAGACCATCAATCATTCATTCAGTCAGCCATCAGTCAGTCATTGAGTCCGCCAGTCAATCAGTCAGCCAATCAATCAGTGCAGTCAAGGCGGCCAGTCAGTTTACCGGTAACCAGGAAGGTGAGTGAGTCAGTCAATTAATCACTGACTGATCAGCCAGTCAACAGTCAGTCATTCCCTCGCCCAAAACGTCAGTCAATAGATGTGTCAGTGAGAGAATCAGCTTATCAGCTCAGTCATCCAACCAGTCAGTCAGCCACATAGGATTTCAGATTGTACCTGTGCCAATGTCAACATACACATTAATCACGGAGTTATCTCTCTTCCTTGTGTCAGGCTGTTGTTGACGCCTACTGGAAAAGACTGGAAGACGTCAAGTTGGGCGGACCCACCCATCTTGCGCCCATCATCCAAGGGATAGCGGCATACGCCGAGAAAGAAGTATCCCAGTGTTCTCAGCATTACACAATAGGACTTGTTATTGTTGACGGCATCGTCAATGACGTAGACCATTTGATAGACGTGTTAGTTGATGTGGAACGGTCGCCTCTCTCTATAGTTGTTGTAGGCGTTGGGCCCGCAGATTTTAGATTAATGGTAAGAATTTCTAACAGATTATTCTTTCAGCTTGTAAGAGTTTTCTTGGGAAAAATTTTGAATACTGCTTATAGGAGTGTGACTAGCTTCATCTAAAGAGATGAACTGCTAAAGAGAGCAAAAAGAAAGCGTTCAGAATGAGGTCAATGTGAAGTATAGTTGGAAGTTTTTCTTTACTTTTGATGACTCTTCTTATCATTAGAATGAACTTTTTTCAAGAAATAGAAGACAGCTAAGATCTAAAGGAGGAAAGACAACGAGTCGCATAAACACAGACTTTTTGTCTCTAAGAAGACACGCTGCAAATCCAGGAGTCAATGATTCAATGGTAAGACGTCTTTCATTTGAAGGGTTTGCGATGTTTTAGCACAACGCACTATAGCTATATCGAAAAAGTGAGTGTCTAAGGTAAAGAAAGCGGCAGCAAAAATCAAGTAATGGATTGCTTTGAAAGAGTCTGAAGATAAGAGAGTAATGAAAGGAAATCATCAGCTCTGGTTGGTCTGATGTTTCAAAAGGCTGCTCGAGTTCTTATTTGATCTAACTTAAACGCAAAACAGTTGTCTACGATTAAAGAGGTGCAGTCTTTCGTAAACGTCACTTTGGTTCAAGATGTTAAAGTAAAAAGCGAAGATGAATCGAGACGCCAACTTTGAAGGACATGAAGGTAAAAATTAAGTGCGCATTAAGTGTGCGTAAATTTTGACTAAGGGGAAGAAAATTATTTGGAAAATCAGTTCCAGTGATTTTATCTCTATTATTATGGGTTTATCTAGAAAAATCGTTGTTTGCTTTTGATATCGTATCTGAATTTCGTTTTTCAGGCGCGAGATGTATTTGCAAACATTTCACAACAAATTGTGACATTTTTCAAGTCCAAAGGGATAGTTCCCAACCTTCCAACGAAAATGAACGTTATGGAACCATTTGACGACTGTAATAATTTATCTGATGCGTCATCAAGACCTTCCTCACCACGCGTGCGTAAGATTTCATCACACATCGCTGCCAGATGTCCGACTTGTGGCTCTGTGATTGACCGCGACCCATTCAACATGCTCTCACTGTAGTAAATTTTGACGATCTTAAGGGCTTTTCAAAGATGCCCCTGAAGAACTGAAGACGTTTAATAAGACACGCTTAAAACCTTGATTTCCTTCACGATCTTTGTTCATGGCGTTGTTAAGTGATCATTTCCTTTTCGTGGTACTCTACTCTTTCAAAAGGCCGGATCCGCTCTATTCAAGGCTCTTTTCATTGTTCAATCATTGTTCTTGCTTTAATTTAATCCAATTAATAGGTTTTCATCTTCTGTTTTTTAGAAATTTCTTGTGCAAAAAAAAATTATCTTTTACTTTTAAAGTCTATTTAAATGCAATAAAATTTAATTTATTTATTAATTTAATTCGCAATAGCCTGATTTACTAAATTTTAAATGAATTATCAGTTACTTTCACTGCGGAACGAGATCAGACTTGGGGCGAGTTGTTCAAAGGGAGGATAGCGCTATCCAACGAATAAACAGCCATCCAGCGGATAAGAGTTATAAAAACGTACTACATAGATGGAGATTCATCAGGTGAATAGCGTTATCCATCCTTCGCACAGCCGGAGCCAGCTGCTTTTGACACCTAAAGGAAAAGTGACGGTAATAACATCGTCGTCATCATCAAAATAAAAACAATAGCGTGCCGCACTTTACTTACTAAAATTTTAGGTTAAAAAAAACAACAACAACAACAATAACAAAGTTTTATAACGTCTACTGGTAATTCCATGCGTACTTGAATATCAATTGACTTCGGGTAAAATAAGTTCAAAACTTGCTGAAAAACTGTGTTACTACGATTGTTTTAAGATTTCCCATCAGAAATAGAAAAAGAATAGGATGCGTGCTCGACGAGCCTGCATAATAAATGGTTTCTGTTAGATTACGTATTGTGTTTAAAATAACTACGAAGCCAACACTCAGGTGACGCCGAAATCTGTTGAAGAAATAAGAACGAAAAAGTACACCAAACTCTCTCAAAGAAGGAACCTTTCCAGATATCGCGAGACGATATCATGTGACGTTCTCGCGTGCGATTTCTTCGGCGGTTATGCGTAACTCGCAGTTGCCCAATGTTTACACTTTGTCTTACAGTGTAAACATTACAGTTAAACATGTTCAAGAGGAAGTTATAATCGAGGATGAAATTTAGGGAGAAATAGCGTCAGGCGTGACGGAAAAAAAAGATGATCAATATTCTGTGACATATATTTTTGGTAAAGCAAAGGAATATTGCACAGGAATCACATTGAACGGTCAACCACTACCTAGCAGCCCTTGGTGTGTCCAAGGGCCTCCACACTGGTATGAGTCAGCCTACCAGTTCGGGTACCAGAGGTTCAATCAAGTATGACAGTCAGTAATGTCACCGAGGCTGTTACAGTTACAGACTCTAATCATTCTAGAGTACAGCTGTTCAATTCTAATGGAAAATTAATCGAAGAGTATGACTTTGAAAAACATAACGGCAAACCCACTTCAGTAGCTTTTACAGTGTTCAACAATGACGGTGATTTCTTCTACGATATTGGCTCTAAAAGATCCAGCGATGAGCAAACTAAAAAACTCTACTGATCTTGCTATTGACAAGTACAACAACCTAATAGTTCGCGACAACGGCGAAAAAGAAAAGTTTCTACTTTGGATGGAGGATTTCTCAATTTGGTAGGGTAAGATAATAATAGACCCCCATCATCAGTTGCTACTTCTAGTAATGGTCTGTAATTATCTCAAGGGACAATGTCGAAGCTGACCTTTACAAGTAGGCTACCTGGCCAGGGGGAAAGGGAAGACATAAAGAAGTCAAATTTGAGGACTTTCGGGATTCAGTTGTTGCCCAACTGAGTACACTTTACAAATAAATCAAACTCTCTTTCCTCTCCCTCTGAAGATGGAAAGTTTCAATGGGGGTTGCACTGAATCTAGGTCAAGAACCAATCTCGAAAATTACAGGTGCCCTATATTATGTAAAAGAAAACAGTTTTAACGTTTTCTTCCATGACAATCCTCCTACAATCAATGGGTGCTCTGATAATAAGAGAACTCTGATGTGGAACGTGATGGTTAAAGAAATCGCACTATTCTTGGAGGTAAAATTAAGAACTTAAAAACTTCAAGATTTATTATTCATGAGCAGATTTGAATCAAGGGGACTGTAGAGAAAAATAATAAGAATGAATGGCATTCTTGTACTGAATGCAAACTTCATGTTCAAGTTTTGTGACATTTCTTGGAAACAATGTAGATATCTTTATATAAAAATGGAACTTTAAATGTATGATGAATAAATACTAAAAATAAAGATTTCATAAGGGTCAGTCACTCTCTCAATTTCTATCCACCATTAAAATAACTGGAGATAAGGTGTTTTTAAGAAAGAGAAGAAGGGGGGGGGGGGGAAATAAGTGTCATTTCTCGGTCAAAATATTGCACAAATTCCATTTCCCAGTCTTTTTTTGTCCACATCCCAATAACAACTTTTTCTTTTAAAAAGAGATTGCCAGTGATACCAATCTGTCTTTCTCAGTTCCAGTCCCAGCATCAGGCCCTCGCGATAAGCTATCACAATGATGCCACACTCTCTTTGTTCAAAATTATCAAACAATTGATACAGACCAAGGATTGACATAGTCATAAATACTCAACCTTTCCTTTTGTTCTTTGAGTAAGGACCAGACCACAATGTGGCAAAATAACAGCCCTTTTCCTCTCTCATTGTTTGTTTCTCTCTTCCGTTACTCGTTTCTTAGCTCTTTTTTTCTCCATACTAATCAATGTAAAGCCACATTACACACTTGTATTCATTTCTTCAAACCCTGCACCCTGTCCCTCAAGAATCGGTTCCACTTCTCTTTTGCTCCCAATCTCTTGTGTTTCTACTGCACTGCGTAACAATCGAGGGCCAGAGATGGCAATTCCCACTGCGCCAGTTGGAGCAGTGAGGAGAATGGACAGCACAGCTATGGTTAGGATCTACAGAGCAGTTAAAAAAAGCTTCTAAGGATAAAGTACACTTGACCAGTTTAAACTCTGTTGTAATTAAGATTTACAAAACTAGACCATGCAATTTTGCCCAATAACCTAGTTTTTTCTCTTGACTGTGAAAGAGAAAGTATGAGCCATGGATTAACAATTCTGCCAAAGCAGGTGAAAGGGAGAGAAAAAGACTCATTATATTGATTGGTACAAAGAGGAAAGGTGAAGGCTAGGCTATAATACTGACAACTTCATTTAGGTTCGCTATTGTTACCCAGTATTGGAAATGTACCTGAATTCCAAGTTCCTCTTGATGCAATCCTGTGAAACCTCGTTCCCTAGCAATATCCAGTGATACTGAGCCAATGGCAGCCTTAAAAAAGACATGTCAAGGAATTCTGTCACTGGTTCATGTTAAAGAGCTGATGTTAAATTTGACTCTAGGAAGAACAAATTACTTTTTATTCCATTAAAGTTTACAATGTACCTGCACCGTTGCTTTTGGAGACCAAGCTATGGCAACAAAAATCTTGTCCCTTATGCTGAGATTATTTCCAGATACAACAAAGAATGTTACAATCAGTCTAATTATCATTGCTATGGTGAGTAAACCAAATGCTTTTCCTGAAACAAACATCAAACAAGAAGACAATTGAGGAAAATTGTTCACAATTCATGATCAAATGGTAGGGATGTGAGACCAAGAGGTTGCAGAGAGACTGCTGATTAAAGCACAACCCCATGTAATAAACATTTGGAGAAGACTTTGATTATGTTCTGTTTTGTTTTCTTGTCAAGTCTTTGCTTTGATTTAAAGTAAAAGAAGTTCTGCTTTGTTTTCTTGTCAAGATGCCCCTATTTTCTAGATACAGTGTACTATTGTTCACAGTTTGAATTAATTACTTGGCTAGCATTCCTGATAAACCAGTTTACAATTGTGCACCTGAGTTATGCCCTTATAATGGTACGCCCATTAATTATCAAGGTAGTTGGAGTAAGGAGATCAATGGAGTTAGATCAGACTTTCTTTTTACATAAGATTAAGTTCCAGTTACATAATGTTGCAGTTTCTCTAAGCCCTTAAAGACAGGATCAGTCATAAGTTCCAGCCTATTGTATTTAATCTTAGCTAATTTTCTTTTCAATTTCACTTATTTTGTGATTAGCCTCTGCCAATTTTTTAATCTTGTACATTGCAGTTTCCCCTTTTAATTTCATGCATGTGTATGATATTCAGGTGATAGCATTATATCTTGTTGAATCAACTTGTGTTGTTGATTCCTACACTGTGGTTGACACTCCCCGAACTCCAGTGCACAACAACCCATTGTCAGCTGCACTGGGTGCATGACACCCCACACTATAAATTCTTACTGAAAAACTGTCATGAGTTACAAACTATTAATCTTACACTCTTTGCATGGCCACATTGTCAGGGTGCCAATTCCAACTAGCACTAAAAGGTACCACCATAACAATCACTACAGTTTGGAATTAAATTACCATGATAAAGGGGAACAAAGACCTACAAAATCAAATCTGATATGCTTCTAGAGAATTTCTCTGACTGATTGTGGAAGAAGCAGAGAAAAGAAGTGCAATGTTGGATGGTGGCATCAGACGGTGAGTATTATTAAAATTTGGGCATTATTCACAAAATCATGTTCCCAAGACCTACCAATAAGTGTGCTATCCATGTATTCAATACTGACTTCTGCACCAATTAAACCAAACAGCAGAGGCTGAAAGAATTCCCAAACTACAGCCATAGCATCAGCAATTGGAGCCTGGAAAAACAGTTTGCTGTAATAAATGCTTTTTACCTTCCCAAACACACAAATTAATCCTTAAAACTTATATACAGACAGGTGAGGCTATCATCATTCAGAGCAAGCAATTGGCACAATTGCTAACCAATAGTTACATACATGTATACTTCTTAGTTCTATATTCAAATGAGTGCAACTGTTTATAATATTATTATACCCTGTACACTGCTTGATTCATTTTAATGCCCATTGGCAGATGCAATTTGGTTGAGCCCACAAAATTTTGCACTTAAGACTGAAACTATTTGTACTTTGAGCATGAGAAAGCACCAAACTGTATTAAATAAAATTAAGATTTGTGAGCTAGAGAGAACTGAATTAAACACAATGCTATGTGACAATAAAATTAAGATAACAGACCAGAATGATAGTGTACATGTATGTTGCCATGGTTGATTTCAAATCTAACAAAGGCTTGATGTGTACTGTTCACTAACCTTCTCAATGTCTCCCCAACCATGTGATGCTACTGTAGCTAGAACAAGAACACCGAGGGCTCCTGCTCCTGAAAACTGAGCCATATTACTACCAAACACTGAGAACATGGCACAGCCAAGGAGAATCACAAATCTGTTACGTGATCTGTCTTGCTGACAGTAGAAAAAAATGGTGCACAGACATGTAAATGACAATAATGCAAATATTTCTTAGGAGCCATTGGTTGGTATAATTTAACACACAACAAGATTGCGCGTGTAACACATAGGTGGGTAAATGGTGACATATAAACTGCAATTCAATTATCATCTTCTTAAAGTTTGAATAAAGCTATGATTTTCTCTTTGTTAATTGAAAAATGACCCATTGCCTGAAAAATGAAGTTACCAAGTATTATAACCATGATGATAGTTTGAGAATATCATGCTGAATCCAGCATCATGAGCACTCGATAAAAAAAACACTTCTGGTATATCAACAGTGGGGAGAAAGCTACAGGCGACCGGTAAAAACTGACTTAATTTCACTATCATTTTGTTGGTGTGTAAATACTTTACCTCGTATTTGTTTGGTAAGAACCAGCACAAAATTCCAACCAAGCTTCCAAATACAGCACCCATTAACAGCTCAATAGGACCTCTGAAGATGTTGAACACTATGTTTCCTAACCACAGTGTAAAACCACACACATCAGCTACAGAAATATTAATTACCAAAACACACACCATTAGAGGTATGTGCCAATTACTTATTAATGAGGACAAATTCAACAAAGATGACACTTTTCCAAAGCACATGTAGGAGCACTATAACTAACCTTCTGAAAATGCAATTCCAAGAAAAACTCCAAACAAACTTATAGCAATGACATCATCAAATGATGATGCAGCCATAACTAAAGTGGGGATTCCTTGTTCAACACCAAAACCTCTCTGCTGCAAAGTGAGAAGCTGGGGAACTACAACAGCTGGTGTGACAGCACCAAGAACAAACCTGAAAAGGAAAGGAATTCATAATCAGCAAACAATAAACCTACATGAAATACCTTAACATGAGCTTAGTGGCCATCCTTCTGAAGTTTATCTAATTTTCTATTGAGACCAGACCACAAACTGGGTGTGTTGTCATTTAATTGCACCCAAACCATTTCTGCACCAATTATGTAGTTAACCCTTTAACTTCCAGAGGTGATCAACAAGTAACTTCTCCCTATAATATCTATACATCATCCAGCAAACAGGTAGTGAGAATACTCAAACTTATCAGGTAGAAGTTGTTATCTTGATCAATCACCTAATTCTTGTAACCAAGTAACAAGGGGAGAAAAAGGTAAGATCTTGGGAGTTAAAGGTCTATGTGATGTAACTGTCTGCACAATGCCTGGAAGATGGAAAGGGCTTTTCCTCTGGAGAGAGGTTCTCCAATTATGATACTTTATTTGAAGAGCACAATTCCCTCTGATATCCAATTGGGTTTTACAAAATTGTACAGGAAATTAATTTAATTTAACTAAAGAACACTGAGGAAAAATTAAATTTAAAAGCTTGAGGAAATTTTCTGAGGTAAAATCTCTTATTGTGGTAAAATGTTTAACTCTATCAAACAAACTGCTCCTGGAATAATTTTAAACATTGAAATATGTTTCTCATGGTGTACATATTCTAATTGATCACATGCCCCTTTATCCTGGATAGCACTGCACTCATTTCAATCAATGTTTGATATAAAAAAAACCCTGTTAGTCTTAAAAGCGGCATTTGCAGCGGCTCGTCTAGCGCTTGCGGTCGGATATCGCTGACACTTACCCAAGTTGAAACCCCCAAAGCCAAGGCATGTTTAATAACAGTTTACCAACAACAGCCACCGTGGTGGCCTCTCCAATACATGGGCAAAAAGCCAAGCGAATTACAGTGAATTTAAGCCGCCGCAAAGCTCCTGGGTCCAGTTCCAAACCTGATCGCGTAAGAATTACAACAAGCGCCATACTGCGCAAAGTTGCTGACCATTTCTTGTCAATGTGGCGCGCTACATTGATCCCTGGCACATTACGTAAAATGAATCCGACAACAAGCATTCCTAGTAGCGAAGGCAAGGTGCCTTTAGAGATTTTTCTGGTCATAAAGCCACCTAAAGCGGCAAGCACTATCACGTTGAAAATTCCGAAGATGTTGCCTCCTGGTAGAAGTTCAGCACCAAGAATGGACCATAAAACTGCCCAGCTGAGGATGACAATCACAGCACGAGTCAAAGTTTGTCCAAAAAACCCTGAAGGAGGAATAAAAAGTCCAATAAATTGTAAAACTCTGGCTCTTTTGCTAGTTATAGCAGCTTCTTGGTTTCGAATTTGCAAGTTGTTTTCGTCCGCCATGATGAAAATCTGCTTTTAAACATCGTCAAACATGAAGTATTAAACGTTACTTTCAGAAGCTGCTGACTAGCCGCTAACGATGCGAAGAAACAAATAGTACAAAAGAACAACAAAACAATTACCCGGTACGTCGTTCACGTGATTCTTGAAACCGAAATGGACGCCGTGTCTCGCGGAGTTAAAGTGCAGCTCCCCAATTATTTGAGATCCCTGCCAATCCCTTCCACATTTGGCGGATTTCTAAAGCTTTCTGGCAGTGAATGGGTGCAGCTTGTACCATTGGTGGTGACAACCTCTGTGGCTGTGTACCTCGTAGTTTCAGCTCTGATTCCATCGAAGCCAAAAAAAAAAGAACATGAGTGGGTGAACAAGACAATAGAGAAGGAGAAGGAAAAAGTTGCTGATACATTTCAAATTGAAGACCTAGGAGACAAAATGGTTTGTTGCCGTTGCTGGAAATCGAAGAAGGTTAGTGCTTCTACCAGAACCAGAGGTAAAATGGCAGTGAGGTCTGACGAGAAACCTTTTGATCTATAGGGCCCCTCCCTCGGACATGGAAATCGGTGGGGGCGGGGGGGTAAATCAGCTTTCAAAATTGTTTGACATACCAAATCAAGGCTTCCAATGCAGCGTTTAGTCAAGGACAGTGTTGATTTCAAAATCACATTTTGAAAGTCACAGACAAAATTTACATTACTAATCAGTGAATATTATATGTAATATGTTTTTGCTGGGATGGAATTCTGATTGCGTGGTTTTAAAACAACTGGGGATGACAAACTTATTTAGTTGTGCTGTACTTATAAGTTACACCAATAATACCCAAATAACAACTGCATTCTTCTGATTGAGGATTTCAGTATTATTTTACTGGAGAGTGTCTTTTATTAGTAATTTTGCTTCCATCACTGGTGCTCAATGAAGGGTAGCATTTATCAGAGGGTGGTATTTAATCAAGTTATGTTGTAAGTTACTTACAAAAAGTGATTTCTCCTTGAGTATATGAATTTTTGAGATCTTTGCCATGTTCTGTGCAGGCATCCTGATTTTTCTCGATTTTGATTTTCTTACAAAATATATTATCATTTTCATGGTATTTCTCACAGATGTTTTAGGATATTATTATTTTTTCACCATGTTATACTTTTATATCAAAGTCAACAATCAGGTCACTTTGTTTTGTCTTCTTATTTTTTCAGTTCCCTTACTGTGATGGTAGCCACAATCAACACAACAAGGAAACTGGGGACAATGTGGGTCCTATTATTGTCAAGAGAGCAAACCCTTCCTCTTGAAAGAGATTCCTCTGTGCCTTGCAAAATGTAATCTTTTGTGCTCAGCCAGCAAGTAGTTTTAAGTAGACAGTCTAAAGTAAATGTCAAATTTTGTAGATATTCCATTTTTAGTGTGCAAGTTGCATGGATTGATTCCCTTGGCTAGGTGTTGGGTTTTTTCAAAATTTCTCTGTTTGTTCAAAGATCAATGTATCAATGTATTTTAGATACGGATATTTTGCATTTGACAAACACTTTCCATTGTGAAGCTACTAATTATTTTTTCAACTGAATAAAACTGATGTAGACACTTCTTTGTTGACTTATTGTTCCATGTGGGGTTTTTTTTAAGAAGTAATATGAACATAGATACAATCTTGTTAGTTAGGCTTTCATTGTTTGTGGGGCAGTGACTACTGTTACTATATGTTATGGATTCTGAATTTATGATTCAATTTGGAATGGGTATCTTTTGAGGCCAGTGATTAGGGATTTTATGAGTTAACTTTTGTAAAGTTTTAGCCACCATGGTATTAATCCAAACTCCAAATTCATCATAATAAAGGGGGTAAGTTTCTAAAGAAACTTTGGTGCTGCATCAGTGGAAGAGTATAACAGGGTTACTTAGTATTATCAACTGAGTTGATAACATAATTGGCCACTGTAAAGAGTTTCAAAGCTGACCTTTGAGTGTTAGCCCTACGTCAGAGCGATTGGAGGATTTGTGGGTTGTGTGTGTGTTTATATTCAGAAAGTGGAGCTATGCTATTGGTGGGGATATGGTGATGAGAAAACTAGAATAAATTAGAGAAAGATGTCTTTTTTGTCTTGTCACAAGTGTGGGACAAAGAAAAAATTCTGAGTCCTCATGAGGAATCAAACCTCAATAATAAATTAGTTGAATGGAAAGTGCCTATTGATGGCATGGGCATCGATGATGCCAATTTGAAAGATAAATTTTTGTTCAACAGTTTTGTGGTTTTCCAAACTGCCCAGATGTGAGGAAAGTTTGCAAACTGCCATATGCTGTTTAGAATGGTTAGGAAGATTAAAGTGTCTAGTGACTGGTTTGGATGCATCCTTGTCATTTCTCTCTAGTTGGCAAAGGACTTCTTGGAATTGGTCACCTAGTCATCTTCCTGTTCCACCAATGTATAACATTTTGCGAAAGTTATGCAGTAGATGACATTAGTGGAGGTACATCAGAAGTAATCAGTGATCTTAATGGATCTCTTGGGTCCCAACATTTTCTCTACATTGTGAATGAAAGGACAAGTTTCCCTCTGGCAAAGGGCTAATGCACAAAACATAATCTTTAAAAATAAAAAATTTTTAGTCTCTCCTTTTCCAAAAGAGGTGTCTGGGTAAACCAGGAGCTAAGAGAAGATGATATTTTTGGTAAAAATATTATTTGGAAGGACACTGGATCAGACTTCATTGGAAATTTTGTCAAGTTTATCCCCACCCAGCTCACAGAGCATTTTAAGTCTAAGGGAAGACCAGGTGAGCCTCGACAAAGAGTTGAAAAGTGGGCATATAAAGAAACATTAAGCCATCAACTTCTGATAATATCAAAACAAATTTTTTAAACTGTGTCAAGTTTTAAGTTATCACGCAATAACTTATCATCACTAATTGTTTAGCTTCATTAATCTGCCTTGCTAAAACTGATCTATTGACGCACATTTGTGCAAGTATGCCAGTGCACAAGTGGAAACAGTAAGCAAGAGGCATTTTAAACATTCTGACGGACGCGGAAGAACTAATATATATTCAAATTAAAAGGTCACGTGACAGAAGCGCGCTCTAAGATGGAAGCCGTTTCGCGTGTAATCAAAGTGCAGCTCCCAAACTATCTCCGATCTCTGCCGGTTCCTTCTACTTTCGGCGGATTTTTAAAGCTCTCGGTAAAGGAATGGCGGCAGCTTGCACCGCTTTTACTCACTCTATCGTTCTTCATTTATCTCGTAATTAAGCGGCTTACTCGGCGGTCAGCATCGAAGCCCAGTGGGAAGAAGACGCCAGATCAAGACTGGGTCAACAAAACACTGCAAAAGGACAAGGAGAAAGTTGCCGATACAATTCAGATTGAAGATTTAGCAGAGAAGGCGGCTTATCATGCTTTCTGTCGGTGTTGGAAATCGAAAAAGGTAAAATCAGCCAACAGGCTTTAAACAAAACAAGTTGAATATGTATATTAGGCTTCAGATATTGATTTGACCGTGCAGACTCTTTTGGTATCAATGTGGCATTCGTTAGGGAGATTGCGAACTTTTTGATATTGATTCGCTGTCATTAACAGCATTTTTCCTTCAACGTTGGGTTCGGTAACGACACTATATCAAAAATTTGGAGACAGAGTATTACATAATACCCAGTGTGAGTCAATAAGGGGAGGGTGCTATCAACTAGTTAGCGGATTATACTCGCTTCGGACGAATTTTTTTTTCTCTCAGTGTGTCATACTCAACGAATCCATGGAGGAGTCTGATGTTTAAGTTACTGAAATGAGAGATTGGAGGCAAACCAATCCCTGAAAAATTGAGCCCCATTTTAAGTTTGTTTCATACATTTGTGGATCATACAGTATGGTTGTCATAGTAAGGGTTATCTCTAGAGGAACGGTTGTCAGTGGAAGGGATTGAAATATTGAAAACCTGATAGAAGATCATCTTAATAGCCCTGGAAGACTTCCAATCAGGTTGTCCAAATGTATCTCACTTTATGTGGCAACAGTTATTCTCAAGACTACCCTTACTCAGATGATCTAAACATACAATCATTAGTTACTCTTTTTTCCCATAATGTTCTGTATTTGTGAGCTGGTCACTCAAGAATGGTACACCAGTAGAGATGCTGACTTACAGTTGGTGATGTGCAACCAAGCAATTATTGAGATTATAGAGTATGTAGTGTGCAAGGTCTGTGTCAGAAATTTTATTTTTCATCTGAGAATGAATCCAATCTAACTCTTACACTTTGTTCTAATCTTAAGTTCCCAAGGTGTGATGGCTCACATACCAAGCACAACAAAGAAACAGGAGACAATGTGGGACCACTTGTGCTGAAGAGAAAGAAGCCTCAACCTGCTGCAGCAACCACACCTTCATCTTAACAGGCTTCTTGAAATTTTGCACCTACACCCCTGCACATCTATAAACAAACACAAATTTATACTGAGTGTATTTTTGGCTCATGTAGATGTTGCACTAAGAACATGATGCACTTTTTGTAGAGGTTGAACCTTTCAGAAACTGTTAAGGTCTAGTGTTTTCAATAAATACTACAACCAGGTGTTATGGTTGAAGAAACGAAAATAATTATTTTGGCAAAGGAAAGGTGTGAAATAGATTGTTGGTCAACTTCAACTCCTCACTTTGTGAAAAAGGTGCATAATAAACACCTTCCTTATAACATTCAGTTGAGAACTAAATATGATGCACTGGAATGTTGTAGTTAGGCTATTTGTAGTTGCAATTCTTTATTGATGGAGTGAGTTTACATGATTCCGATAAGGTTATTTATTAAGGTCACAAGAATGAAGAAAATGATCACCAATTAAAGAGGATTATGATTGTCAAACAAATTCTCCTTGTCAGCAACATACGAAATGTGTAGAGGACAGTCTGGAGAATATGCATACTGATGTTAGAGTGTAAAGTGTTACACAAGGAGAATCCTTCTATGATTTTAAGGGGTCTGTTATTTGGTGAGGAAAGTGGATGGGTATCTCTTCCTCTTCAATACCTTGACCACTAAACTCACCTGTGTAAATCAATTTACGGAAAAGTAGAAACTACTAATTAATACTTGTCTCCATGAGCCCTGTTCAACACCAGGACCTTGTAGTATTGATACAGTCCTTATGAACTACTTAAGAGAATAGAGAAAGGTGTTTTTCATCATGTTACAAGCATTGGACAAAGGTACAATTCTGAATCCCCACGAGGAGTCAAACCTCAGACCTTTGGATTCTGCACTCTAATGCTCTACCACTTAGCCACAGAGAGTCTATGGTGAGCAAGGCCTGTTATGAGATTTGTATGTGACATGTTAGGATCAGTGATGTGGATAGCATCATGTTAGTTAGTAAAATAAGACAGATGGTGAGTTTTGAGCCCAGTAAAGAAATGGAGTGGGAATGCAAAGGTCCAAGGTTCAATTCTGCATGGGGACTCGTTATGTTGTCTTTCTCCCATGGCTTGTGACAAAATGAAAAACTTCTTTCTCTGTTTCTTTACTGAGCTCAAAACTTACCATCTCTCTTCTACTATTTACTCAAGAGCATGTGGTGTTCCATCTTGCTTGAATGCGGCAGTTGATACTTTTTCCTCCTCAGGGACATAGCAAGAGGATGAGAGGGATCATTATGGGCCTCACTCTCCTTGGTGAGATGTTTTTGTTGCAAAAACACACAAACAGAATAATTCAGATGGAGAAGAAGTCAAATTGTAATATATACATAGCTTTCATGATGGAATGCACTTCTAACAAAACCTTACTTTAAGAAAAATATAGTGTGGATATCAACATGACAGTCATGTTGTCACCTTGGAAGTGACATACCGGTAGTTTGAATCCCCTTTGTAAAATCTCAGCTATACCCCTAATTCTTGTTGCCTTTTTGCTGGATAGTGTGTGCAAATTGTGAAGAGAAATTCATTGTGAATATGGCTTTCATAAGTCAAAGTGAAAGGCATTGTATTGTTAGTGCCATTAAATGTGAAGTAGGGTGCAAGAACTGCCACAAGCCTCTCTGAGAGGGAAAAAGAATGGGAAAATGGAAAAAGGAGCAATCAATTTATGTCTACATTCTTCTGGCAACTACATCTATATTTTGCCCATTTTTTTTAATATCACTTTTAAAAACCACAGTCTATACAATGTTGATGTACATAATTTTCCTCTACCTTGAGCTCTAAATGGTATACAAGTTCTACAGTTAGGCAACATGTCCTTTTTCTGTACATTTGATGCTAGGCTTCATGAGTGAGCATTGCTTGCTCCATAAGTGGATGCTCTAAGGGGTGAATTGAAGCCTATCTAGCTGTGGACACTTAGCACTATCCTTTGATACAACAACACCCCCTTATAGGGCATCTTAAAAGGAAGGCTAAGGCATTAATAACTTTCATTTTCTGCAGCAATTACAAAAATCTACCTATTTGTACATCTGCATATGAACTGAACCATGCAGTTATTCAAGATAGAAAGATTTTCCAACCAGGACACTTCCATGTCAGTAAACTCAATTTGATAAATTCCCACAAAAATGGTTTGTTAATAGAAAATCGTTTATAGGATATAATTGTATAATTCAGTAATTTCGTTTGAATTTTGCCTTTAGAATGCCTACAATTTGATTTGGATAAATATCCTTAACTGCCTTTCATATAATTGTTTTCAGTTTATACTGTACAGATATTCGTTTTCAGCATATGCAAATCTTGCATTCTACATCTGTAATACGTAATGCATATGTAATAAACACAAAACAGGCAATTGCTCGAATGATGCTGTATCGTGGTGTAAGGAGATCATTTCGATCCGCTCTGTGCATACAGTTCGCAAGTCTTACAGCAAATTGGCCCCCATTTCCTCGAAGAACACCAGTTAAGACGCAGTGCAGTTTTGCAGTATTTGGACCGGTCACCGATACACCGATTTTGAGCTGAAATGGGAAATACGTATAGACAACGTTAAGTAACTGAAGAAAGTTACAACCTCTACTTGCGTTACGTTCTTGAAACTAGTCACGCTAGTGCGAATCACGCAACTGCGTTGATTTGATTAGAGACGTTTTAGAAAGAGTGACCAGTTGAAATTTCATTTATCTATTGACAATCCGAGACTTGACTGCTCCTAGAAGTTAAGTTGACCGGCGAAAAAGAGACTTTGTGTAACTGAAAAAGAGCACTCTTCATATTTTAAAAATAGGGAAAATGAAAATTAAAAAAAGGAAAAAATTCAGGTAGAGAAAGAAATTTGTGAATATTACGTTATTTTTTGTGGGGAAGCCGAAATAATGAATGAAGCCAGGCGAGTGAGTGCCCCAGACATAAAACGGTTCAAGCTAATTCTTCAAAAATTACTTAAGGATAATAGGAAAAGTGAATCAACTCAGAGTAAATTTTTTTGTTATGCCGTAAACAATGCATGTCACATCCATCCAAAGCTTATTTAATTAGATGCAATTAATTTATGTAATTAGAGCTTATTCTGAAAGCTATGATGATCTGTGCAAGAGAGCGCAATAGCAACGACTTTGTAACAGATCATTGTACAAACCCACGTGTTTTGGTATTTTTGGAAGGACAGCTACCGCTCGACACTTTAATATCGTCTAGTGCTACGTCACTGGAAAATCCTCTACCTCGAACTGCCTCAAATATAATCTAAGAATAAAAACAAAGAATATGTCAATGCAACGGTATGTCACCTTATCAATGACCAGGTACTACAGTAGACTTGGTGTTTCGCCCAAATCGTGTTAGTGTTTACGCTCTTTCTGGTAGTAAAGAGAATCATGTGTCATGTTACTAGCCAGAAGAATTAGAGAGAGATTATAAGATTCCCAACTAAAGGAAATTCCTTTGTGATTGACTAGGCACGATACTTAGTTTTTCTTTTTTTTTCTGCACAGCAGAATTTTAAAGAACTGGTCAGAACTGTTCGTCTTGCTACGGTGGCACCTTAATTTTTGTAAATAAGCGTCTAGAAAGAGCTTACTATTCTCCTCACGAAAACTCTTAAACTCACATGAGCCACACAAGGCATTGCATTTTACCTGATAAGGCAAGTAAGATGAGACGAGAAGTCGCTCATTATGCCATTCATTGAGTTGGTTTTTCGACTTATACCATAATCGCCGTTCTCTTCTGGATTTTGGGTTCCTGTGGATAACCCGGAGCGAGCCCATATTTGCCCCGTACATATGATACCAGAAGTCAATACACACTCTTTTAGCCTTCACCAGTGGACTTGCTAACCTGGCGCGATAATTTCGTTTCTGTGGATCTGATGCCTCTATGTAAACGTAAAAACCTGCAGAAATCAATCAAGTAGTCAGTCAGTCAGTCAGTCAGTCAACTAGCCAGCCTCAGAGCTGCTTAATTATTCATCAGTTAGCCTGTCAGCTGGCATGGTCTGTCTAACTCTGTCTGTCTCAATGTTATTGAGAGCGCGTTGCAGTATCCGAAAGGAGGAAACTGGAAGACGTGAGTTTAGCCTACAGTCGTAGCTGAACTTCTTTCAAAGCTTTTTCCAGACCTCACAACATTACTGGTGTAGTTGCATGATAAAACATATCTCCGAAATCGTTACTAAATTCCTCAGAAAGTTTATTACCAAAAGTCGCTTACAGAATACTAAAGATACATCTAAAATACAGTGCCAAGAGTTGAGGGACTCGCCTTTGGATGTCCCATGAGTGTGATCTACGGAGGGGCCTGTCTTCCTACTTGGTGTACTGCCGTTCCACAGAGTCCAGTCAAATTGATCTAGACTAGATCCACGTACATTCTCCCAACCGCAAAGACCTTGCTCGAAAGTACATGAAATGTTGACAAAATCTGAAAGAAATGAGGGCAAAAAAACATAGCATATTAGTACAGCGTATACGGTTGCTCCTAGCAGTATTTTCCGCTCCTTTGAAGAAGTTAGTCGGTTTTGCCAGCGAGGCACAAATTAGGGAAGAATATTCTTAACTGAAATGGAACGAGTATAGAACAGCCATATGTTGAACTCGAAATATCTAAGTTCAATTTTTATAGATGCTCTAACTACTCTGAGATGCGTGACATGCACCCTGAATACTCACCTTCACCTGCACATGGCTCTTTCCTACATCTCCTAATAGAGCCTTCTTTTGTTTCCCTTGGACAATTCAAAGACAAGGCCCCCAGTATATCGCGGCACTCTACTGAGCGAGACTGGTAACTGCTCCCACACGTTCGTGAACACTTTGGACCGAAAAAAAAATCAAATCACTCAGTACTAGAATGAACAGTTAGTCTATTCAAGCACCAAAATACGTATCCTCTGGGGCAGTTTTCAATACAGTGTAGCTTTCCGAAAAAGAAGTTGTCACTGACTGAACATCTGAGGCAGCATCTTTCATAATTGTTAACTATGTAACAAACGTAATCACCCACCTCTGACCAGTTTCCTGTAACCCACTTTGCAGGACACGAATCATCGTTACATATTTGTTCGATTTCAGGTTTATCCGCTGTACAAAGTGAGGAGTTAACCAGCATTTTACCCAAGACACCTTTGCATTCTACAGTACGGTTTTGCTTTCCACGATCACATGGCTTTGAACAGTCGCTCCACTCAGAGACCCTCCATTCATACCTGAATCACACAAGTTAATTGTAGAGCTGATTCTCAACCACAGAAGTGATCATACCCATCTAATTTCTCCTTCAAGTATTACAGATGAATCAAACGTGAAGGTAATGAGAATAGGGAATATGATCGGTAATTGAAGAAGCTCTTGATCGTGACCAAGCGACAGTACCAAAGAAAATGTTAAGAGGACAGTATGGAGGATATGCATACTGATGGTCAGGCCTAAAGGGTTCCTGGACTTACAAGACAGCTTGTACATCGCAAAATCTTGGCCAAGATCTTGTAACTAAGTTATTACCAATACATGTCAATATTTACCATCATTTATTATCATAGACCTTTATAATTTATTCCTGCCTCTTTGATGTTTGCTGACCATAGCAAAATATCATTTCAAGACTTTATGATACCACAATGCGAATCACTTTTGCGGATTTTTATGCGTAAGGCAGAATAGCCTTTGTTTCACAAGAACTGAAAAATCTTTCCGCAAAAAGTTCACTTCTATCAGTACAGTTTTGATAAATTTGTGTTGCAGTGGTTACAGATATAGGACATGGAAAAACATTAACATTAACCTTAATTAGAAAATGAATCCTGAGGCAAGATAAATAGCTGCTTTCATACCTCTCACATGCTGTTAAATTGCAAGGTCTGGTCAAAGGTTCGGGTTTATTGACGGTAAAGCAGTTTTTTTCTGAAACTTCATTGTCGTCTTCTCTTTTGAGGCATCTGTATATGCGTGTTTGTATCCCTTAAAAATAGAGAAGATATTGATTTTTGAGTTAGAGCAGAAAAGGTAGGTAATTTGAATTGGCAAGTGCAGCTCGACTAACCGATCGATGCGCGCTTAAGTGTTACACTTTTACCAAACTGAAGAGTCATCATTTTCACAAGCAAGGAAATGCACTAACTCCTGCCTCTATTTAGAAAAAAACAGATTTCGTTGTCAACTCTCAGCTCACGTTTAAAATTCTCTTAAATTCTTTGCATTCGCTAAAATTAACAACCTAAATAGCATTCTCTTTCCTTGAAGTGAAACCCGGAAAATTCATTTATTATTGTTAATTTACAAACCTTCTCCGCAGGTTCTGGAACATTCAGACCATTTGAGATGAGACCAATAGAAATCACTTTCATTGCTGTTTGGTTTGTTAAGCGAATAACGCAGAGTTACAGGCGCTGGTGACTCACTAATCTTTACCTGCAACAACAGAGCATTTCTTTCTGAATGAATTTAATTGAACAGTTGTAGCCGGGGAAAGAACGAGTACTAATTTGAACAACTTAGGAAACTCTCCTGGGTAACTGCACTGTAAATGGATATTTGAATCTCATCTTACATACTAAGAATTATCAAGTTCTCGCTACAGTAGGATCCTCTGTAAGGTGGATACCATCGGGACTAGAGAAAGTGTTCCCTGCACAGATGTGTTCCTTGAGTGTGGATTACAGGTAAAGGAGTTACAGGAACATTATTCTTGCTGGGACAGAAGTTAACATCCCTTGTTAAGAGATGTTCCAAAAGAAAGGTTCCATGTCATCCTGAGGCTCGTGAATTTATTATTTTGATACGTTATATCACAGGTGGAGGGTAAACTATAAGTGTTGTATTTGATTAAGAGTATATGTATAAAGTAACCACATACTTCTTGTTCGTGAGCGATAAGTGGAGGGTCTTAATAGGGTGATGGTTAACCGTTTAAATTTTGGCCATTCTACGGCTGACGGTTCATTTTTTTTCTGTAATCATCGTCATAATTTCATGTAATCACGAAGTTGATTTTTGTTACGTTAAACAAAAGTGACGAGATCTCGTCAAAACCTGGCAAAACTAGGCCAACCCGGCTCATGTAATCAGGCCCACAATATCATTTAAAATCAGACAAATTTTCGGACACCACTCTTAGAAACTACGTAACTCCATTTTCACTTCTTCCACAGATACTAACTTTATTTTTGTATTCCCTAATTGGTGCCCGTGGGATGCGTCTTAATAATAACCAATGTTGACATGGTTGAGCAATCAAACGTATTTTGTCACGTTCAAATGTTTTGATACCTGTTTGAATTTATAGACTAACCTTCACTTTGATCCTATCCGTGAGAGGCCCCAGCGCATTGAGACTCTCTTTGTTTCCATGTCGTGTATAAATAAACTTCGCGCCAGCAAATTTGTACACCGAGGAGACGGATTTCACCTCGGCCCCATTCAAATACTGTTTCTCTGCACCCATAGCTTCTAGAACTGTTGATCAATCAATCATGCTGTGATAGTTTGTTGCAATTCTTTTCAACGTTTTACACGAAAAATACGCCTCACCATCGTTACGAAATGCAACCATTATAAGCGAAAAAATCATAAGGACGCCCACTTCTTTGTACCGAGCTTCCTGACAGAGGCGGGTTTTCATACAAAAGACTCAATCTACATGTTATCCTTCCTTTTACGTGTGTACCTAACGCTTCGAGAATCAACTCTCGTTTAATGAGTCACTTGTATGGACATGCGAAGATTACCTTAAATACAGAAAGTTTTCTTTCACGGTAAAGTGTTGGGTTTATAAGATCGTGGAACTTTGATTTATGACTGCTTTGAAATTGGAGGATTAACCATAAGCCGTTATTTATTTAGAGATAATGTTTGCCCAATATGAACCACAACATGCAAAATACTAACCTAAGAAATTGGGGGATGTGTCCTCCAACATAATGTTGGTTGACCCCACCGGACACTCGAGTAATGTCTGAAGATCTGAGATGTTAAAAACAAAATAGTTACAATAGAAGACACACGTGATAACTTTTAGAAGACATAACACGCAGAAATAGGCAACAACTGGGTACGTAAGTTGAAATGAAGGTAACCAAAACCAGCCTTTATGGATGACCAAAAGTCCTTATTTTCTGAAGAAACTGCGTTGCTGTGTCCTCGGACTAGTGGCACGCAAGTAAAGCTATCGGTTGATTGATGATCACTAAACCAGAGAATCATAACAAAGCTAACATTTCGAGTGTTACTCTGCGTCGCAATTAAATTACTCTTGTCAACCTCTATTGAACAACAGTTCACATCATTACCGCAAGATTTCCACCAGAACTAATTTTTTTTCGCTACTCTTTAAAGAACGAAAGGTCCTTATTCGATTGCAAGATAGAATACCTTCTTTAGGTAACAAAGAGATGGATCCTTCACTTGGTGTGCATAAGTGACCGTCGCCGCCACAAACGCCACAATTATCCAGAGTTTTATTTGATCCAACGATGCCATCACATCCGACTTTCTATGGATCGGGAAAAGTTTTATCCGCAATTAGTTAAATTCGCTTATCATTGGGCGACTGTATCTCCCAAAAAGGATAAATAAGATAATGACGAGGTTATTTACCGTAACCCTTTCAATCCTATGATCTAAATAGTAATTCTCCTCATTGTCTGCCAAACAATTCCTATGATATTATTTCTAATAATTTGGCATTGCATCACCTAACAATCCCCTGATTGATATTTTTTTTCGTTCTCATCGCTTGTCTGCTTGATATTGTTGTGATAATGTAAGGAGAAATTCTGTGTTGATCACTCACGGGAATTAAAGGTTAACAGCGCTTACGCTGATCGAAACGGTACTTACCTGACATTTACTCTGAATACAGACATCAAACGATGTCAGATCGTCGTTACATTTGGTTCCGTTTTCGACGTCCAGTGGTACGATATCAACCCTTTTGCCGTTCTCAGTTGCCTCACAGAACTGTTGACAAGGATTGAGGTCGAGTCCTGTAGAGAAAACAAGACTAATCTTAACTCAAAGTCGAACCTTCTTACAACGGACACCTTAAGAAAAGAAAAAAAAAGTGCTGTCAGAGAAAGGTGATAAAAAATAGATTTTATGTTGTCGTGAGTCTTTTCAGTAATAAATCCCAGATGGCGTCAACATGTGGTAAGAGCAAAAAGGTGGCACCTAAGGCGCAGCCGAGTGAGTCACTGATGTTTTTACCACATACAAACGTCAAGAGTGAGTGAGTCGTCGCACGTTTCGCCTGACTGTCGGTTACTAATTTACTGTTATATTCTGGTAATTCGCAGCTGGAACGCGCCTAATGTCTTTCTCGAGAGGTGGCCGTCGTAGAGAGGTGTGTATGTATGGACCTTCGGCCGGGACAATAAATGTAGCTATTGTAGTGAGGTGGTATTTGTAGAGATGTGGTCGTTAGCAAATGATGTACTGTGTGGTTGAAACACCCTTAATATCAGTCTATCTACAAATGTCAGACGAATAAAAAGAGAAAAGTTTTACTGAGACTGTTACCATGCAACATTTCATAGTCACCCAATTCAGTTAAAACAGAAACGATTAGATTTACTTCTGATGTTACTTAGAGGTGGATTTTACTGAAGAGGAACATACTGTTGTTAATTGTTGTGAATCTCATCATTCCCAGGCCACATGGGTTGTTTTCAAGTGAGATGTCATCCAAAGCGAAATCACTGAGGTATCCGTCACCTCTCACTCCTTGGAATACGATCTGCAACAATGAAATGATGGGTAAAATGATGAGGCTTGATGAGCTCGAAAATCTATCATCTTCATGTCTGACAAGCAACTGCCGAGTCTGCGCACCTAACTTCTTCTCAGGAAAAGAGGGCGTTGGATGTGACGAGGCTGAACATGTGTAGAGCGATGCGGAAGAGACTATGTGCTAATCAAGAAAGGGAGTAGTTTCTAAAGATACTGTTTTGCTAGTTCAGTGGAGATATTACATATCAAATGTGTGAATAATGTAAGTTAACCACCGTAAAGAGTTTTTAAAGCTGCCGTTTCGAGCGTTAGCCCTTTGGCAGAGCGAATGGAGGAATTGTGGGTTGTGTGTGTTTTATATGCAGAAAAATGGAGCCACTCTATTGATGGAAACTTGGTAACATAAAAACAAGAACGAATTAGTAGAATGAAAAACGTTTGTAGATACTGCAGGTATTAAGAAGACCGGTTTGAAAGATAATTTTTTGAGAGATAAGTCGTTTATTAAAATAATATCTGGCAGTCGTGAGGCTGAATTACATGTTTTAAAAAAATAATGGATAATCTATATACATACGGCAAATATAATAATGAAATTTGGACTATCAAGTGGCCCTGACTGCATTGCGCATAATAAATGAGTTCTTAAATCTGTTAGTCTTGATTAATGGCAGCGAGTAAACTCTTTTATGCCTCCGTTCATGATTACATGGTCCACGCTTAGCTAATAATAGGTTCCGAAGTTCTCTCGTTGACATCTGTCGTTTTTTTTCTCTAGAGCCTTGCGATTGTCCGAATTGCTTAGGTTCTGAGATAAGCCGAAGACTGCCATGCGTTGCTAATATTGATTTGGGAAATTAAAGAGACCGGCTTATGGTTTGGATGCATCTTTGTCACTCCTTTCTACGTCGCTTTCGTTCTTGGGAACGAAAGGCGCAAAAGAATAAGAAAAACATAGCGTGGTTGCCTGTGATCAGATGTGAAAAGTTACCTTCAAAGTCAGTTGAAGAAAAGGAAGTTAATATTTAATTAAAAATTGAAGATATGACTTCATTCCTAATCATAGTCTGCTTTAACCCTTTAAGCCCTAAGAGTGACTAGCATCTAATTTCTCCCTACAATATCAGCCCTGAATCACTCATTGTGGTCATGAGAATAAAGGAAATAATCGCCAACGAAAGAAGCTTTTGATCGGTAAACAAATTCTCCATGTCAGCAACTTAGGAAATGTATAAAGAAAATATGGAGAATACACATACTGATGTTTGGATGTTTGAGGGTTAAACCTCTCAGACTTACCCTATATGGCCTCTTGCTGAATATCGTGACGTGCCTCCATACCCAATTGTCTCCTCTATTCCTGTTAACCGTCCAGACAATTTTTTCGCCCTGCAAAATGAAGAAATGCTTGAATAAAAGTTTATCGTAGAATATCAAGAAAAGAACCGCACAGTATGTCAAAAAGTTTGCTTCTTTTGGCACCGGATCTCTGAAAAAAAAAAGCAGCCACATGTCATGTTTCTAGGCTCGAGACTAAATAAGAAACCTATGAACGGTACACAAGTTTTTTTTTCTTTCGCTTGACCACCCTAAACTGACATTGATTCGGATCGGGTTGAGGAACTTTTCTTCCTTGACGACAAGTTGCTGTTACATTATTTACACACACCTTCTGAACTCAAACTGGTCATAAGAGTTCGGGGAAAAAAAAAAACATTAAGGACTTCAAATTGACGCGATTTAACTGCAAGGATTATTTGATTTCACCACCACATGTAAGTCATTCGTGCATTCAGAATTATACTCACTGTGTCGCTTTTGATGATAAGTTGAAGCTCTCCCATATGTGCATTGTCACCAAACGAATGATACCAGAACTTTAGACATGCAACCTTAAGTCCTATATACGGACTGATCAAACGGGCCTTGTCTCGAGGGTTAAGAGGCCGAGAGGTCTCCAAAAATACGTAATGGCCTACACGCAAAGTATGAAGAAACATATGTTAACAGTCACATAACCCTGTTGATGAGAAAACTGCTCAGTGTTCTTATTTGATTCCGATTTTACTCCAGGCAAATTTACGCCATATTTTAAGATAGATAGATAGATAGTTTATTATCAAGAACCTTGCAGTCATAGGCTGAATTAAAAAAAAAATATATACATAAAAAAATACATGGAAGAAGAAAATTAAAAGACAAAAAAAGCTTATCACATAAGAACTCGCGGCGGTTGTGTAAGGGAACTAGACCAGTCAAAAGAAGCGCCTCATATTTTAAAAAAATATACCTCAATTAAAAAAAAATCATATCTATGACATAAAAATCAAGAGTTGTCCAAGTTTGTGATCGTTCCCTTGATTCTCATAAGCCTTTATGTTGGATTCAGTAATGATACCTTAGTGAGAAATAAGATTCTAGTCACCCTCAGGGATTAAAGAGTTAATGAAAACGGAGCTAATATTGGATGCAGAAGAACAACCAACTTCTAAGAGCCAAAATTGTCTTCATTTTAACCAGCTTGCAGAATTTAACACTACACAATAACAATGAAGGGGTAAGTTTCTAAAGAAACTGTACTGCTGCGTCGGTGGGAGGGTATAACACAGTAATTTGGTATTATCAACTGAATTGATAACGTAAATTGGCCACCGTAGGGAGTTTCAAATCTGACGTTTAGAGCGTTAGCCCTACGTTATTCCCTCTGAGAGGGGCTAATGCTCGAAACGTCCGCTTTGGAACTCTTTACGGTGGCCAATTTACGTTATCAACTCAGTTGATGATATCAAATTACCTTACTACCAAATAGCAATGACTAGAAAAGGGAAAAAAGTAATGCGGATTACAGTAATAACCAAATGCTGGGTTTTTCCTTCCTCACCGTCTCTTCCTTTTGTGTGATCTGAGGAGGGTCCTGTACCAGCGGTCGGGGTGCGACCCTTGTTGTGCTTCCAGTCATAATTATCATGAACATCATTTGTCCAGCCACACAGACCAGTCTCAAAGTCACAGTCGATGCTCGCTAAGTGATTTTAAGAGAAATGAAAAAGCAGCATTAGCCAGGAAAGATAAGGTTTGATGAATTTACTCTTTAATTCGACAGCGTGAGGCATTAGGGAAATGGAGTCCTTATCATTGAGCAAATTTCTGAAAGAAGAATTAAACGCAACCAAAACTATGGTACTCGGTAAGAAGCGCTGAAAATTACAAGAGTATTCATCCTTTTTTCCGTGGCCGTGGCTGTTAAATCATAGAGCAGGTCATACCAAGACTAATACATTTTTCCCGCGATATATATTATCATTCCCTATCAGAATAATCTTGGAAACATTTCGTTTTCCGAGGACCAAGCTCAGCCTGGAAATCTATTTACTCCATCTCCACACAGGAAGCCTTCAGCATTTTGATCCTAGCGACAGACACAACACTTCTTTACGGAAAAGTCATATTGATCGTTTTTCTTTGATTTACGCTTGTACCACATGTCTTCCACCTTTTTGTTTCCGGAATTGTTTAGAATACGAGTTAAAAACATAAAAAAGATACTTCCAAAGGGTCTTGATATCAGCGGGCAAGTCAGGAATTTAAAGATAAAATTTAACTTCTTGAAGAATGAACTCCGCAAGAAAAGAACAAAAACAAGGAAAAGAGAAAGCAAGCATGCAGGAAAACTTATAACAACGACAATAACAAAACCTGAACAAAGTGAGATCTAACCTTTAAAGATATCATGTGCTGCCCAGTTGCCGGCAATTTCTGGTAAAATCAAAGGTGCGCGTCTCTTGCACTGTTCATTTCTTGACGCCTCGAACGTTAACAGCTGACCAGGGCAGTCCTGGTCAAAAAGATAAACAAGCCATTATGGTAGACTTTAAAAGTCCTCAAGTTCGTAGATGTAAGTCACTTGCATACGTTGGCTCTTATTCATGCTGCTATCTTTAGCCGGTAAGCAGTCATTGGTTGGTTATTATAGCATTTACGATGCTATTGATGACGCAACAGACGTTATTAAAACGTACCTCAGTGTTACAAAGTTCAAATTTAGTATCTTCCCCCTCACAAGGTCTCCCGAGGTTTTGAGGCCTACAAGCAAAATAAATTAATTTTCTACATCATTATTCTTCTTCTGAGTAAAAGGCTACAATACAATAGTTACATTGTAAATACTGATACAATCAAAAATTAAATTTATGATACAAAGTTATAGAAAAACACACTAAAGGAGTCATACCAAATGGACATTTAATTTTGAAATTACGAGCATTATTTCAGACCAAATTGCACTTAGTTCAATTATCGCTATTAATTCTGTTCAGAAAACTGGCAGAATTGCATCAGGCCGAACTTACCACGCCCTTCAAGTATGGCCGTTACGTACTTAACCTACAAAATTGAAAGCTAACGATAAAGGCAAACTCGAAACCCGCACTCATAACCACATAATACACCAGCAAAAGCTTATATTCTGTTTAAAGGTTAGAGATATTCAAAATAACAGCCAATCTTGACCGTTGGCTGGTTTTGTTCTAGAGATGAACGACACTCTCTAGAAATTCAGAATGTAGGGTCCGTAAAAGACATATCGTGCACATTCACCTTAACTGTGTGAATGAAATCCGTTACATCCTCTCAATCTAACATACGGTGCTAAATATTGACTCGATTCTTTAAACTGTGACAACACTTACACTGGATTATTGCACTTCCTTGTTTGGTAACGGATCCCTACACCGCACGGTTTTGAACATTCACTGAGTCCACTCCATTCACTCCAGCCACCATGAACCGGTTTAACTTTTGGTCGAGGCAGAGGAATGCTGACATCATCATCATCCACCGGGACGCATTCTCCCAATCGACACCACTGGGGAATAGAAACATTCAGTTGTTCTTCAGACAGTCGCTATTTAAATGACATATAGAAACAAAGTCCTGTCTTGGGTTGACTTAGATATGTACCGAATCATCGCCTTCTAATTGAGACAACGTAAGAGCGGTTGAAAGAACGCTGAGTTCGTTGGAAATGCATGTGACATTTATGCTTCAGAATAAAATTTTAACATCAACCGGACCTTTCTTTGGCGTAGAAGAAAACCGTTACAACAGTAAGTATCATGAAGGATTATACGCGCACAACTGGTAGAGTAAAAGCATTACGTCGAGACATGATAAGGTCTTATTTATCGGCAAAACGCAGTCTGACAATTTGATCAATCTTCCGTATAGGTTCTTGTAACTGCTGAAGGGCTTATTAGAGACTGATAAAGCAGGAATTTTTCTTGAATGTGTGTCAAGAGTCCTCCCTATTTCAAGTGCAGCTTATGACCGGTATAATTTTTGCTGTATATAGTATATATCAGAATCAAGCAGAAAAACTTAATTCATATCTCACTTTATCAACTCCGCATTTTGTTCCTTCCAAGGCCGCTGTACGTCTTGTTTGACAAAAGCGGTTGTTATAAGATGAAAAGGACAAACGGCTGCACCATAACTCTTTGCACGGATCGCGCTTCATCTGCCAAGTTGAAGCGAAAAAAAATCCAAATTACAATTTGCGAAGGAGAGCAACTACAGGAATATAACCGAGCTACATCACCGTAACTTCAGTCGTTTCTGAAATGTAAACTAGCATAAAAAGTGTCAGAACAATAGTTCTGTGCAAAGACGCCCAATTTGCAAGAATAAAGTAGAAGGGAACAAGTATAGAGCAGTTTTCACTGAGTTTCCAAAAACCAAAACCAATGTAACCTCAATCAGTCTGAGCGAAGGTCTTGATTAGTCAATTAGAGCACCAAGAAATAACGGGAATAATGCATGAAAGGCAGGAAAACAAGAGATTGTTCAAATCAGGATTGATTTTAGTTTTGAATTTGATTGATCGAGAGGGTGGCCTCAGTTTTCTAGACAATCGTCGAGTGAAGTTGAGCAAAACCAAAGTTATCATGGATTACTTTCGACGCTCAATTGAAAACAGCTCTAAAAAAAAAGACAAGAAGAAAAAACGTGGCAGGGATCGTACATAAAAACAACTCAAATATACGCCTATTTTTTAAGATGCACGAACTAAACAACCATCACCTCACATAAGACACTCATTAAGACCCAAGAGAGTTTTATCATGGACCTACGGTTCCTTCGATATCTTCTATCGCACAAAATGAACTAGTTGAACTAACCCCGCTACAGAATCTGGTATTTTTACCAAATTCACGCTGACATTGTTCATCAATAGAGTAAATCTGGCCTGGAAGCTTCTTCAAGTATGGTATTTCATTTCTAAATGGTACGTCATCTATACACCAAAGAGCTCTACGAAAAAAAAAACACAAAGAAAAAAAAGTGAAAAAATTTTTAAGGTGACTAAGAATTATAAAAACACAATCTAATTTTCTTTATGAGGAGGAGAACTAAGATAAAATGGTGTAAAACGCTAACGGGTAATTTGATGCGAGGTAAGATGATAAGGCATAAAATATTTTCATTTTTGGGAATAATCGACAAATCAACCGACCAGTTAATCATAAATGGCATTACATAATCCTGTGACGTACCTGAGTTTCGTAATCAGATCCCGCCGACTACAGGAAGACCAGTAAAAGCGGTCAAACCGGGAGCGCACCAGAGGCGCCATGATACTGCCTTTGATGACGTCATTAGAACAGTTGTTCTTCACTCCATCATGTTCCATTCCTAGCCTGTTTATAATAAGAAAGTATCGTGTTTTTGTTCGGTTTATGTAACTAGAAAAGTAGGTTTATGGGATCTGAAACTTCACTGGCAATATATATATACGCAAACACCAAGCTCTTTAAACTGTATAACATGCGCAACGCTTAATGCGTAACGAAGATTCAGCGCATGTTGCAAAATGCACAATAATCTATGCGCAATGAGCTACAACTTACGTATGTCCTGTCTCATGAGCGATGATAAATGATGAAGTGAATCCGTCTTCTTCGTTCAGAGTGCAGCTTCGTACTCGATAACACATGCCGTGAACTGGGGCGTAACCTAGAGATCGGCAATTCAATTGGTTTAAAACTCGTACTTATTGCAACGTTTGAATATGGAATGATTTAAACACTGGTAGAGAACAATAATAAATGCTTTGCATGCGTCAGACCCTTTACATTACCGAGCAGCGGCAATGACAGACTTGAAACCGGCACACCTGGAGACCTTATGAACATCTTTCCAGTTTTTCCTCATCGTTTACGATTCTCATAATAATATTCTCGTCAACATAGCAAAATCAAATAATTAATTTCAACTTACAGGAAAACCTCAGACTGATACAAGCCTTCCGAATAAAAAAAATAGATCAATGATGAAAATTGGTTTAATTAGCTCGAATTCAGTTTTCAATGACGAAAGACAATGAAAGGTATACTGATGAATGCACATTCAAGTTCGCATCCCTCAACAGACCAGTCGAAAGAAACTGCTTCGATTAAGTCTAGTACCTGAAGGTCCAAAGTCTTTTCTGTGAAAAGATAAAAGATACAAAACAAAAGCACATTAGTTAAGCGATATACACGATAAGCAATTAAGAGTTCCTACTAAAGATACGGTTCGCACCCAATAATAAGATACACATTCGATCAGGTACAAAGCAGTTACGATAATAAGTGACACTTTCCGAAGTGTTCGGAAAGCCTCGACGATCTTGTAAGAATAAATGAAAATATCCGCCAGAAGTCCTCCAAAGAGAGTTGTCCCTTCAATGGTGACACAAATGTGACAGTAACGTATATGTATTTTATTCAACTGGGATCGGAGTTTGCTTCTTTGTAGGCGTCGCCCCTGACTACCGATGCCCTTAAAGACAGACGCAAGTAACATTTCGCAGATTCCGTTCACTCAGATTACCCAATATGCATATGATATGGTACAAGTGAAAGACTGTTACCTTGTAAGAAACACGGTCTGATCGTAAAAATCTTTGTCGACTTTGTCAAAGCCTTTCCTCGTCTTATGGCCCCAGTAACAAACACTTGATAAGCTTGCCATCGGTTTGCCGGTAATTTTGATTTCTCTCTAAGATACAACAAATAATTGCAATATGTTTTAACTTTACACAGCCCACGCTGCAAACTCGATCAAAACGTCTCAGTAGAGACTTAAACAAACCACGATGGCGACGGCAACGAGAAAGTGGCAAAACAGAATATTTTATAAGCACACAACGGCACGTGCGTTTTAAAATTTTGTACATTTCCTAGCCGTCCTCTGCAGAACAACAACGTAAAATCACCAAAAGTTGCGCGGCACTGACGGCTAATTATTATGTTTCCATTTAGAACTGAACGTTGCTCACAAATCTTACGCTGAAGATGAGGTCTGACGCCGTTTAAGACGGTAATCGCATCCACTCATTCTAGACATTCTTAGAAGAAAAAGACAGATTAATTTTTTTAATCGACGTTTTCCTAAGCGTTGCCGTCCTGATTGCTTAACCCTTTAGCCCCCAAGAGTGACTAGTATCTTGTTTCTCCTTACTTAATCACCCCTGAATCAAACATGAAAGTTATGAGAAGAGAAGAAATGATCATCAACTGAAGAAGCCCTTGACTGTTACACAAATTCTCCTTGTCAGCCTCTTTGGAAATGTATAGAGAACAGTATGGAGAATATGCATACTGATGTTGGTGGGTAAAGGGTTAAACTACGGTCCCTACTTTGCACATCGGACGTGCAGAATACGAGTGTATGAAAATCAGCTGGAACCGTTATTTCTAGGGTGAGATTTGAACCTTTGAGCAAAAAACACTCCTGCCCTAATCCTGATGTTCTGTTCATTCTCATGGCAGCTTACTACGTATTTACCACATGAATCGCGTCGTCCATATCGGGATATGCACGAATATTTTCCTTCAATCGCAATACTGAATGATGAAATTATTGAAGGGGCAGCACTGGAAACAATTTACAAACAAACGTGAAAACGTGATTCAACGATTAGATCGGGAAAATTAAGCAAAATCAGACTTTTTCCGCGCCGTCCTGTCCAAGTGAACGTAACTTAAGAAAACTTCACACTCTATAAATTATTAGGAATCGTGTCTTACCGGGTCTCTTTCCAGAAGAACAAGTTTAACGACCACAAAATAGATAGGAGCACCAATTGACTTGTGCTGAAATATTCTGGAGACCTGTGACAAAAGAAACATTGAAAAAGGACAGTTACAGACTAGCTATGTCACCATGGAGATATTCTATTACATCCACCTCGATGATGCAAAAAGAGAGTCCCCACAAAAGGACCAGCTTAATTAGCTTCACTTGATCGTGATGGGTGTCTTTGGGTGAGAGCAGTTCTGAAAAGGGCTTTTGTCGGCAACTGACGTTCGACAACCTGAGCGGGAGTTATCATCAGTCAAGGTACTCTAGTCAAGTCAAGTCTTGACTCTCTGATAGTGACTTCCTCTCAGTTTGTAGAAATGGTAGTCACTACTGTCGGTAACAGTCCTCCTTTGGTATAAGGGGGTGAGTTTTAAAGAAACTTCGGTGCTTTATCTGTGGAGTATAGCAATATAATTTTGTCTTATCAACTAAGTTGATAATATAAAATTTGCCGCCGTAAATAGGTAATAGAAAAGATATGAAGGAATTTACTTACTATGTTCATCAAAGTTAAGACATATTTCTCTGCTTTCTCTTTGCCATGGAACTTCACCACAGAACTATCAGCGGCTGCCATTACTTCTATGTATTTTGGTTGGGTTTTGACCATTTCAGGGAACTTCATATCAGGCAGGGAGATTGTACCTGTGAAACCAATGGAGATCGTTTACCAATGAAAACCGCAATTTATTTACTTGACAAAGCAGTAGGGTCAGTAAGCATGTACGTACGCTGAAAATATTTGATATTCTCTTAACATGAGAGCACTAAGTTGTGAGTACAGTCCGTGCTTCTTAGAGCTGGCTTTCTGGTGTAAGTGTATAAGGCTTAGATGAAAGTGAGAGGCACTTTCAAAAAATCTCGAAAAAATCTTAATATTTTAGGGAAACGTAATGAAGCAGCTGCTCATCATCATCATCATCATCATCATCATCATCATCAACAGCAGCAGCAGCAGTATCGTTATCATCATCAGCATCATTATCCTCATCATTGTTATTATCATCAACCACAACTTTGGGTCACTTAAAACATAATAAATTTTTTACGGCAAAAATATCACGAACTTGGCACGGTAATGGCAACATGTATCCGACGATCAATATGCGATTCCCGCGGGATGTACTGTTTTTCTCCGTTCACAAGGAAAGATTTGCCTGTATCCAGGTCCTTGGCAAACCACCGGTGAGAGGTGAAAGTATTCACATGCATTTCCTCTGCAGGAGAAAGATTGCTAAAAAATCTCGTCTCGCCATCCTCGATGTAGTAAATCTTCGAGAGACGGAAAGGAAAGAAAATTAGGCAAGGTCAAGAGACTCTTCCGCGAGGATTACTTATCATGCAGCGGTCACAATCAAACAAAAGGCACAAGTATAGGCAGCCTCCATCGCTACGTACATTACAGAGGAAAAATCATACATAAGAAAAATGTCTGAGATCTTGCAGAACTTGCGCATAACATGAGGGAAACCGAAAACAAACAGATTCAAAGAAATGAATGAAGAAACAGTGTAGTGCACCACAGGGCAGAATTTTGCATTCTTTTTGGTTTGGGAGCAAAAAGAAGAACCTCCAATGAATATTCCTGGTTCTTCGATGGTCAACTATGGAAACCTGAATACTGATGGTCAAAATTTTCGAACGAGTTCTTAGCCAATTATTAGAGGATTTAACACTAAACGCTTCAAACGCTGTCTGTTCTCGAGCCTGCTTATTATGCTTCCAGTAAAGCAGAAGCTTGGCTCAAGATTAGATGACAACATAAGACACCCCTCAGTTGTTTATCTACTTTATTCTCATAACTCACTTACCTGTTTCACAATGCGTTATTTTTTCTTAAGAGAACTGACTGAATATAAGGAAAATATACTCCTGTTCCTTTAATTTATAATATCGACAAGACGCAAAGGACGCCTCACCTTCACAAAGCGATTTGATTTGTTGATGAATGTTATGTGGCTGTTTGGCTGAGCGGGACCCAAGGGGTCGGGAAGCTTAAGTCCAGCTAAAAAATAACAAAATGCTTGCGTCATGTGGAAAGAATGACAGGTGTGTAGATTCCATCGATGGACTTGAATGGGTTCACAGCAAGGATTTAAAGGTTAATGGAGGATCAAGGGCTAAATACCAGCCCTAAGAGGCTAATCCTCCTATTTTTATAGACTAAAATTCATTTTAGTATAACGCCTACATGTGTTCCTCTGTGAAAACAAGGATAATCTGGACGGGCAGAAATGGGCCAATAATTTCTCACGACTTATCTCTCTTAAACAATAAATCTAGCAAAGCGAATAAATCCAACCCCTTTAGATGAACACAACGGTCAAACATTTGAAAATGTACGAACATTTTACTGACTGGGTGGCGTGCTTTCATGCAGTCGAACCATGCTGTCTCACAAAAGTTGCAAACAACCACACAGGCCAGTAAATCACGGTGTTTGAGAAGTGTCTAACTTTTTTAGTGAGACTCAAAACAGAACGATAAATTAACCTGATGCGCTTACTTGAATAAGTTTTGTGTTCAATAAGTCTCGAGTTTTCCTTCTCCCTATTTTGTTTGCTTTTCCAGATTTCTAAATCGTTTTGCGAGACAACGGTACGTTGCTTCATATCTTTTCCCTGGAAATTTCGCGCGGGAAATTGGCGAGCAGGCGCGCAAAACTGATACCCTCGAGCTCGTGCATGCCCTACGTTTGACTGCTGTGTTCCACATATGACGTTGTCGAGACAGATAAACTTGGTGTGTAACTCACGTGGTACAGTGACGTAAACATTGGCTGGTTTTTTAGCATTGGTGCCTGTTGGTGGTGTGTAAGTCTTTTCCCTATTGAGAAAGAGCGCTTTGCCGGTGTCGTAGTCTTTAGCTATCCATTTATGAACCGTATAAGTATCTAGTTCCAGTGTTGCTCCTTTTGTTAAGATTCGAAAGTATTTTTCTTTTCCATCGAAGACATAATACAGCTGTCATCAATGAAAATATACCATATTTTAAAAAATGCCCCGTCAACCGTTGTTTATTTGGTCACGGCTGATTGCTTACTTCCTTGATCGATTGACATATAAGTGAACTAAATATGTTAAATTTCTACAAAAACTGTGGTGCTGCGTCGGTGAGAGTTATTACTAGACAATTTGGTTTTTATAAACAGAGTTGATAATGTAAAATGGCCACTTAAAAGAGTTTCTAAAGCTGAAGTTTCGAAAGTTACCCCTTCGTCAGAGCGAAGGATAAGTAAATTAACTGACCATTAAACAATAGTTATTGGAGTGAGCGTTACAAGGGGAACGTCAAATGAAATATTAAGCGAGCCCCCTTATGAAAATGTGAAGAATATAAAGAGGTTACATATACCGAGTAAAATCATGGGTGACGACAATTTACATTTGATATCAGAGGCGTTTACCATTTTCCGGTATAGACCTACCAGACCGGTAAATGCACAAAGGATTAATTATCTTTTGATGGTTTTACCCTTTTTCCTTTTTCATTCTTTTAGATTATCGGAGACGATTTCAGAATTGATCGATCTAGGCGGAAATCTTATTGATAATGGAGTACTCTTCATGAATGGAGTGGTCTCATAAGCCACTTTTAACTAAAGGCAGCCTTCTCAACCATTTTCAAGAATGATGAATGTATATCAAGATCACCTTGATCGCTCGGCCTGAGCGGTTTATTATTTGAAGGTAAGCGCTTAAAGAGCGAGCTGCTTCGGCTTCATTCGGTTCTCCGTCCGCTACAAGGAAAATGTTGTAATATGTTTGGAGGTCATCAGTGAAACATCCCTGAATGAATTTCCCTCTGTTAATTATGCTCCAGTGGAGTTTGACATGCTTAGTTTAATCACTAGAAAGTGAAGCTGTAAAGCACTAAACACTTGTTTAATTCAAGTGACGCAATCACCAAAGCAAAATAAAACAAGTGAAAAAAAATGGAATTTTTGTTGCGCATTCACTGTCTCCACTTCAAATCAGATTATAGAGAGTCGGTTTTTGTGGTGGTAAAAAACTCGTTAACCCAGGAAAGAACCTTTCGAACAACTGAAAACAAGGATTAAGAACAGAATCGACCCCCGTTTGAAAGAAAGGTAGAAAGGTTTAGGTGGGGGGGGGGGGGGAACGGCGGAGAGGGTGAGGGTGGAATGCTGTTATTACTGCACAAACATGCCATAGCAACAATCTTCAGCACACAACAACAGCATATCTGTAATTAATACATGAGGAAAATACGTAACAAAAGAAATGTCCTAAAACTAGACTAGCCAAAGCTATTTTTTTAAAGAGACTAGTTATTTTGTCCAGTCTAGACTGCTAGACAAAAGATACGAGAGTTTAAATTTAAATCGTTAATCACTCGGCCCAAAGTTGATGATGATGATGATGATGATGATTTTAATGCTATTGATTCGGGGAGGCGGGGTGGCGAATTCATAGGCTTACGGCGAGGTGGCTCAACAAGCCAACCATTGATTAACAAACTGCACTAAACATGTATTTACAACTCAGTAATGAATGGTCTGTTCTTTTTCAAAGGAAAACCATCTACGTGAGGACATTTCACAGGGCATTGTTTTGATTTCATAGCTTCTCCCCAAAAGTTAGCAAATACCACAATAGAAACTGACCTATTTCAAATTCTCGGCAACTTCCGAATTTTACAACTTACACGTACAATATGGAACAAGAACTGGCGAAATGGTCAAACTCAAACTCGCGTAAATACATACATACATACATACATACATATATATATATATATATATATATATATATATATATATATATATATATGTATGTATGTATAATTTATGTATGTATGTATGTATGTATGTATGTATGTATGTATGTATGTATGTATGTATGTATGTATGTATGTATGTATATATATATATATATATATTCAATTTGCGTCGGAAACATTCACTCTCCGTTTATCTAATTGAATTGTTTTCAAACTGGTGGCGTCCAGAGTCGAATTTTGCGCATTTGAATACAATAACCCTCGAGCATTTCAGAACACAGAAACAAGTAAATTTCTGTACATATTTTTAATAGTGAAGATGAAGAACCAAGTAGTGTCTAGCAGGCGCAGGTTAGCATCCCATCGCCGCCTGGGTTTCTTTTCCGAATGCTTCTTTAATTTTCTACCATTACTGCAATTGCAGTTTACCTACAACGATTCTTTCTTTATTTGGATGTCATCGGTGGGTCAAAATAGAATTTATTTGATTTAACTATGAAAAAATTACCTAGACTCGGAGCTTATTCCTCCTTTAAGAGGATTATAATTCCTATACTAATGGCTCGTTCTATGATGAACATAGCGACGGTAAAGAGAGTGCCGATCATTTCTATTTGAAAGCTTTGTGATAAACGTACCGCATCAACATTTCCGCCTTCTTATCGGAAATATCGGAAATAATGCTTGTGTGATATGTTAAGATTTAGATAATTAATGGCTAGTCATCAGTCTGATGAGGAGTTTATCCGGATCTGTCGGCAAGACGGTAACACCCTGTGAATTGACGACAAACTAAAGTTCCTCGACAAATCGAATTGGAAGCGGATTATACTTCACTTGCCGTCTAAAACCCGTGTTTATAGTGCAAGCTATGACTGAAAGCAAAAGTTCAACTTTTTGTCGTCGGGTGATTGACTCAAACGAATTATCTCGAATTATCCGCCGACCATAATACGTACAATTTGACTTTGGTTAAATAGCTTTACATATGTAGGTCAAATAAAGAAAAAACAATCAACATATGTTGTCCTTTCTAAAAAGTTCTGTTCTATCTTTTCTGGTCTATTAGCGGGCCAGCATACTTTAGACTGCATCGACTTCAGCACACCGGAATATCTGCGCTAGTTTACGGAAATTATTCTGTCATGATTCTGTCATGCGTATCATCCAGCCTGCTTTGCTTTAGGAGAAAGTGTAAATTTTTTAACAACTGGGGCACTCCACAACTCAACGAAGTCGATTATTCAATTAAGAGAATTATCATCGCCTCAATAGTCTCCTTTTGAAATGTGATGAAAAAAAATTTTTTTCCTTCTTTGAAAAGTCGTAATCTGGGATAATCGCCATTCGTTTGTTTGTTTTTTATCTTTATTTATTTTTATCACTCCCCTTTTTTACGTTGGAATGTTAAATACACGTCGTCTGGGCGCCAAAAACGATTAGCAAGAATAGTTCTGACCAAAACAACAGCTGCTCTTATTTCAAGAAATGGTTACATAAAGATTTTGGGGACGTGGACCACGAAGAAACTGTCGTGTTTATCCTATCGGTCCTAAATGGAGTAACTTTTGATAGATATTTTGCTGCTGAGGCGCTCAGATAACCCAGTATGTCCGAATGCTGAGTTGTTTAGACGCACTTCTAATTTTCTAGCGCGCCACTCTCAAAACTCACGTTAAATCACACCAATGACGACTGATTTTCGTTTCAAACAAAATGTTTTTGCTTTGAATTCAAAAAGCTCCTTGCAAAGAACTTCTTTCTCAAAAGTATAGGTTCGATGCAATAGTTCTATTATTCTTTTATATGCTAGTCAAAAAAATAAGACTAGTGTTTACAGCTTATTTGTCAAGAGGAATTAATTTATTTATTATTCAAAAATATAGAATGGGGAATTTATCTGTCGACAAACCTTTCAGTCCTGTAGGGTAGTCCTCCGTTTGAAACTCGTCAAACTCCAAGTTATGTGGATATTCTTCTTCTAAGACAGCTTTTCTATACATCAGATGAGGTCTTCCTGGTCTGGTCCAGCCTCGATGCGTCACCAGGCTTTTGTTAAGCACAGGCTCGATATAAATTGTGTCATTTCCGAGATCTATGATTCCTGCCTGGAAAAGAGAGAGAAATTTTCCTTTTTTTAACTAGAGGGTTATAATCTCTAAAGCTATTTACTGACGATTCATGAAGTGATTCTTATTACAAGAAGTTCTAGTCGATGAAGCTTTTAAAAGAGTAAAGTCAAACATCCAAAAGCGGTCCCCCTTAGCCACGGCCTTACAGTTCCTAATTCCCAAAGGAAGCTCATACAGTCCCAATCTTACTGTCATGTTAATATTTCTAGAACGAAAACGGCCACTAAAGCGCGTTCCACCCGTCAAAATAACTCCTTAACATCGTCGGCCAGTAAATCAACGGCTGGTAAAAAGCAGAAACAAAGCTTCATTTTTTCACGGCAAAAAGATTGGAAATAACGTTTTTTTTCTGACCAACAGTTTTTTTATTCTTCTTTATTTCATAATTTGGATTGTGTCACCTTGAGTACTCCAAGCTAACATTTCCTTTTTTTTTAAATAGTAATGATATGCCCTTTCAGATAAGCAAGGCTTATCACACTCCCTTCCTCCCTAGGATGGCTACCTCATTACTTATACATTACCTACTAATGTTCCATTTTGAAAAAACATCAGAACTTTGTTTCACACACTGTGCTATTTCAAAAGAGAGAAAGCGCCTTTCCCTGATAAGCGCCCTCTCTTGAAGTACCATAAGTAAATAAGCGCTCCGGGTGCTAAATCGAATCATTACAATAAGAGCGAACGAGTTGTAATTATCGGATCAAGCGTAGATCCTTGAGAGTACAATACGTACCAGTCCATCACAATCACTTATAGCCACGCTACTGTAAAATGATTCTGTTTCGCCGACAAGATAGCAGTGAAGGTCTGAGGATTTGGTTCTTTCAATAGTGCCGTCTTCTTTATATCGCTCGGTAGTGAAATCTGATCCGAGAAGCAACGTGTTTATTCGTAGGTTTAATTTAATAGTCTTTCCTTTAAACTGGACCTGCAGAAACAAAACAAAAAAAAGAAAACAAAATCTAAATGATCAATAGATAGACGGGTAGACAAATCGACGAATCCAGGTTGAAAACCAAGCCGTACGCCTTCTCTGGTAAGCCTCTAACACTTTCAAGCATAAGTTCATTCTGAGTGCAAGTATGTAAGTAGCCTTTAACAAACAAAACCCTTACTAACGTCATATCACAGTTTTTTATTCTTGGGTTTATAAGTATTTAATCCGTTTTAATTTCAGTCCTCTCCATTCATTCCCATCCTCGTTCCTTTTAAGCTTTTTCTTCTCATCATAACATACCTCTACCTTACCAAACTAATATACCACGCCTTCCTTCATGCTCAAGGCAGATTTGCACGTTTATCCCAATATAATAAGTTATGCTTGAAGTTTTGAAAGTTACAACGTGCGAGTCACATGAGTATTCTGGCAATTCCTACTTAAAGTGGAGCAACTGTTGGAAAGGGTCTAATGATACCTGATAGATGATGGGCCCAGCTTCTTCTGTCAGGCTCCTCCGGCGACGTCGATGGCTGGAAAGGGTTGTCACATGATCGATCACCTCATCACGGTGATCTAACTCAGTTGGGTAAGTGATGTCAAACTCTCCCAATGTTTTGATCAAGAAATCTATTAAAAATGATTCAGCAGATCAGTCAACGAATTAATCAATGACACACAAGAGCCAACTTATTGAAAAGTCTTTCTCACGTTTTCTGACAATACAGGCCTTTTCTCTTGTATAAAAGACAGATGGAAAAGCTATCTCTAGATGGAGGGGTCCAATTTCCTGAAGCAATCTGCTAAGCGCATCAGAAAGGTTTAGCGATATTGGAGGCATTTGTTCAAGACTTCGCGCGTTAAGATCAACTTTGTGATGTTTAAAACTCCTTCAAATCAATAAAGCCATCGATGGCCATGGCTAGATATGCTTTATAAATTCAACGACTTTGCGGAGATCTTTCAGAAGGCTCAAAGGGGCTCACTTTATCCGTAGGTATAAATCATGAGTACAATCCGGTTTATATGGTTATGATATTGTCCTCAGATCAGTACAAGTTTACATTTTTCGTTCAGGTGGAACTGGTTTTGATAAGTTTTCGGCGGCTACACAGCAAAGGAGAGTTTGCATCTGATGATAAATAACGATCTCCGCTAAAAAGATTGCTCTTGGAATTTCAGAGACAGTCTTGGCAATGATCAAACCGCTCATTTCATTGAGCTCCTGCAAGTTCGCCAGAACAGTTTGCATGCTATCATCCGTCCGTTAACCATTCGTTAGCTTTTACCCGTTTAACGGAAAAACGCTAAAGTAAGTTTTTCTTATGCATGGTCACAAAGGAGTAGACGTGAGGATGATGGGACGGAGAGGCGTGAATGAGCGTCGGCAATGATTGTGCAGTATGGGACAAAAGCATGCCAGAAATATTTTTTCAAAAAAGATATTTTGGCTGCGAGTGAAATATTTACTGGCGTTTTGATGACCTCTTTTGTCTAATGCGGAAATTGGAAATCAGAGAAAAACTTGTAATGGCAGGTCATTATGGCACTGTAGCCAGCACTTCAAGGCGTGGTCTTCATGAACCTTCGACTTACTCCAGTTATTTGGCCGTCTAAACTCTTATTATCCATCTTTGAAACAGCAGTTGTTTGTCCACTCCACTTACTTCCGTTTGGTATAGCTTGTTCAGGAAATAATTCATACATATAATCCAATAAATTACTCGGAAATGATGATGCATTTAAAAATGAATCAACTAGGAGGACATTACACATAAACCTGCCTCTCATTGACAAAAGATAGACATAAGCGACAATAATCTTCTGAAACATGTCCGAACATCATGTTTAACCTGTCATTGTAGACAGTGCCAGGTGAAATATATGGATTGTGTACGCTGGTTTAAACATTAGCGCTGGTTTGAACATTATACATTAAGTATACCACAGAAAATTAGTCTGATTCGCCCTTTCCTCTGATGAAATGCACCGTGCACTTGTAACGTCAGACTTTTATAAGATTTGCTGTAGCAGTTAAGTCATTCTCATCTTTCAATACCAATAAGCAAATCAGAGGACTGAACGCCAGCTCCGATACTGGTAGAAATGGAGCATGAAAGCATAAAAGTTATGATCTATCGTCTTCATTTTAACTCTCTAATTCATCCATTTATAACATTGAATCTGTTGTATACCCCATACTAAAACAAATTACGCAACTTCGCGAAGATAAGAGCACTACTACATTCTAAGATTGTGCTGCCGCCTCTTCTCACTAGAAACAATGGCACTTCCATATCTTTTGAATATCTTGATGCTCTGGTATGAGTGGTTTGGCATAACATGCTCTAAGGAGGAATTTCGTTAAAGCAAACTTAATGTGCGTAAACGTTTTAATTTAAACACTATCAGCTAACCACAGACTCAAAAGAGTTGTGGTTAGTGGAATTCACGGGGACTGGAAATGACGATATTCTGTAATTGTTTTTTACTTTCGCATTTGGTAAGCTTTTACTTCTGACAAATTCTGGTGTCAATCGTTTTGAAATTTCTGCTTTTGAAAGAAAATAACTGAAAACCGCGCTATGCCCTTGAAAAAAAAAAAAAAAAAAAAAAACGTAGCGGCGACGTCAAGGAACACGTCGATTAATAAATTAGTCCACATCTCTACATATAATTTTAAGAATGACCGGATGCTTTTACCGTCTCTTACAGCACCTTACATGAACTTTAGCTTGACGTATCCGAGCAGCTTTTAGTTCCAAACTGAATGAAACTGCAATGATTGGCCTTCGGAGTTTCAGCTCTCGGGCCACGCGAATTTTGGTGATTTGACGTTTTTGTTTGGCAGAGGAAGGCTAAGAGACGTGATAAGTCTTAAAAACGCACGTGTGGAGCTATTGTTTTACTCATTAAATTGACCTCTTTGCTTTGCCGTCGCCGTTGTGGTTTGCTCAAGGTACCTAATTATTTGGGGAAACACTTGAGTGTGAGAAAACACGAATTAGAATTGACACGCAACATAACTGATTCGAATAAAACGACCGTTTGTTAATCTACGCTATGAGTTTCAAATTTTTTATGTTGCGGATTCGTCTTCAACCAGTTCATATGCGAGATCATCAACTACACTACTTGTTTGAATCATCGTAAGCCGGCTTTCTGAGGAAGACGTTTAGCATTCTTGTGCATAAGTAGTTGGGACTGCGTCCGTTTTAGTTTTGTCTTATTCAGTTACAAGACGTAAGGCATTTCTGTTGCCAGTATGCAGGTCGCAATCAGTTTTTTGCAACTTGTATTACTAGAGAGAAAAAGCTTGCAAATATATGTAATGATTAAATCATATAACGCACATCTTTTTGGGAACTTCCTATTACATGATTTAATCAAATAACGTACACATGTTTGGGAACTTCCTATGACGTGATTCAATCATCAAATAACGCATTGCGTTTTAGGACCTGAATACTACACTGCGCCGATATGAACTTCCATTTCCAAGCAGTAACTTGCGTCATTTCATTGTTTTCAAGAAACCGTAACTACTACCGAAAGGGTTAAATTACAATGTACAATTTAAAGGTCACTTGCAGTGGGTGTTATTCGAAAGAAACTTAAATACACATGGAGTAAAGCCAAGAACCCCCAAATAGGCTTGAATGTTTTTTTTTTAAACCGAGTTCTTTTGACCGAATAAAAAAATCGTTTAGTCAAAGAAACACCCTCTAGCGTTGTTCTTCCCTTTACTGGAGTAAACATAGTTCACTGGGATCACTAGCTTTCACGTTTATCCCGTCACTCAATTTGCGTGTTGAAAAATTTTCCGGTATTTAGCTTTCAACGCGTGTTTCAAGAGGACCTCAGTTAATTATATATCCTCTGTCGGTAACGTGCCGCCACGGACAGCCCACAGAGTACTCGATATAAAATAAAAAAATCCAAGGAAGCAGGACTATTTAAACATAGCGCGCGTTACTCAAAGCTAGTATTGCGTGGTGAAGAAACCAAATAGTTCTTTACACTTGGCGACTATCTTCGTTTGCACGTGAAAAAAGACATAAAATAGCCCCCTATGACATTTGGTTGACCTTAAGCTTCAAAATTTTTAGAAAATGAGCGACAGAATGTATTGATTCCTTTGTTTATCATTGCACTGTGGTCGTACTATCTGCCGATAAAACTTAATGTTTAACCACTTAGCGTAAGTGCATGTAACGTAAGGAAATCCACCAATAAACAGTTCCCCTTTGTGTCTGGTGAGGCAAGGATTGGAGATTTTTTGCATGTGCGGGATTGTGCTAGAAAGAAAAGAAAAAGGATCTTGTCATGCTAGCCGGCCAGATGTCTAAATGATAACTCTTTCGACCAAAGCCACCCATACAACTCCTTACGTAAGGGTGAGGTTTTCTCAGTGCGTGAGACAAATGACAAAGGTAAATTGGCGGAATCTTCTGCGCACGGGTTGCTGACAAGCTGGGCAGCAAGATCTCTTTATTTTTTGTGTTCCTCGCAAATGCGGGGATATATTTTTAATAGGATATAAGCACTAATCGGATTCAATGTAGACTGCAGTCTTCAGACCAACGTGAATCCGATCACTTGTTGGTAAGAATTTTGTGATTTACTCGCTTTGATCGACTTACCTTGCTTTTCTTCTGCGCTGCGATGACTTTCTTTTACCTGGAAAAACAGGAATAGATCGACATGCTAGAAATTTGCCGTATCAAAGTTTGAATAAAGGACAGAAGAATTTATTCCGAATGCACGCATTTTGGTGAACTGAGATATGTTTATTACAAGATGGGATGGATTAATAATTACCGTCTTCGAGTATCTTGCTTCAATCCAAACAGCTAAACAGAGCAGTAACCAAACCACGAACAGGCTGATCACCCTCCCACTTTTCATCGCGACTTAAGCTCCGCACTTCGAACACCACACAACCAGTCTTAACGAAGGGTTTGGCAAATTGTCGCACATTCGTTTTACAACTTAGCCGTCGGTGCGTCAAATCTGTATTTAAATAGTGTCCAAGGCCGATGGATGACGTCACATCCGCCGTTCTCCATCCTCGGGCACGTAATTGGTTAACGTGTCTCGATGAAATGATATGATGGCGGTATGTTTATCTGGCAACCCAACAGCTGGAGAAAATGAATGACATAAGCGAATGAGAGGGTCTGTGCGAAATAATCGCCTCTCGACCCTAGAACTTGAACTGATTGTAACACATGTACAGTTCTCGAACATTATACGGTCACGTTCCACTGAAACAAAACTGTTTGCAAGAAATAGAATATACCTCTCTAGTGTAGGAAGAGTTTTATGGGCGTGTTTTGAAGGTTCACGTCGCGGTTTATTTTTCTGAGGGGTTTTACCAATACCCTGACCTTGTGCATAAGACTGAAAGCACTATTACTAAAAAAGGTAAAATCCTTGTCTTCCGCACGGAAGCGTTATCTGGAAAAAAAGCTAAAACTCAATGAGCGTGGTCTCGCGCCAGCCACGCGATGCACACCATCGGGTATCAGCCAGTTGGCTGACGGCAAAAAAGGCTGAAGTAGAGAGCTCAATGAAAACTTACCAAGAAAGGCAAAGCCAACTTCCTCATCCCGGAGGTCTGATTTACGCATATCTAACACCTGACCACTAACAGCCAAACTCACAAATCGGGCGTGACTCAGAGTCCCGCTTGCACAAGCAACGTGACGCGAGGCGCCTGGAAGCACTATCCTTAGGATGAGTGCAAGAGGTTTCAATTAACATGGTGATTAATTGTCACAACTGGGTACCGTTCTTGATTTTAGAATGAAATCAAGTGTCTAAGCATTCGTTCTTAGTGATGCATATCTTCTCTTTTGTATTTTTAACGCTAACGCATTTTATTGGTATCCATATCACTCCAAGGTTACTCAACGTTTAATTGTCACAGACACGTTTCCACCTCGTTGGGTGGTGACAAGAAACACTGAACAGTTACTTCTAGTTACTTCGCGTCATTTCATCGATATTCTGGCTCTTTTACGTTGACGATCGCGGCCCGCACTCTTTCTACGCTTTGCTTTCCTATTAACTCCCTACTCCCTCCATTTATACCCCAGGCAAGCGAATAAATCAAGTGTGGAAAAAAAATATTGACGAAATAATCTCCCTTGTCATAAACTTCCGGTGTGTTTTGCTTCATGCTAAAATGTTGCTGTTGCTGATGATGTTGCTGGTACTCCGGCAATCGCAACTCTTTAATTGTTCCTACTTCACCGGATATTCATTTTTTGACTCTACACTGTTCGAGTTAAAGTTGTGGTACCAAAAAGAGAGACAATAGACCCATCTTCGGCAACATGTAGAAATAGGAACTTCATTTTCATTCATACCAGCCAAAATAAACACTCTTTTATTTCCTACTCTTAAAAAGTTTTACTTCACCCGTGATCGCTGCTTCAGCTGAGAGCTTGTTATGTTACGGAGTTTGTATGCTACTCTTTCCCCTAGTCAAAAGTAAGTGTATATTAGTCGGCGTAGATGGCGTTTGTGAGTGCGCTTTGAAGACTTTGAAAGGGAAATAGTGGGAGAAACCACTGGACCATAAGCTTCTCGAGTTCGATCCTCCGCCGCTTTAATTCATGGTCCCACCCCTCCCCCCCATTCCACCCCTCCCCCCTCCCATTCCACCCCTCTCTCCCATTCCCCTTGCAGGTGGAAATATATATCGCGTATTGCCCTCCCGTGCCGTTCTGTAATGAGGAATGATACTTTTAAATTAATAGGCGGGGTGCACCAAAGGTTGAAATCTTCTCTGGTTGCGTCACTCCACAGGAGAATGGAACTACGGAACTAAATGTCCTGCGCAGGTGAAGATTTGATCATGTGACAGCCACTAACCAATAAACTGTGACATTTTTTCCTTCGCAGCAATCGTCGCCATTTTACAGGAAGTTTCCCGATTCTTCATCGCAGTACACGACGTTTGCCTGTTCCCATTCTATTTTACATCGTAATAGTTATTCGGGGGAATGGCACTAAAGAGGATCAACAAAGTAAGCTCTGGCTTCGTTTATATGACCTATGATGTGATACGAGGGATTACAAATACAGTTAATTTTGATAAAATATGGCAGAATCGATGGCGGTGCAAAAGCGATATGAAAATGTACACACAGCACTTTTGCCTTTTTATGTTCATATGATGGCCATCAGTGCATTTTGTTTACACTCTACGTAACACCTGGACATCGAAATATAAAAGTTATATCGTACTCTTTTTTTCTGTCAATTCAGGAACTGCAAGATCTTGGACGTGATCCACCATCACAGTGCTCTGCTGGGCCGGTTGGAGATGACTGTAAGCGGAATATGTCGCCGTATTTTATCACTTAAAAAGCAAACTTTTTACCACACACCATTCTTAATTATATAATTACCTTACTTGGTATCTCAGTGGTTCAACTTTGTGTTCTATGTCTGAACGCTAGTCCTCAAAGTTCAAATATTATTTTTCTCTTTCATTGAAATCTGTGTCATCGCGTGATCATAAAGTGTTTCATTGGCAAGCGACTATAATGGGTCCGGTAAGAAATTCTAATACCTATGAAGCCTTTGGTGTTTTTGAAATATTTTCACTGATCGATCTTTACAAAACATCGTTGAATTGTAATGCTAAGCAGTGTTGTTTGCTGTTTCTTTTCGAACAGCCTGATAGCCCATACCAAGGTGGAGTGTTTTTCCTTACAATACATTTCCCAACAGATTATCCTTTTAAACCTCCAAAGGTAGGTGACTTGGTTATTGTATTATAAAAAAAGTTAATCTGTTTTAAACAGCTCTCAAAGAACCTGAGGAATTGTATTTTTTGTACTGTTCGTGATGAATTCAAGGTTATATTTGTAGAAGGCCACAGTAACGTTGGTAGGCACATTGTACTGGCTTGCTAGCGAATCAAGTTTTGTGTCTTATATATTGATTCATTAATATTCCTCGAGCCGAAGTGTATTTTTTTTTAAGAATAGAACGGCTATGATCAGAGGCGTGAAACTTAAGTATAACGATCTTAGATTGCTCAACATTTCACGCATAAAGTTGCTTACAACATACCGTAAATGAACGACTGTAATTTAGGAGTTCTTTCAAGTTTAGCGTTTTGTAAGCGAGCATCATTCAGTTCTTAGGATTTATATTGTTACTGTTGAAGTCAAACTTTTGACCACATTAGAAACTAGGTTATGTTTTTCTTATTAATTTATCCTGCGCTGATCTTAAGTCGGGATATTTTTAAAACCACCCTCCATATGAGTCATATATAGTTTTAAGCTTCTCATGGAATACTGTCAAGATTTTCTTTTCTTGTTATGGTTGTATTCTTTGAAATGACTGTTGAAACAACTTAATTATCCCCCTACAGTATTCATTTCTGTAAAGCTTGCCTATGCTAAGCTCTCTATTCAGAAGAGTATTGATTTGCCCTTTTACTCTTTCAAGTCTAGAAACTGATGAGATTAACAAGAGTAATTCCAAGTTACATATAGGAAAGTTAACTAAAACCAAATTTAGCAGTGTCAGAGGAAGCATGCTTGAACCTTAAATTATTGTCCTAACTAAATACCTGACAAAGATTCAACATATCCCTGTTTCTAGGATTTTCTGCTGTTTCCAATTGTTTGATTGTCCAATATATGTATGAGGGCATTTTCCATTTGTCATGTATGACTTGTCTGTGCAAGTTCTCAATAAGAATGTTGAAAACTTTATATGGAAATTTTAACTGTGGCAATGCACATGGAATTTAAGAATTGAAGTCTTCTGATACTGTCTTACATTGCTAATTCATAAGACCCATTTTCTTGTTGTATGTGAAGAATTATTTCAATAAATTATAGAGCTGGATTAATTTATTTTTTAAACTTTTCTTGCTTAAAATTTGCAATTTCTATGCTGTCTAATTTAGTTGCTGTGGAAAGTTCTTTTACTTAAAAAAGAAATAAATAGTTTTGAAAACATCTCGATCAAAAACAAAGAATCATAACATCTGGGCCAGGTTGTTCGGAGCTGGGTTAAGATAACCCAGGGTTAATGGGAAATTGGATTTCAGATCTGAAAGCCTTAAAATTAAATTCAATGCAATTTTTATGCTACAAGTTGATGAATGAATGCTCTAAAAAGACTAGAGAAATTTATCTCAAGAGGGCTTTGAACAAAGGAATTAAGAACCCATATAAAAATTTAACCTTGTGCTAGTGCCAATTTGCCTTTGAACAACTGAGCCCTGGATTTTGAATTGCAGAAGTCAGTTATAAGTGTAAATTGCTTTACATCAGTTTATATTTAGTATTTGTGCAGTCTTGTAACTTTGATTTGTCACATGGTTTTATGTTTTATATGTTATGCATAATCAACTTTTTGACAATTCAAATGGACTTGTCTGCTGTTCCCTTGGAAGTTGGAAAGATGTCTATATATGTATGGAATAGATGGTTGTATTTTCTTTGCAATTTAAATTAGTTTAAGTCTCCTTTTTGTTTCAGTTTTATAAATTATCCTTTCAATTTGAATGAGTAGTCGAACAGACAATGATAAAAGGAAAGAAAAATGTGAAAAAAAGGATATGGGGTAGTTTTGACTAGACGGGTTTTCAGGACTAAGAAGAGAAATGCACAGTGTGGATAACAGCAGGCTCAGGATAAAACAATTTATGTGGATAAGTTTGCTCAAAGTATACTTCAAATATCATTGAATGCTGGGTAATTTATCTCATAGTGAGTGTTATCCTCCTTTTAAATGAGCAGGGCCTGTTGTATTAATACTGTGATTAATTGATTTTTATTTTGCAGGTATCATTTACTACAAAAATATATCATCCTAACATAAACAGTAATGGCAGTATTTGTCTTGATATCTTACGATCCCAGTGGAGTCCAGCACTAACCATTTCTAAAGGTGAGATCATTTTCCTCAGTTACTCATTGACTTTAATTTCACATGCACTGTATTCTGATGAAACAGGTATGAGAAGGTAAAGAACAGGAAATGGCAACATTTTGAGTAGTTAATAAGGGGGACTACAATTATACTTCAGGGCCTGGTTGTTCAAAAATTTGATTAGAGTTAACCCAGGGTTAAATTTTTATCCAGGTTTTTTTAATACTTTTTTAAAGCCTTTTCAGATAATTTTCTCTATTATTTTTAGGGTATCCAATCATCCAATTGTAAACAAATGGAATGGTACTCAATTTTCTCTTAAAGCTTTAAATCCTAAATTAGATTTCACAATGACCCTGGGTTATCTTAACCCTGGTTTGAATGACCTGGCCCAGGTATTGAAAAAAATCAGTTGTGGTGGATAAGTTAAAAAAAAAAAAATGGATAAATAAGAGGCTGCTTGTACCCTGAGACTTGCAGCTCTAGCTTATTTTTGTCCTGTATGTGTTAACAACATGCTACTTAAAAAGTGTGGAAATATTTTACCTTTGGTGTACACTTTTGGGCAATTTAATTCAGTCATTGTCAATTTAACAAATAACTTCCATCTTGCTATGCATCTCTTCAGTTATAGATCACAAATGATGTTGAAATGATCACAGATGATGTTAAAATATGTAAATAACTAAAAAATGACATGCAAGTCTCATCTGAGTGTGTCACTGATGCTCTTACCACATTTTGAGGTCTTCTGTGATCTATTACTGTACACACCCATGGTAACATGGGATTTATTTGTTTTATGTAGTAGAAAAAGAAAAAATACTGTTAATGTTAAGTCATCTACACGTAAGTGTCTGTCCTCCAAAAGATCATCATTGAAAAGCAATCAAACTGCTTGTACGATTTTGTCTATCGTATAACTCAATTTTATGTTACAATTGAATTATTTTCCATGATTTATTATGAAATACATGTATACTCTGTGGATTATATTTCACTCTAAGTCAGGTCATGTATTAAGCCTTTAAGTATGCTGTATTTTTCCAGGTTTTAATCACCGCACAGTCATTTGGTCAGTGAAATGTCAACTGATATGCTTAACTACTTCTTTTTCTTTTTAGTACTTCTGTCAATTTGTTCTTTGCTTACTGATCCAAATCCTGATGATCCCTTGGTGCCAGAAATAGCACGTATCTATAAAACAAACAAACCAAAATATAATGAAACAGCAAAAGAATGGACAAGGAAGTTTGCCCAATGATGACTTCATTGAGACACTGCTGTTGCATTGTCTGTGGCAAAGTCGTATTGTTGTGATGTGCAATATATGTTATGTCCTACAGTACTTTCTTTAGAATTGTTGAATGATTTACTAGCTATTTGTCTTTGTCGTGTAAGGTATATACTGTCAGTCATATGATGAAATAAATGTAGAGAATGCCATAAACAGGAGTTTGCAAGTATATATGTATATTTCTAAATCAAGTTAATGTTTTGTGTAGCAGATTCAGATTTTAATAAATTACATTGTTCTGAATAAGTGCAGCAACTGTTTTTGTACGTTTTGTGCGTGTGTTACTTGTTTCATTGTATATACAAATTGTTGTGAGCACTTTCTGCCCAACTTTAAGCAGGTACGTTAACCACAGTTGACTCTATATTTGTGCTTTGTTTTCCCAAGAGTTGGAATTATAAGTATTCTCTGTACACCTGTATTGGTGAGGTCAAATTACTTCTTGGTATATTATTGTTTTGTATTACTACTGAAACTCCAGTTTCCACCTGGTCTTAGTTGGCAGTGACATTGTTTAGGTGTTAGTAATTTAATTGCAAACCGCCTCCAGGAAAAACCTTCAACACTTATCCTATGGTCGTAGTTTAAGTTACAGCTAATGATTTTAATTAGGGCTTCTGCAACACCTTCAAACTTTGACATTTGTTGTCTCTTTGTTCCTTTTGGAAGTGGTAAATAAACAGACAATTTAGTGATTGACTTTTGAATGTGATTTGCTTTAGTTTCTTACATCCTCTTCAGTTCTCCAAAATGTTAATAGTATTAAACAAAGGAAACAAATATCTTAACCAATATATGTTAATAGATACATTATTTTTAAAAAGGGAGACTAGCTTAAATTAACCTCAATGCAATTAATTTCATTAGTCTTTGAAATTTTTCGTTTTCTTTAAGAACCAAGTTTAAACTAACCCTTACGGTCCCAAAAGTGATTAAAAGTAATTTCTCTTTCTATCCATCTCATTACAGTGTTTTCATATGCCAAAAAAAAGGGAAAAAACCAAGGGGAATAGGGAAAGTTATCATTTAAATCCCAAATTTGAATTACTAATGAAATGAATAGTTGGTGGGAGAGGATTAAAATATGTTATAATCAGATTTGAATTTTGGGTTAGAATAGCCTTTTACAGAGATGTACTTTCATTTGAGCTAAAGATGTGAGTGTAATTTGAAACGAAATACAAATCAAGCTATACTATGGTTTGAAATATTTTAAGGTCATTTTGTATTACACAGTATAAATATAGCTATTCTTTCTCACTGCTTGCTTCTTCCTATGATCTGCTATTGATCAGGAAACAGAGGTCAAGAAAAAGTGGGGGGGTGAGGAATATTTTCATGTTGTAATTGTTATTCCTCTTTCTGGGGAAGACTAGGTTTAGGCCTCGCCAAAGAAGAGAGAGGGTGGTAATTTCAGCAGGGAATACTGCTCTTAAACTGAGGATGGAGTAGGAAAAAGAAGTAACATGCCTCACGTATGCAATCCTTCCCTCTACTTTGGTCCTAATATCAGAAACATTTGAGCCAGAGCAAGTCGCGCGTGAATTCGTCAATATGTACCTTCTTCTTAAACACCCTTTCCAACGCATATCCTTAGGTGACCCCATGCAAACTAATGCTGCCCGGATGTCTAATGGCTGATAAGTCGTCCATTCTGCTGTTTTCCCCTTCTCCATAGCAGCAGATTAAGCCCACAAGTGGACATCAAATCTCCTCCTTTCATACAAACCTAGTCTCGCGATCGTCTCATCACACCCCAAACGCTCAGCCTTTGGTCGGACTTCCTAATTGAAGTACAGGTGAGCTGATTGACTCATTAGCGGCAGTTAATACCGCCAGCTATTCTAACCTGAGAATCTATGGAAAAACGTCCTAAAAGCTACTCAGATCATTTACAATGCACATTAGAATTTGAGTGTTTCCTACACAATACTGCAAAGTAGTCATCGGTTGGGGACCTGGCGGTGGACAGAAAATCTCGTGCTCCTCTCGAGAAACAACACCCATTAGGGAACTGGAACTAGGCCGGTTCTTCTCTGTGAACGTGACTGTCTTTCGGCCAATGGGTGAAGAGGAAAACAGCTCACACGTTTCTTGTTGGCCTCCATTAACAGGAAGTTTGCGATCTCTAACGCATTAGTAAAATTTATATTTTCCTCGAGACTTCAACAGAATAATAGGGTTTATAGAAAATGGCGTTAAAAAGGATAAACAAAGTAAGTGTTGATGTTTTTGTATCGGCGTTTTCTGGCGAATGAAGAGTTGAAAGTAAATGTTAACTCCCATGGCTACGGTGTACCCTTTCGGTCGTGCATGAAAATTGTATGGGCGATCCACATTGGTTGTTAAGAGTGTTTTGAAAAGTTTTGATTAAGCGGTGTCCGGCCCATCTAGTTGTTTGGATGAGTTGGAATTTTTGTTGAGTTTCATCGTCATTTCTCAGGAATTGCAGGATTTAGGACGTGACCCGCCAGCACAATGTTCCGCAGGACCAGTCGGAGATGATTGTAAGTGAAATATGTTTCACATGACAAGATTTGGTATGTTTCGCGGACTTTGTAGAAATTTCTGGCTCACAGACTATTTGATTCTCTAAAGCTAGCATTTCAAAGATTATGCGTGTTGTTAAGCTCACTGTATTTCAATTGCGTCAATCTGTAAATGTTAACATTGTTTTCTCCTCGTATATTTTTGACTTGGTATGTACGAATGAAGTATTTCACTGGCAGGCGACAATAATGGGACCGGTAAGGAAATTTTATATATTTGAATCTTTGCTGTCATATAAGTAGATTCGATGGAAAACATTCCTAAAGGCCTTTGTTAAGTTGTAGTTCTATTTGTTGTTTCTATGTGAACAGCCTGATAGTCCATACCAAGGTGGAGTGTTCTTCCTTACGATACATTTTCCAACAGATTATCCCTTCAAACCACCAAAGGTAGGTAAAATTGAAGTATTTAATATAAACTCCTCAGCTTATTTGTTTATAACATATCTTTTGATTGAAACTAATCAAATATATCGGGAAGAGAAGTGGAGTTTGTTTTGTCGTGCTGAAGGAACACTTACGTAGTAAGCTTTTCGATCGATTTGCAGTGAAAGTGCTCTTTTCCACCTCTCTTCCGGTGAATTTCATTGTTAGGTATTTTGTGGTTGTTTGAGTTAGCTCCTTTAGTATTTTAAAATGCTTTAGCTTGACGGTCAGAATTTGTCTCAGCTTTGATGTAGTCGGGTAATGGACTTCAATTCTAGTACTGTCATGACATGCGAGTCGATCGCATGCAAGTTTCACTCAGACAAGCTTTTCCTTGAAATTAACCCTAATTTATTTTTAAAAAAATGGCGCCTTGTGTGCAGATTGTTTCTTTACATCAGTGAATTCGATCGATCGTTTTGCAAAAGCAGACAGCTATTCTGTAAATTTCCAAATCTCTACATCAGTAGTCTGTCTTAGGTCCATACCTCATTTAATCAAAACTACAACAAGATTCTTGAACGTGATTGGTTATCACCAGCCCCATTTGAGCACTAATAGGACAGTGAAGGCAACATGCTTGTAACTGGACAGTTAAAGGGACAGTTAATATGTCATGCCTGTCAGAGTGGACCAAATGCTTCATGTGTGCACACTGTTTTCTTGCATTTTGCAGAGTTAACTGTTGTTGTTGTTATTTTTTATGAAATGTACAATCAATATCTAGCTTCTTTCTCAAATTTTGTCATAGCTTTGATTAATAGGCAACAGTACTTTGTGTCATCCAATTCTGTCTGCAATTACGCTCATGATTAACAAATTGGACTCCACTTTGTGATCATCTGATTTTGTTTATCACTCCTATGATTACAGACCAAATTGGACTTGACTCAGTACTATTACCATTATTAATTGACATGACTGTACAACACCATGATTTTAATATTGCATTAGGGACTGAATAAACTATGGGTATGGGTATGGCCCAGTAGGGTATGATTTGAGGATCTGCAATGAAACTTGAATAAACAGTAGAGGGGCCACCTTGTATTAAGCAGACAACAACCCAAATTTTTTCCCAAATTTTTGGTCCCAGTAAAATAAACCTCAGTTCAGTATATATCTCTAACAGGTGGCTGCAGAGGCCAGGGGTATGTGGTGTTCTTTTTTTTTTTGTTAGGAAGACATTACTTGATGAAAGATTTTTTATTATTATTTCTATTGAATTCAGTAAAAGATAAAGCTGGGTACCTTTTAAATGGTTATTCTCATAATTACATTATTTCTGTCTTCATGAAACAATCAGATACATTACTGACTTTCCACAATTTTTTTTCTTCTTTTTTTTTTTTTTTTTTTTTTTGGGGGTTTACAGCTACTGTTACAGTATAATTTGCTTGACCTGTATTAAGTTGACATACTGTATTTAGGTGAGTCTAGCAAGTGTCCCTTGGTTGCTAGCCAAATTCAGGTCTCTCTATGCTTCTTTTAACCTCCTTTTGACCTTTCAGTCACTGATCAGTTTTTATTACTGAGTTCCCTCCTTTTAACTTACATTCAGAAGTTTTGTCACACTCAGGGGACAAGAGAGAATGGTTTGAGATCAAAATTGCATGACATAAAGTTCATTGACCACTTACATGTAATTATATCCATTTTGAAATCAATCAATTTGATCACCTAATTTCATTTGTCAAACATTTTATTGAAATGAAAGAAAATGAAAAATTTTTAATTAATTTAACAGCTGAAGTCTGAAGTCTGATTGGTTGTTTTAGTGTGGAGCTCTATGTTAAAATTGCTTGGCAGAGGAAAAGGTGCAGTTGAGAGCAAAACTTAGTGTAACTTGTGTTTAGATTGTTCTGTTGATGATCAATTTGATGGTTAGGATAACAAGTGATTTCAAAATGGATGTACTTTGTAGAGTAATGAGAGGTACTCAGTTGTGAAGTCTTAGTAAACTGTTTACTTGTGTATCTTTCATTGTTTTCAGGTATCATTTACAACAAAAATATATCACCCTAACATAAACAGCAATGGTAATATTTGTCTTGATATATTACGATCGCAGTGGAGTCCAGCACTAACAATTTCTAAGGGTAAGAGTGCTGAAAGGCCTATTGAAAAAGCATTAGCCTGAGTTATGCAGAATTGTGATAGTCTTGTTGGATAGTGTGACAATATTTATTTTTTTCTCTCAGACATGCAAATTTTTCTCAAAGTTGCCTTTTGGCTACCTTGAACCAAAGTAACAGGTAGATTATTGGTCAGTCATGGAAATAAACTCTTTTCACTAAAATGTATGATTGGTTAAACTGTTGACTACGCAATGAAACTTTGTCTTTGAAATAACTGAAATGGTCCTTTAACTGTCACCCTCAAATTGGGGACACACATGTCAAATCAAGCCTTAATTCTCAGACAACTAATGATGTCAACTGAATTAGAGGTTGTAGATTTAAGTCATGGGTGTATGCTTCTCTTGTGTAGAAGGAAGGCTAAAAATGCTGACTGGCCGCAGCTTGGTATCTGTCACATGATCACAGGTTGCCAAATTCAGGACCTTAAATTTGTAGTTATTTTAGTGACCAAACTGATTGATGCTTGATGAATTAATGCTCTGAGAGAGAAATGCATCATTTTCCAAAGTTATTTGACCTATGATATTTCTTTTTTGTTGCAGTTCTTTTGTCAATATGTTCACTGCTTACAGATCCAAATCCAGATGATCCATTAGTGCCAGATATAGCACGTCTATACAAATCAGACAAGGGTAAATATGAAACTGAAGCTAAGGAGTGGACTCGGAAGTACGCCATGTGAAGTTTGGTGGATTCTTGTTTCTGTCTCTCCTTCTGTATTGTGCTAGAAGTAAAGTCTTGCTTTTGTCTTAAAACTGTCTATCCTTATCTCTACAGATGTTCCTCATTAATCTGTAAGTTATTGTTAGTACTTTGTATGTACTATACCATTTGTACAGTTATCTGACGTCGTGGGTAATGTCTCTATTTCATCAAAACTTGAATGGGGTATCCTCAAATAATTTATGGTAGCATCAACCTGTGATTACCGTAAAGCTTTAACCAAAAAAAAAATTAAAAAGGTATTAATTACAGCAGCGAAGTCTTTTAGAATGCATTAGGTAGACATTTATACAGAGGCAGTACCAGAGTTTGAATTGTGTGCATCAAGTAAATATTGTAGGAGATGTTTAAAAGATATGCAATTGTGAATTGTAAACTCATGTTTACTATGTCTTGGTCAGTTGCAGGAGAATTTTTTTCTAATACATGCGCAGTTGTTTTTGATTGTATTTTTTCAAAATTTTAAAGCTTGGTTGCCAGTGTTATTAATGGCTTTCAGAGGCTATTTATGACTCAGTCTTCAAAGCTTGTTGCCATATGCACAAATAATGAATTAGCACCCATTTGGCTGTTTACTGGACCATGCACAAAGCCTCACCTACTGAATTTTTGCAAAGTGGTTTGGCCATCATGCTGGATCATGTAACTGCCAACTTAGGTTATGTGGCAAGAGCAAGAACAAAATACTCTCAGTGGTGATGAGGGTTTGAGACTAGCCCCAGTTTGTTTTGATAGCAGCCTTCCTTCCCCCTCCACCCTCATCCTGTGGAAGTATAAAAAATTTTGTCTCAAGACAGGACAACTTTACTTGTGATCCTTCCTCACACAATTACCTTGGTTGGTGGCTCCTTGATCACACTTTTTAATCCAGTGATTTGGTGGAGAAAGTAAAGATCTTTTGTACTGGAGTCAGTCAAAGTGTGCATTATCTGTTTGCCTTTCGTGTTAATATTTTTGAAAATGGCCTCAAATGTCAATATGCTGCTCTGAATATTGATTTTTGAAATTACATCTTTTATTGGAAGTGAATTTTTTTTGTGACTTACGTCTTTTCCATTTGTATATAATTTACACTTTCAGAATTTTCATGTAAACTGTATTCAACACCTGAATTCTCCTCAGAAAATGGACTTACAAGCCACTTGGTATCTAGTATAATATAACAAGTTGTGAATACACATTTTTGTGATTACCAATACTAAGGAGAAATTAGGTGCTTGTCTGTTGTACTGAAAATATCATCACCCACTTTTTTTACTATTGAAGTTTTGTATTGTAAATCCTCTTTGTATCAGTATAAATTGGCAGAATTGTAGTGTATAACTGTTAATAAATATTATGATGTACCTCCTGTTATGTTTATTTTAATAATAAAGCTCTCTGCAGTTGCAATACCTACATGTAATGTTATGCAATTACTGGACTATTTTTGTCACCTACACATATCAATGAATTGTCTGTAGCTAGCAGATGATATAGCAATACCTTTTTGGTCTGCAATGAACCTTAGTGAACCACATATCAGAAATCCTATCCCTTTCAATGTGATGATATTATTCCATTTTTCTTACATTATATCTATTTTGGGATCACAACTTGCAAGCAGTCCATCCATGGTGGTTTGCTCTCAGCCTTTCAGTTTTTTCTCGTACTTATTTCTTTGTTGTTTATGTTGTTTTTGTTTCTTTTTTTCACTTTTGTGCAACTTAACCCCACCATATTGGATCCATGAACACTGTGTAAATTGTGGCTTTCTTTTTTCTCACTTTGTGCATATTGATTTAGGAGAAAAAGGAAAGTTTGTGGAGAGGCTAATTCCCAGCATGGAGGAGGTATATTGGCATGAAGTTTTTTTTTTTGGGTGGTCGGGGGAGGTGAGGATGGCAATAAAAAATAATAAATTGAGATGCTCAATCAATGGAAATTTTCCTTTCCTTCTCTATGCCAGGGCAAAGAAGGACACTTTCACTTGGCTTAAAAGCAAATGTGCTGCCAACAGAGTATATCAAGGTTTTGAATCATAAAAAGGGTGTACTATTTTACCATGTAACAAACTCTTAGTGTTAGAGGTGCTGATAGTAGCACATGATCCACAAGTGAGATATGAGTACAAAGAAAGTTCTGTTTGTGGCTTCATGAGGTCAATATGCCTCAATCAATCATTTTTTTCATGAACAGAGTAGTGAATAGTACACTGGTTATGTTTTCAGTAGGTTAGGCTTAAAGGGAAGGACCCTTTCTAAAGTGATCTTCTGATCTTTTGATTTTCAGTCATCTTATCTACCGATTCTACCCTTTAGCTAATGGTGTTGCTCAAAGTCGTCATTGTTGACCTTTGTTGACTGTATAGATTACTTCAGGTGAATCATGTGATTTCCCGCTTCTTTTCTTGTTGGGACGTAAAGCACTGGGTCGAGTAGTCAAAAATATTGAAAGCATGAGTGGTATGCAAGAGCCTGAAACTAGCTAGAATCCAAGATGGCGGATCGAGACGAAATGGACGAATACACCAACACAAAGCGGGTTCGTTTGTCATCTGACGCTTCTCTCGATCAAAATATTAGCTATAGTGATGATAAAGATAAATTTGAACCAGAAAAAGATTTCAGATTGCAGTTCACGGCAACTGGAGAAGGTGATAATTCGAAAAAGCCGTCGTCTGAGTCTACGTCACGTGAACAACATGTCGGCCACGGAGGACAAGAAAGACGTCAAATTGACGACTTTCCGACTTGTTTCAGCGTAGAAGAAGGCTTAGATGATATTGATGAACATCATTATCAGCCTGTTGCCGGTAATTATAATTTATTTGCTCTTGAATACCCGCAAATTATTACATCAACACGGTTTTTGTATCCGCCATTTTGTTTTTGTTCGTCGGTTTCAAATGGTCGCTTTGAAATTTCACTTCTCAAATCAAAACTTGCTTTTCCTCGAAAAAGCATGCTAATCTGGGCGCTATTGGGAAACCGAAACCCTTGATTGTGGTAGTTAATAAATTTTCTTCACCCTCTGTCCCCTCCATAATGAATACAGCAAATTTGCACAAATTTGTACGGTCTTAAGAAAGGATTTGCACTTATAGTTATATTGATCTTTGACAAAGAGTTGTGTCTGATCACAAACAAGAACAAAGAATTTCATTGTTATCAATTTCATGGTGAAGCCTGGTTACCAACTCAATATACATAGCTAAGCTTCTTAACCTATTTTTGTATTTATTAACTTGTTTAAAAAGTACTATTCTTAAAAACATATCTTAGTTACATTTTAGTGTCAACAGATCCTATTGTATTTAATTAGGCAGGTCCACATCAGCCTTTCACTGACTTTTATTGACCTGTGTTGACAAAAAATGTTTTGTGTATGTATTGAAATCACTTTTGTGACTTGGAATGGTGTTAGAACTTATCCATGACAATCCATGACATTTAATTTCCCATTTCAATGAAAACAGATAACAAAATTATACTTATGGCAATATACCTTGCTTGTGTAACAGATTCGAGACTGACTTTGAGACTTGAGGTTTCTACCTGGGGGTGTATTAAGATTCAAATTTGGTCTTTCCTAACGATTATCATTCCTGGTATTTGCTATATTAGGTCCCATGGGATGGATTGAACAGCAGATGAGTCATGATGTTAATCCAGAGGATATTCTTACCTACATGATACCCCATGCTCAATTGGTAAAACTATTTTGCTTATACTTAACAACTTTTTGGCATGAATTTCCCATGGGATGTGTATGTTTCATTAACTGCTCAAAAATTAAAAAAAAAAAACCCACTTAAACTTGCACCAACATTCCTATCCTTCTTCTTACAGTTATAAGTCTTTTCAGTTTGTATCTTCAGTGAAAATTAAGATAGTAATTAAAAAAAAACTTTTTTGAGACCTTGTTATGAATTTATTGGCATTTCAGTGGTTTTTATACAGGTATGTGGTGAATCAACATAGATAGTAGAGATGGAAAATGAATACCACTGTGCTGGTGGTAAGAGGCAAGATGATGAGATTTGGCCTTGTGGTTTTCTCTCAGCTATTTTGCAAGTTATTTTATAACAGACTATTTGAGGTGACTGGTCAGATACAGCTCTATATACTTGTAGCACAAAATTGGTCTAAAAAATTGAATTGAATATGAAATGTCCTTCATTGTCTCTGGTTCAGTGGTCTTTATTGTTTTCAATGACATTTTCTTCATTTAAGCCTCCCAACCTCGATAAAACAACTTTATGGAAGATTATCATTGACATTCTTACTGAGCCCTCTCCAAGACAAAAGCTTGACCATTTTAATACTCTTGATGATGTTGTGGAACTTCTCAAAGGATCAAAGAACATAGTTGTTTTAACTGGAGCTGGGGTATGTAGCTTTTCTCTCAGTAGAATACATTACTCTTACTAGTATTATATATTTTTTTCAATTCTTATACCTGTGTGCAACAACAATATTCAGTTAATAATTGTATATAGTTAGAGGTGAAATATGATGAAAAATAACTGACCAGTTGAGTTCTCATGCATGCCAACTTGGAAGCTGTTTGCAGAATAGCCATATAGTGCTTCTTTATGATGAAGTATGCAAATTTACCCTCTCAAGAGAATCACAAGGTTAAACCATTTACTGTATCTGTATGTTTATTTTTGTGCCACAAAACCCACGGATATTGTTTGCAAAATAACTTAAACTGGTTAAGGTGACTTCACACTCTCACTGAGTCATCCCCTTTTGTACTAACACTTCAAAAATCAATCATTGAATCCTCATTGGTTGCATAGTTTGAAGTTCATTTGTTTTTACCTAGGTTTGGGATTTAATTGACGTAGAATCCAGTAACTTTTTGCGCAAATTATCAGATTTACTGTCTGCATTGTTTATGATAAACTGGATATGTCGTATGATTACATTGCAGGTATCAGTGTCCTGTGGTATTCCAGACTTTCGCTCTCGAGATGGTATCTATGCTAAATTAAGTGTTGAATACCCTGACCTTCCAGACCCTCAGGCAATGTTTGACATTTCATACTTCTGTCAGAATCCACGACCATTTTACAAGTTTGCAAAAGTAAGTTGCTCGTTGTAAATGTACTTTGTAATGAACAGTATAAGAACAGTCCATTAATTCATTAAATTAGATGAGAGTTTGTCCCAGTTTCTGTAATCTAATGACTCATACAGGTAGGCATGGATGGATGTAGTCAGGAGTCTGTCATCTTCCCTTTACACAGTGTACAAATGTACTATATACCATTTAATCCAAACACTTATAATACAGTGTAACAGTTCCAACAGTAAATCCATCTTTGCTTGTTATGAATCAAGGCAAATGAAAGTTTCTGTTTGGAAAGTTGGCTCATTGTTTAGGACCTGATTGGACCAGAAAATTGTCAATTTCACTAGGCCTAGCTATTTTCAATATTGTAACAGCAAACATTTAATGAGAATGACAGTTTCTTGCTCCACCTTATTTCTTTTGTTTATTTAACTTACTTCTTGTAGTGAGAATCGCTCACAATTCCCTTTTTACCCCTTTAACTCCCAGGAGTGATTAACATGTAACTTCTCTGTATGGTATCTATACATAATCCCACAAATGGGTAAAGAGAATACTCAAACTTATCAGGTAGTAGTTGTTATCAGACTTGGGAATTAAAGGGTTAAGAATGAATTAAAAGTTACAAAACTTGTGCACTCTGTTTCAAACAAAGACTGCATTGTTTTAAACATCATGATCCTCCACCTTTAAGAAACAGGAACTGCTTTCATTGCAGGATGATATACTTATCATTTCCCACTTGTGTTTTATAGCAACCACCACCCACTTTTCTGAAATTAGATTGCAAGTTATTTGGGGAATACATGATGGACTTTCATTTAAGCTCAATTTTGAATAATACATAATTTGTGGAGGAGTGTGTGTTATTGCAAACCACCACAAATGCTATGTATTTTTTTTGTTTGCTTGTTAACTTTTGATGCATTATTTTTACCCTAGGAAATATATCCAGGAAAATTTAAACCTTCCCGTAGTCACAGATTTATCAGGCAGCTAGAATTGAATGGCCAACTTTTGAAGAATTATACCCAGAATATCGACACTCTGGAACAGATTGCTGGCATATCAAGGGTCATACAATGTCATGGTTAGCTATAAGAGTGTGATTGGTAAAGCAGGGTAAAACATTTGGAGATTAGATGAGAAAAAATCAAAAGTAACATATGTCCCAATTTTCTAGTCCCTAAGTAACCCTTTTAACATCAAATTTACTCACAGGCTAGATTTTTCTTCCACTTTGAATTCTTTTTAACTTGAGGTTTTCTAGACATTGTCAAGTATTTTTGAAAGAAGCAAATGCTGGACAGGGCCTATTTCTACAGGACAACATATAATTTGTAGTGTGTAAATAGTTAATTTACTGTGTAGAACAAGAAGATGCAAATAGATCTGCACATGCAACTAAATAACATGGCTGTCCAAGCTTTTCCTTTGCATAAAGTGATTAGGGGTGGAATGACATTCTTTCAAAAAACAATGCCTCAGTAATTTGTGGGGTCTCACTAATAATGTGCTCACACCCTGTACACTCATTGTCGACAAAATATGCATTAAGTGAATTTTTTTGTCCACTACAACAACTCAGTTACTTTTCTGTGGCCTAAAGATGTTGTGCCTTTCTGCTGTCCAGTAGGCATATCATAACTATCTGTAAGCTCTACCACTTGTGTACACACAGGCAGAGAACTGAAATTTTCTGTTATTAATACTTCAGTGATTTTTGGAACATAATGTGATAAATTACACTGTAACCACAGGGTCATTTTCTACTGCATCATGTACAAATTGCAAGTACCAGGTTTCTTGTGAGGCCATAGGAGATGATATTTTTAACCAGGTTTGTTTATTTCTATTGTTTTGTTGAAAGAAATTCTCATAGTAATTTTGTTGTAAACGGGCAGCATTTTCTAATACATGACACACAATTCAAAAGGAGAAAAATAATTTTTTTACATGGCTTTTACTGAAACTTGGTTTGCCCCAACTGAAGCCTATTTGAAGGCAATTTTTTGTAAAGTGTTAGACTATGAGCAGTCCTTCCTTTTCGGCTACGTCCAAAATTGATTTTAACATTCTACAGGGAGCTCTTGTTGTGATGCCAATGTGTCCCTGAAGCTCTATAGGTGAGGGACTCAAAACTGACTCATGGAGCTCCCATGGTGCATTGATGACATCTAAGAGCTCCTCTCAATTTTTTTTCCTCTGATTTTTCTTTTGACTCAGCAACAGACCTGGCCAAAATGGAGGGACTGCTTGTAGTCCAGTACAATGTACTGGATGATTCAAACCCTGCTTGTGCTTTGCTAATAATTATGAATTAATAGGTGACGCTCTCTCAGAAAGCTTTTCTCAACCTGCTCAGTTACTTGGATGTAACAGAAAGCAGCTTGTAGTTCTTCTAATGTGGACTCCTACATGTATCACTCCAAACTGCGAGAATGTACTAAAAAGCAGCAGTCTGAATTTGAAATTCAACAGAGACTAATGTTGCACAAACTCAGCTCAAATGAAACCAGTCAATATTTTTCTGTTTTGCACTCATCATTTGATGGACTGGATCTAAAAATGTTAGGACCTTTTGTTTAAATTTTCTGATAGGATTGATTTTCTTTGTTTTGTTGTAACCCTTGATTCCCAGCTTTGAAAGATGGTATAATGTTGTTGGTTATACCACTTGTTTTTGATGTTTATTTGTCACCTCTAGGCATAGTCATGATGATAGAGTTTTAATGTAATTTTTTCAGGTCATTCCTCTCTGCCCAAAGTGCCCTCAAGATGGAAGCTGTTTTGCTATCATGAAACCTGGTATCCTTTGAACATTTCAGCAAAACTGTATTTGACAGATTTGCACATTAATAGGAAGTTGCATATACATTTTTATATCAACAAAAGTGTGTTAGAAATCTGAATAGTACTTCACTTTTAAAATTCATATGAAACTACGTCTGGAATGGACCAAAGAAGAACATTTTCCTCATTCTTAATATCCAGGATATTGATGACATCTTCCATTTTTGCACAACTGTTTGTTAGATCAGTAACAAGCAATGCATTTATGTTCCGTGTATTGTTCAATGCTTTGCTTTCAGTAAACCTGAATTGATGCTATCTGGGGCAATTAAGATCTTGCCTCCAAAAGATCCTAATATTTATTAGGATGTAACTTTTAAGGGCTTAGAGTAAGGTTGAATTTTACCCCTTCAGTGTTGTGAACCTTGCTGTGGAACATTTGCATGCTCTTTACGAGAATTACACGAATCTGATTAATTCATACACTGCAGGTGCCACGGTGAATGTTTGTTTCAGAAGTGATTAGGCTAAAAGTAATAGTGAATGAGTTAACTTTTGCTCATGAGTATAGTTTTCAGAAAGTTACAGGTCTCTTGACTTGAGTATTTTAGATATAGTATTCTTTGGCGAGAGTCTTCCCTCTGAGTTCTATCACAACTTGGATGAGGATTCAGAAAAGGTATTTATATGTAAAATGATGGGTTAGTGTTTTTTGTGCAGAATATCACCTCATTTGTTTGTGGTAATATTAGTGAACTACCTTCTGCGATCAGAAGGTGGAGTTAATTGTGCTCTGTCTATTATAGCGATCCCCCGATAAACATCTCATATACATAAACAATAGCCTTCACTTAGCTCGAAAATATGCTTGCATATTTATTTGTGGACATTATGTGTTGCAAGAAGCAAACTGTTTTCCGGAAGAGAAACTCGTGGAAAGCTATGAAACCTGGCCTAAGTGAGCAGAGTTGAAGTTTCTTGTGTCACTGTTCTGTTCTGTTGTAGGCTGATCTTCTGATAGTCATTGGATCGTCCTTAAAAGTTCGACCAGTTGCTCTGATTCCAAGTAAGTTTTTGTACAATTTATCTGGTCTTGTATATTTATTGTTGACTTAATCGGAAGCCGGTGTAAGCGTAGGATTCCGTCCACGAAAAAAAGGAAATTAATTGAGGGTTAATTGTCTTTTTCCTTCTTATTAACCGCTCACGATTCCGTCCACAAAATGAGGAAATTGATTGAGGGATAACAGACTTTTCCTCCCTTTAAACCGCTCCCAGTTAAGTATTTGATAAACCATAATGTGTCTTGTAACGGCTCTTAGTTGTTGATGCTGACGATTTGTTTTTCATGTGCAAAGCGGTATTGCTTCCCATTGATTTCATTGTTATAGAGAGCAGGATCGCATCAACTGTATATTTTAGTGCACAGTAGTGGCGTTTGTGCTATGAGATGAAACCTTGAATTAAAACGATAGAAATTTTAATGATGTATGAATTTCTATCACTTAGTTAATGGTAGTTTTGTTTACCTTTGGCGCTGCTCACTATAGGTCACGTGTCACCTGAGGTTCCACAGGTGCTTATCAACAGAGAGCCGCTTAGACATCTGACATTTGATGTCGAGTTACTGGGCGACTGTGACGTCATCATCTCCGAGCTTTGTCAGCGGCTGGGCGGGACTTGGAGCGGTTTGTCAGATGATTTGGAAATTCCTTGTGTGAAAAGATTGCGATCTTTGCCAGCGAAGCTGACCTCAGATGAGGAACGTATCGAAGAGAGGGGTCACTCGTTGGGAGAGAAAGAAACTTCTGAGGTAAGTAGAATGGATAGGTGTTAGGGCGTTTTTGTTTGCGTGCTAAAGAATAACAAACAACAACAACAAAAACAGAATCAAAGTAACCAGGAAGACCAATTACAGGAAGTATTATTCCAAGGAGGCAACAAGAACTCAGATTAAACAACTGTCTCATTTACGAGAAATTGGGAGTGGCTAAGCTGCGATCGGTTTTAGTTTTCTTGAGCAATAAATGAAGCAAGCCCAGTACAATCCCGGAGTGCCTTTGCTCTACAAAGACCGGCTGGTCACGTGACAAATTATCGGTAAACTTGCTGCTAAAATTTGATGAAGTACAAAAATAGAAAGACTGTGGTGATTCATACCAGTCGATACCGGCCTAATCATCGAGTTTACAGGGAAAAAAGAAGTCACGTGATCAACCCTTTTGAAAATTGCTCGAACAAGATTGCTACAAATTGTATTGTTTGTTCTTATCAGCAGAAGCGGTTTCGTTTAATGGTTGCCTTTTCTTCAACCAACTCATTCAGTTTTGAGTTGGTGCTGCTAGTACAATTCAAATTCGCGGAAATACCCCTTAGGCAATTTTCCTCTCCCTTAACCCCCCCCCCCCCCCCATTTCTGTTTCTAACCTTACTTGAATCAGTTTTCCCTGATGATGGTTTCAAGTTAAAACTAAAGCATTGATTGATTACCAGACCATTGGCCGTCTTTTTTAGACGAAATGTTGATTTTTATACACTGCAGAATGTACCAAACAATGAAGACATATTGCCCGATGAAACGCAAGTGCGAGATACTGTAAGTACACCCAATCAACTTGACGGTCACGTGACTGTTGGTGAGAGTAGTGGCTGTAGTGACACTGGTAACGAGTTAAACCGAGAGCACCCGAGAGCTTCAGCTAGTGGAGAAGAAAATAAACATCCTACAAACAACGACACAAAATGTGAAGAAGGTATATTTTATATGCTCTTTATAGTTTTTTAGTCTTCTAGGGAAGATCCATGAAACTTAACACATAGCAGCAGTGAAAAGAACCGGATCGACTGTCCTCTGACCTAATATAGATTAACCGGGAGTAGTAGAAACTCCCTCATATTGAGTTTTTTAATTTTTGTTTATTTTCATAACTCATCATTTCCAGATTTTCCCCGGTTCATATTTAAACCGCCCAGCCGTTATATTTTCTACGGTGCCGAATTGATGGACTCGCCATTCCCTCTCCCCCCCTCCCCTCAAGAAACATGACGAGCTTCTTAGATAGTACAAGTGAGGAAAGTGACAGCGACAGTGTGGGAGAAATCGATGATAACGAAGCTGGTGGCGATCAGTTGGATGGAGTGATCGAGGATGTGATAGGAGTTAAAAAAAGTATTGACAATGGCCACCAGACAACAGCAAACAATGGCATGTCACCGATTAATCACAGCGTTGAAAGCGAAAATAACAGCGACGACGGTTTTGGAGAAGGTGATGTAGAGAAGGCACTGGAGACCAGCAACAGTGACGTGACCAAACAAACCTTGTCTTTAATCCTAGGTGGCTTGAGTAGCTACACATGCGCAAGCGAAGAGAATAGTCGATTGTCAGCTGGATCTGATGATCCGGCGTCTGCGGGCTCAGGTGATTCTTGCTGCTTGTTGAAAGCGGCGGAGACGCTGTTGACCGACCGCCCCTTCAGTGTGGTTACCATGGGAACAACGCTGAATAAAAGAGAGTGCCTCGAGATTGAACACCAACATCGGTTTAAGAAGACAAAAACAGGAGACTCTGAAGACAGCCAGAGGGGCGATGATTCAGTGCAGCCAGAAGCAGAAGTCAATGCTACTAATGATGACCATGTGTCGCATTCGTGAGCTAAATCGCTATTTATTCCACACAGAGTCTGAGTACTATTTTGTTGAAATACGCATCGTAATTATTTTATATATAAAGCGCATATTTCTTTTTGACCAAGAGTTTGTAAGTGAAATCTTTACCACACGGAAGTGTATGGCTCAGTTCTAGCTGTTATCATTCACACGGAAAATTATTCTGAGTAACTCCCCATTCTAGCGCATACAGAGAGAGGTAGTGTTCAACGCCGTTACCCGTCGCTTTAAAGTCTCAACGTAACTGATAATAGACGAAGATTTAGGTCGTAAGCAGTAACTCACTGACCACGCTTACTTCGTTTAACCTTGCAATTTTCTAGTCAATTACTCACGAGTTCATGTTATAGTTCGGCAACTTACTCGATAACCTTTTAATAAAGCCCCCACTAGAGACTCGTGAAATAGAGCTCCGTTTGTCTCAGTGGCGTGCCCCAATACTGACCTCAGTCTCTCGCGGGCGCGACTTTCTGCGCGTGCGTGTCACTTAAATCAAAAGCCTATTACGTATGCTACCTTTTGTTTGCTTTCAGCCAATTGTGCTGTTCTATAATTCACGTTTGGTTAAGGGCAGTGACGATGAGAGCTGACTGCATTCGCGGCCATCTTTTTCAGTAATATCTCATCTGATGTGTTTGCGCCAGTACTGAGTGCAACCTTTTTTCTAACTTTGTTCTTCCCCTGGGAAACCTTTGGGATTTGTTTACAAATTCCCACATCTCCGAACCATAACGATTTCCCTGGGTGATGCTTTCAGTAGGAATCACTGCTGCGTAATGAAGTAATTTCCACTCCGCGCAGTGGTAGTAGTATGCTCATGTGTAAATGGAAACAAATTTACAATATACAGCATTGTGCAATATTTATCTCTTACCCATTAGCTTGGGAATTATTAGATGAGTTTGAAGCTCGTTGTACAGAACATTAAAAGAGCCTTAAAAACTGTAAATCAGGTGAAGCTGGGATGGAGTTTGGTGTACAATTTTAGGTATGACTGCCGTTGCAAAGTATTTGTAATAAACTGTTCGGAACGGGGAATTAATGAGATTGTCTCGATGATTAGTGGACATTTTTACGGTTAAAAGTGTGGAAGAGGAGTTGACGTCATGACAGCAAGAGTTGCAGCGGGACCCTAGCCTGGGTACCCTGTGGGTCAGCCGGAAAAAAAATTTTCAATTATCGATGAGGATGTAGATTAATTAAAAGTAAGATTTCAGTCTGGTCCTTTTCATATGAAAAACCTTTGAGCTCAATTATCGAGATGTTGATAACAAAAGCCAAAAAACCATCGCAACGATTTCCTTATAACCTCAATCAGGAGCCCACAAACCCATGGTTTGGAACTGTTCGTCACGATCACAAGGTACCGCTAAAAAAAAAAATTTTGTTTCGCCTTTAATCTTTATTTTTGCAGCAGTTATGACCTTTACACATAGTAGTGAAGAAATACAGTGACAATGACAATGACAAATCGTGTTATTTTCTCAAATTAAAAACCAAGACTTAAAGCTACAGTAAATTATGCCATCCCATTCAGCTATGAGCGTTCGTTGAGCTTTGTACGGTTTGCTTCGTTCAACTATTTTATCTTTAAAGTTACTTCAGGTGACATCTGCGGTGTTTTTTTTTTTATTTTATAGATATAAATTTTACCCAACTATTTTTTAGTCTACTGTTCAAATTAACGTTTTCTGTCTTTTCAAACCGATAACAATGAGATTCGCAAGTAAATTTAACAATTCAACAACGAATAAAAGGCAGAAATAACGAAATATCAGAGGAGTTTTTAAAAGTTTTGCTCAAAGTTTAAAGTACTTTCAGATGTTCTCATCCTTAAATCGTCACCGTTTTCTTCAAAGCAAACACTGTTGTGACAATTTAAACATCCCATGCCTGTAATAAGAGTCGTTAAGAGTGGTTAAGTCACATAAGGAACCTCTTCAGTAAGGAAGTTTTTTAGTTTCCTTTCCATTGATAACGAGCGAAGGGTTATTGGCCTTTTTTCCGGACGAGGATAAGCTGACGAGGTGTACAATAACTGGCTCACTAGCTACTGAAAAACATGAATACAGTCATCATCAACGACATACAAGTTGCCGGTAGTAGATGCAGCTATTGAAATTCCTTTCTGTTCGACCTCTATTTTGTAAAGAAAGTTGCCTTCCACTGTGAACACCTTAAGCGTCCTATTATGATCCTCACTCACAATCAGGTTGTCAAACTTGTCGATGACAAGGCCAACTGGTCTCGTCAACCGTCCCTCGGCGGATCCCTCACCACTAATATCATACAGAAACACTCCATCTTTGTTGAACGTTTTGACGCATGCATCTCGCCAACCATAGGACACAAAGAACATGTCCTGATGATAAACAGAAAACCGCGGGAATTTTAGAAAGTGTAGATCACTGGAGGACTGTAATAATTTTGTACCATCAGGGGAGAGGACGTTTACTGAACTGTTACCCCAGTCACAAACGATTATGCTTCCATCGTGCGAAACAGACACCGCCACCGGCCATGTCAGGTACCCTTGGCCGATTTCTTTAATTGAATCTCCGCTTTTGTCAATCAAGCACAATTTTCTGTTGAAGTTGGAAAGCAGAATTGCAACGAAACTGCCATTTATGGTGAAGTCCATGGAAAGTATGATGTCCTCCAACCAAAAATGCCTTACGAATGAATGATCAGCACTGAGTATTAGCATGAATTTATCCTGTATGAATGCGATCTCGTTAGTCTCCTTGTTAACCGCAAAAGCAGAGGAAAACGACCCTTCATCCACTGTTATATCAAACGCACGTTTGTATTGATACGGAGACATCTCTACACTCCAGGGACTGCCAGTCAGCGGCTGACCATTCACTGTAATTGTTACGCTGTGCGGACCTACAATATCTGATGTGAAGCTCACAGTGTAGTTACCATTCAGATTGTCTTCAATCTTCTTTTTTACAAAGTTTCCTGACCAAGTCTGAATTCTTACATCAACTTGGTTGTCTGCCTCATAAAAAAGATTTCCTTTCGCATCCTTCGTCGAAAACAAGATTTTTATGTTTCTTCCAGCCTCTGCTTTGAACACATCTGTTGACAGGAGAAAAGAAAAGAACTCACTATTCCGTTTTTGTTTTTATTACGCGCATGTATATCTTAAACGATAACATTTGAAAGTTTTTCTTTAAATAGGTGACTATTGCTTACAGTTACGAATTGCCCTTTGATTGTTCGGCTTGTGGTAAAACTGCATGGTGTAAGCTGATTGGTCAGTTTAGTCGAGTGACGAGAAAAGGTGATGTCAACAATCAACTTGCTGAACATGATCGACTTATGAACCACGGTATTGACTGGAACTCTGCGCAGCGCTAATTATTTTCAACAATTGAATCTGGAAAGCTGGTTTACAGACTCTCCTGAACAGGTGTCAATTATTATCGGCTCCATACAAATGACTTATGTACGATATTAACATCTAAAATGAACCGAACAGCACGACCTAACTGTACCGACGGATCGAAACTAACCAACACGACTGACTTACGATAAGTCGTGATTGAGACTTACATCCAATAACATCGCGGCTAAAGTGACGTCATTAGCTGAGTTTACACGCACCGGACTTAAAACTCAGAATTAAAGTTATCTGTAGTAACGACCAAACCTGAACAATTTCATCACGAGTTTGTCTATAGTGTGAAAACGGCAAAACGAATGGGACACGCACCAAAACTTCTCAAATTGTTTACCAGTCCAGAAAAGTGAGCTCGAAAATTTGAGCATTGTGCTTTTGAGCGTCACCTCAGAAAAAATGGCATTACGCTCATAATTTTTCATTATGATCCTTTGATAATTATTTATTCAATTGTCGAGCTTTTGAGAGACTTAAACCTACTCCTTCCCCCCACCCCTCCCCCCCTTCCACTCCTACCATTAAAGGTAAAACTTACTAAGGATGAAACTATGGCCTAAAGAATCTCAGGACAGATCATTTCGCCCGATTAACTCAAAGTGCAAGTAAAAGCAGCAGGTTCACTGCTGACAACAATCAGGCTACAGATTGTTCAGCTGTAACATCATCGAAATTAGTTTAGTCACTATGCCGGCATTATGCTCGATGCTCTGGCTATAGCTCTATGTTCCAAACTATGCCGGCATAATTTATCTGACCCTCGTGTTAACCAACGCTAAGATATCGTGATATCCCATTAGGCAATTTTATCAAATAAGGACAAAAGAAGGCACAAAATATGCGACGGTATTACATTGTAGAGCAAAGATATTAACTCAAGGCAGAGAAATAAAATTACTGCACCTGACGGTCCAGACTTTAAATAGGACGAACTTTCAAGTGACATAAATTTTTTTGTTCCCATACAAGTTACTAAATGGTTTCGTTTGTGCTGATTTCGTCTTTCACGGGCGCGCGCCCTATACAATAGATACGATTCTCAGATAATGACGTAGTATGTCTTTGAAAACTAGGTTCAAAGCCAAAATACGAGCAAATGAAATAGATGTTGATTAATAAATCTTTCATGCGACTAAAATACGAGCGCACATTTTCCTCATTGCCCTTATTGAATGTTAAACAATAGAATAAGGTCTGCAAAGAACCACAGCCCACCCCAGATATTGCACGCAGATTTGAACAAACAGAATTCACTAAAAACGAATTACAATAGTTACCCTGCGTTTCCTCGGCCTGAAAAGAATATGTCGGCGGTGTGAGGTCGTACTTTTTTACGTCTAACTTCGGCCCATTCTCAAAAAAGTCTCTAAGGTCTGAAAGATGAACAGGTTCTTCATCAGTGTAGCCTGCAATGTAGCCGGTGTACATGGGAAAAAAATTTGCAACATTTCAGTATAACTTTAGGAAGGAACAAAAATCAAGGTCAGACAAGCAGCTCGTTCTTCATCAGCGTTCCAAGTTAACATTTCTGTCCAGCGCCTCAAGTTCTATCAGGAATTCTCCGCAGGACCTCTAACCTTTAAAACTGGTTTATTCAATATCATGATTTTGTTGTTTACTGTTATTAAGCAAAATCGTTGTTTCCCGTTATTGCCATCCTTAATAGCTTAGCCACTCTTACATCATGGAGACATCCACCACTTGAGAGCATATTAAACGGTCAAGTCGAGAGTGGTCGAACAAGGCCTATTTCTTTTAATTGAGATCAATAACTTAATCACTTTTTGAGGCTCTGGTCTCTAGAATGCGGTGGTCAAATGTCTGCGCACGTGCAAACGTTTTAATTACTAGGTAGAGTGCTTTCAGGCTGTCAGAACCAAGTTATCCGGCTCACAAAAGTTACAGAAAACCCTTAACCTCCACTTTATCTGAGCATTGTTCTTCTTTAGGTATATCTTTCATTACTCACCCCAACTCCTCCATTCAGCGGTTGGCCGTCTTATCGAAGTTGAAGCGGAAGGCATCTTAGCATTGACAGGTGTTTCTGATCGGTTAGAGAAAGAAATGGCTATGAGAGAAGCGGTCATTTCGGCAAATTATAAAAGATGACATTCGGGCTTCAGCTCCTTGTAAAAATTACGGGTGGTGTGCATGTGTTTCTGTTTTAGTGCCTTCGTGAGATCGAACAAATCAATTAGACGAGAAGCATTCGGGGAAACTCTTCAAGATTTTTATTTTTCTTCCAGCCTCTGCTTTGAACACATCTGTTAATTGGAGAAAAGAAAAGAACTCGCTATTCCGTTTTTGTTTTTTTACTTGCGTGTATGTCTTGAACGATAACATTTGAAAGTTTTTCTTTAAATAGGTGACTCTTGCTTACAGCCACGAATTGCCCTTTGATTGTTCGGCATGTGGTAAAACTGCATGGTGTAAGCTGATTTGTCAGTTTAGCCGAGTGACAAGAAAAGGTGATGTCAACAATCAACTTGCTGAACATCATCGACTTACGAACCATGCTATTGACTGGAACTCTGCACAGCACTAATTACTTTCAACGACTGAATCTGAAAAGCTGGTATACAGACTCCCCTAAACAGGTGTCAATTACTATCGGTTTCATACAAACGACTTATGTACGATATTTACATCTAAAACGATCCGAACAGTACCACCTAACTGTACCGACGTATCGAAACTGACCAATCACGACTGACTTACGCCAATTGAGTCTTAAAGCCAATAACATCACGGCTAAAGTGACGTTATTGGCTGAGTTTACACGAACCGGACTTTAAACTCAGAATTAAAGTTATCCGCAGTGAAGACCAAACCTGAACAATTTCATCACGAGTTTGTCTATAATGTGAAAACGGCAAAACGAATGGAACACGTACCAAAACTTCTCAGATTGTTTACCAGTCCAGAAAAGTGTGCACGAAAATTTGAGCATTGTGCTTTTGAGCGTCACCTCAGAAAAAATGGCATTACGCTCATAATTTTTCATCATGCTCCTTTGAAAATTATTAATTCAATTTTTGAGCTTTTGAGAGACTTCAACCTACTCCTTCCCCACACCCCTCCCCCCCCTTCCACTCCTGCCATTAAAGGTAAAACTTTCTAAGGATGAAACTATGGCCTAAAGAATCTCAGGACACATCATTTCGCCCGATTAACTCAAAGTGCAAGTAAAAGGAGCAGGTTCACTGCCAACAGCAATCAGGCTACAGATTGTTCAGCTGTAACATCATCGAAATCAGTTTAGTCACTATGCCGGCATTATGCTCGATGCACTGGCTATAGCTCTATGCTCCAAACTATGCCGGCATAATTTATCTGACCCTCGTTTTAACCAACGCTAAGACATCGTGATATCCCACTAGGCAATTTTATCAAACAAGGGCAAAAGAAGGCACAAAATATGCGACGGTATTACATTGATCAGATAATGCCGTAGATTGTTGTTGAAAACTAGGTTCAAAGTCAAAATACGAGCAAATGAAATAGTTGTTGACTAAGAAATCCTTCATGCGACTAAAATACGAGCGCACATTTTCCTCATCGCCCTTATTGAATGTTAAACAATAGAATAAGGTCTGCAAAGAACTACAGCCCATCCCAGATATTGAAAGCAGATTTGAATAAACAGAATTCCCAAAAAATGGATTACAATGGTTACCCTGTGTTTCCTCGGCCAGAAAAGAATATGTCGGCGGTATAAGGTCGTGCTTTTTTACGGCTAACTTCGGCCACTCCTTAAGAAAGTCTTCTAGTCCTGAAATATGAACAGGTCCTTCATCAGTGTAGTGAACAAGGGAAAAAATTGTAACATTTCAACAAAACTTTAGGAATGAACAAAAATCAAGGTCAGACAAGCAGCTCGTTCTTCATCAGCGTTCCAAGTTAACATTTCTGTCCAGCATCTCAAGTTCTATCAGGAATTCTCTGCAGGACCTCTAAGCTTTAAAACTGGTTTATTCAATATCGTGATTTTCTTGTTCACTGTTATTACGAAAAATCGTTGTTTCCCGTTATTGCCATCCTTAATAGCTTAGCCACTCTTGCATCATGGAGAAATCCACCACTTGAGAGCATATTAAACGGTCAAGTCGAGAGTGTTCAAACAAGCCCTATTTTTCATCTCTTAATTGAGATTAATAACTTAAACACTATTGAGGCTCCGGTCTCTAGAATGCGGAGGTCAAATGTCTGTGCACGTGCAAACGCTTTAACTACTGGGTAGAGTGCTTTCAGGCTGTCGGAACCAAGTTATGCGGCTCACAAAAGTTACAAATAACCCTTATTAACCTCCACTTTTTCTGGACCTTTCTTTGAGCATTGTTCTTCTTTATGTATATCTTTCATTACTCAATCAAAATCCCTTCAGGATTTTCAGCGGTTGGCCATCCTTTCGAAGTTGGAGCGAAAGGCATCCCAACAGTGACAGATGTTACTGATCGCTTAGAGAAAAAAATGGCAATGAGAGAAGCAGTCATTTCGGCAAAAAGATGACATTCGAGCTTCAGCTCTTTGTAAAAATTACGGGTGGCGTGCGTGTGTTTCTGTTTTAGTGCCTCCGTGAACAAATCAATTAGACGAGAAGCATTCAGGGAAACTCCACTGGGAGCCGAGGATTAACCGATAAAAGGTTCGAAAAATAAAAATGTGTATCTTGATTGCTCGAAGGCAAGATAGGTACTAATTTAGTGGTGTATTACAAAAAAAAAGCAAAATCAATAAAAGCGATGATTTACTTTCATCTTCATCTCCTGAAGAATTATCCCTTCTTCTATCCAATTCCCTTTCTGAACCATAAGTGCTGTCGGTGGAAAACGGACTAAGATTAGGCGTATGTAGTGTATCTCTGCGAGTTTCTGTTGAAAAAGATATGTTCAAGTTGATATTAGAACCGTTAGGATTAAAGTAAAGAACTACAAGCATTTCAGAAGCTTCTGCATTACATGTAGCTATGTCGTTGTGCAAACACTCATAAAAGATATAGGATCCTTGTAGTGCCTTAGGCGTAGTTTCCGTCACCAAATTAGAAATAACCTAGCACACATTCAAATAATGTGATAAAGATGATGCCTTTTTTTATTGGAAAAGAAAATTAAGACTCCACGCACTCTCAGTTGATTAGTCAAGAATTCTTACGTCTAGTATACCGATATACTCATAGAAAACCAGGAGATTGGATATCAAGATTATTTTTTGAAAGCAACGCTTAGTTTCTTACCAGGGGTTTTGGCGTGATAATTCGCACGGAATGTTGGACTAACCAGTAAAAGGTTATAACTTCCTCGCCTCCTAAACTTGCCCTGTTTCCTTGTTCCAGCAATTCGTGCGTCAAAAGAGGAGATTACTTTGAGAAAGGCGTTGTTATTGCAGATTTATTATCCAACTGCACAAAGTAGAGTACAAATAACACGCGAACAGAGTACAAATATCCTGCGATATGGTACGGTTACCTGGACAGTTTGTTACTTTGTACTGTGAAAAAAACCTTTTCAACCAGTTGGCTGCACGCGCTACCCTTCTCTATCCGCTTTGCTTTCCCTCCTTATGAGAAATTACCAGAAAGGCTTAGCAGAAAAAAAAGCAGTTGGATAATAAATAACTTAATAGAAGTTTTGGTATGTAGTATCTCTGAGCATTTTTGCTCGTTGTTTGTATTTTGACTCGCTGATTACAATAGTTACCCTGCGTTTCCTTGGCAAAAGGAAAAGGAGATGTCGGCCGTCTAATGTTGTGCTTTTTTACGGGTAACTTCGGCGGCCTGCTGAGAGGGTCTTCTATGCGAATCAGCCCTATTAGGCGCAAGAGGCCTGAAATATGAACAGGTCCTTCATCAGTGTTTCCCGTAATTACCATCCTTAATAGCTTAATTAGCCACTCTTACATCATGGAGACATCCACCACTTGAGAGCATATTAAACGGTCAAGTCGAAAGTGTTCAAACGATCCCTATTTTCACCTCTTAATTGAGATTAATAACTTAAACACTATTGAGGCTCCGGTCCCTAGAATGGGGGGGTCAGATTTCTGCGCACGTGCAAACGTTTAAATTACTGGGTAGAGTGCTTTCAGGCTGTCGGAACCGAGTTATCCGGCTCACAAAAGCTACAGAAAACCCTCAACCTCCACTTTTTCGGGACCTTTTTTTGAGCATTGTTCTTCTCTATGTGTATCTTTCATTACTCAACCAAAATTCCTTCAGGATTTTCAGCGGTTGGCCATCCTTTCGAAGTTGGAGCGAAAGGCATCCCAACAGTGACAGATGTTACTGATCGCTTAGAGAAAAAAATGGCAATGAGAGAAGCAGTCATTTCGGCAAAAAGATGACATTCGAGCTTCAGCTCTTTGTAAAAATTACGGGTGGCGTGCGTGTGTTTCTGTTTTAGTGCCTCCGTGAACAAATCAATTAGACGAGAAGCATTCGGGGAAACTCCACTGGGAGCCGAGGATTAACCGATAAAAGGTTTGAAAAATAAAATGTGTATCTTGATTGCTCGAAGGCAAGATAGGTACTAATTTAGTGGTGTATTACAAAACAAAAGCAAAATCAATAAAAGCGATGATTTACTTTCATCTTCATCTCCTGAAGAATTATCCCCTCTGCTATCCAATTCCCTTTCTGAACCATAACTGCTGTAATCCAAACGCAGACTGCGTGACCTTGAAAAAGTAAGCGTAGGTGGTGTATCTCTGCGAGCTTCTGTTGAAAAAGATATGTTCAAGTTGATATTAGAACCGTTAGGATTAAAATAAAGAACTATAAGCATTTCGAAGCTCCTGCATTACATGTAGCTATGTTGTAGTGCAAACACTCATAAAAGATATAGGATCCTTGTAGTGCTCCAGGCGTAATTTCCGTCACCAAATTAGAAATAACCTAGCACACCTTCAAATAATGTGATGAAGATGATGCCTTTTTTTATTGGAAAAGAAAATTAAGACTCCACGCACTCTCAGTTGATTAATCAAGAATTCTTACGTCTAGTATACCGATATACTCATAGAAAACCAGGAGATTAGATATCAAGATTATTTTTTGGAAAGCAACGCTTAGTTTCTTCCCAGGGGTTTTGGCGTGATAATTCGCACGGAATGTTGGACTAACCAGTAAAAGGTTATAAAATAAAATGTGTATCTTGATTGCTTGAAGGCAAGATAGGTACTAATTTAGTGGTGTATTACAAAACAAAAGCAAAATCAATAAAAGCGATGATTTACTTTCATCTTCATCTCCTGAAGAATTATCCCCTCTTCTACCCAATTCCCTTTCTGAACCGTAACTGCTGTCGATCGAAGGAATTCGTGTATCTCCGCAAATTTCTGTTGAAAAAGATATGTTCAAGTTGATATTAGAACCGTTAGGATTAAATTAAAGAACTACAAGCATTTCAGAAGCTTCTGCATTACATGTAGCTATGTTGTAGTGCAAACACTCCTAAAAGATATAGGATCCTTGTAGTGCTCAAGGCGCAGTTTCCGTCACCAAATTAGAAATAACCTAGCACACCTTCAAATAATGTGATGAAGATGATGCCCTTTTTAATTGGAAAAGAAAATTAAGACTCCACGCACTCTCAGTTGATTAGTCAAGAATTCTTACGTCTAGTATACCGATATACTCATAGAAAACCAGGAGATTAGATATCAAGATTATTTTTTGGAAAGCAACGCTTAGTTTCTTCCCAGGGGTTTTGGCGTGATAATTCGCACGGAATGTTGGACTAACCAGTAAAAGGTTATAAAATAAAATGTGTATCTTGATTGCTCGAAGGCAAGATAGGTACTAATTTAGTGGTGTATTACAAAACAAAAGCAAAATCAATAAAAGCGATGATTTACTTTCATCTTCATCTCCTGAAGAATTATCCCCTCTGCTATCCAATTCCCTTTCTGAACCATAACTGCTGTAATCCAAACGCAGACTGCGTGACCTTGAAAAAGTAAGCGTAGGTGGTGTATCTCTGCGAGCTTCTGTTGAAAAAGATATGTTCAAGTTGATATTAGAACCGTTAGGATTAAAATAAAGAACTATAAGCATTTCGAAGCTCCTGCATTACATGTAGCTATGTTGTAGTGCAAACACTCATAAAAGATATAGGATCCTTGTAGTGCTCCAGGCGTAATTTCCGTCACCAAATTAGAAATAACCTAGCACACCTTCAAATAATGTGATGAAGATGATGCCTTTTTTTATTGGAAAAGAAAATTAAGACTCCACGCACTCTCAGTTGATTAATCAAGAATTCTTACGTCTAGTATACCGATATACTCATAGAAAACCAGGAGATTAGATATCAAGATTATTTTTTGGAAAGCAACGCTTAGTTTCTTCCCAGGGGTTTTGGCGTGATAATTCGCACGGAATGTTGGACTAACCAGTAAAAGGTTATAAAATAAAATGTGTATCTTGATTGCTTGAAGGCAAGATAGGTACTAATTTAGTGGTGTATTACAAAACAAAAGCAAAATCAATAAAAGCGATGATTTACTTTCATCTTCATCTCCTGAAGAATTATCCCTCTTCTACCCAATTCCTTTCTGAACCGTAACTGCTGTCGATCGAAGGAATTCGTGTATCTCCGCAAATTTCTGTTGAAAAAGATATGTTCAAGTTGATATTAGAACCGTTAGGATTAAATTAAAGAACTACAAGCATTTCAGAAGCTTCTGCATTACATGTAGCTATGTTGTAGTGCAAACACTCCTAAAAGATATAGGATCCTTGTAGTGCTCAAGGCGCAGTTTCCGTCACCAAATTAGAAATAACCTAGCACACCTTCAAATAATGTGATGAAGATGATGCCCTTTTTAATTGGAAAAGAAAATTAAGACTCCACGCACTCTCAGTTGATTAGTCAAGAATTCTTACGTCTAGTATACCGATATACTCATAGAAAACCAGGAGATTGGATATCAAGATTAATTTTTTGAAAGCAACGCTTAGTTTCTTCCCAGGGGTTTTGGCGTGATAATTCGCACGGAATGTTGGACTAACCAGTAAAAGGTTATAACTTCCTCGCCTCCTAAACTTGCCCTGTTTCCTTGTTCCAGCAATTCGTGCGTCAAAAGAGGAGACTACTTTGAGAAAGGTGTTGTTTTGCAGATTCATTATCCAACTGCACAAAGTAGAGTACAAATAACACGCGAACAGAGTACAAATATCCCGCGATACTGTACGGTTACCTGGACAGTTTGTTACTTTGTACTGTGAAAAAAACCTTTTCAACCAGTCGGCTGCACGCGCTACCCTTCTCTATCCGCTTTGCTTTCCCGCCTTATGAGAAATTAGCAGAAAGACTCAGCAGAAAAAAAAGCAGTTGGATAATAAATAACTTATTAGACGCTTTGGTATGTAGTATCGCTGAGCATTTTTGCTCGTTGTTTGCATTTTGACTCGCCCTACGGGCTCGACAAAATACGGCAGAATCCATAAAAATACTCAGCGATACTACACACAAAAACGTCTCATTAGATATATCTATTTGACTTTTGCTTTTTGGAATGTAACAGGAGTGTTAATGCAGATTTTTCTTTTGTCTATTTCAAACAATTGTTTATTTTTCTTTTTTTTTTTTTTTATATAATTAAAAGAAAGTCACTGCAAAAAGTACGAAATTCGGAATACTCTTTATTCACTTGGCAATTTTCTCAAAACCTTTTGACACAGCCAGGATTACGAGGTTAGACTTATGAAATAAGTATTGAATCATCCACGTTTTCGTAGAGACAAATCACAAGGGACATCATTTTTTGCGCCTAGCTCTGGGTCGGAGGAGACAGGCGAAAAAGCGGACGAACGACAAACAGCGGGTCTGGAACAGGCTATGGACTATGGACAGTGACTTGTCCCTAGTCGTCTTTTCCTTTTATAGGCAGACGGTGATAACAGCTTACTTATTTTTAGAGGGGTAGGATTTAAAAGTCAATTTGGGGAAGAGATGAATCATGATGCGATAACTTTGCTTTACGCCTCCTTTATATATTTATAAATATGATACATATGCTATTTTCGGTGGGCATCCACAACTTTTTATGTGGGCCTCCACCGGTCCAAATGCATTCTAATACTCAGAATTGGTGTTTTCATTATTACCCTGCCTTGTGGTCGTAACGTTCTCCAACTGAAATAAGCATGTGCACCATCTGAGGGCGGATAATATAAATTAAAGCCACAGCTATGCCATCAAATATTTTCATTCAAAATCATGTTGGAAGAACATGTTTTACTGTTTAGCCGCCTTTTCCAACATTAAATCTTAATGTATTTCGATGTTTGATCCAGATCAAACATTTTCATCGAACATTTTGCATCACGAGTAAATATTTGATCAATTAGCCACCCGAAGTTTTGTGGAACACACACGATATTGAACGAAAATGTTTGATTGTTTAACGGGGCTTAAGATTGTCGTGCATGATTTTTTTACCATATGTTTGATCTTAAATGTTTCGCGGAAAAACTCTAAATAAATGACTTGTTTAGGTTTTATTTATTTGCTAAGCTTTGTCAGACTGATTCTAAGAAAGATGTGATATCAATTAGTCTACTGTAATAGGCAGGTAGTAAGTGTGGAAAAATTTTAAGCAACACGACAAATTTAATAATTATCTTTATCCTAGAAAATGAATTGTGCTATTTCATACCATCATCTGGCTGATCGGCGACATGTCTACGCTGTTGAATTTCTAGATCTCTTTCCTCCTGTTCTCCGTAGACCTTCGAAATCCTGTCGATTTTACTTTCCAGAGTTTCAATTTTCTCTCGCTGAAATTTAATTTCTGCTGTTTTCATTGAAGACAGTACAGCTGCCGCCTCATTTTCTTTAGGTTTTATATAGACGACAGAATCTGAGTTCCTTCTATTTATTTCTCTTTGACGACCATACTCCTCATCTCTAAAGACTGGAAACCAAAATGAAAAGCAAACAAACAAACACAAAATAAGCCATCAAAAACTATCCGATTTTTGTCATTAGATTTTATTGGCTCCAATCATGGTCAACGTCTTGGGACAAAATCATAACAACTTAGCCTCTTCTTGACAACCTTCCAATTTTTCCAAGTTTTGCGGGAGGGAAGACTTTGCACACCTGTTATATGTAGTTTCAATGGTGTTCGAGGTGCTTTGATCATTGGTGTTTATGCAATGTAATTGACGTTAATAAAGTAAGCTCCCTCGTCTTTTCACCAGAGTGGAGCTAAACCATAAATGCCCCTTGCTTGAGGAGGATAGTCCTTGGTTGTATCTGGCCTTTAAGTGTTTTAAGAAAAGCCTTTATATCTTCGTTAAACACGGCAAATCACTGTATGAGAGACCATCGAAACTACAATACAGATATTGAAATACTTACCTTGCACCTCCATCACAAAATCCAAACAAGCGTCTTGATATTCCTGCTTATTAATATGTACAGTCACAATCACATCTTCACCATCTGCCAGTTGTTTTATTTCTTCTGTCACCAGAAAGTCTTGTACTTTAGTCTGTAGTGTGTTATCTTGGTATTGTTCCCATAGTAACTGGAGGGCTGCTCTATCTTCTGCCTGGACTGTAAAGCATAAGGACCCATTCCCTATCGCCCTTAAGTAGTTGGCTGCTGGAAGGATTGCTTCGTTAATGAAATTTGCAAATTGTTGGACATCGTTATCGCCTCTGGAGTATTTATACAGGACAACACCAGCACCAACTGCCACCACCACGCCACCGACAGTCTCAAAATTACAATGAACATTTACAGCTGTTCGAGAGATAACAAACAAAGTTGATAAATGGTTGAAATTTTCTGCAAATCAGAGATGGGTCATGCTTTTTCGATAATCGTATAGTTATATTTTACATTATCCTGTGGTTGGAGGGTGGTTGAAAGTCCAAGGCAGCACGCTTAGGAGGGGCTGCAAAAACCTGAGGGCTAGGTTTTCGCTTGAAGGCGGGCATCGCAGGCTGGAAGGGGCTTGTCTTATTCACTGAGGTTGAAGTTGGGTTGCAAATTACTCTGCATGGAAAGCTGAGGGAGTGGTGAGGGTAGGTTTTGTGACTTATCAATCGTGGGGGATTTGCGTGTTTCACGAAAGTTAACATCTTGGTTGAGTTCTTAGCAGGCTGGATTTGTTCTGGACTTTGTCCATTGATTTATAGTCAGATATATATAGATGAGGGGGTAGAGTCTTCCTTGGCATAAAGTGCTCAATGCTTTTTTTTTTTTAATTTATTCCTCCAATCCTAGCTGATACATAGTTATGTAAATATAACGTGATATAACATAGTTTCAGATAAAGATTACAAGGAAAAAATGCGTAGAACAGAAACTACAACACTTAAATTGAATTACATTGTATATTGAAGGAGAGGAGAGGGGTACATCTAGAAAACTAATATTGTGCCCCTTAAAGTTACGTATAACAAAGGACTTGAGATTTTTGATAAAAAAGTAAAGGAAATGACAAAATAGCTCAGAAAATTATACAAGAGATAATGTTTCATTAGTATCGAGCAAGGTACCAGCGCAAAAGTGCTTTTCTAAACAATTTTTTAGATGGTTTGTCCCTAATGGATTGCGGAATATCGTGCCAAAAGAAACTTCCAACAATGCTAGGGCAAAATCTCCTAAGATTAGTTCGAAATAAAGGTATTGCAACTTGATTGGATGATGCACTGCGGGAACGGTAATTATGTAATTCAGATACTAATGAAACAGGTATATTAAGAAACTTTTAATGGTGGAAATAATCATAAAATCAGTTTAACAATATCAGGAAATTTCAGAAGGCCTAAGGATGTGTAGTGTGGAGTTATTGCTTCCATTAAAGGAACATCATTTATAACACGAACTGCTTTGTTTTGTAACTTTACGATTTGAGAGCGTTATAATTATTTCCCCAAAGTGTACAAGCATAAGTGAGGTAAGGATAAATAAGAGAATAATACACACTAATAAGTGTTGCTTTTGATACATAATGCTTCAACTTAACCATTATATTTATATTTTTGCTAATTTTGCCACATATGTAGTCAATATGGTCATGCCAAGCAAGGTGACAATCAATGTACACACCAAGATATTTTACACAAAAGGACTTTTCTAAATGAACATTTGCTACAGTTAATGGTGGATAAAGATTTTAGCTTTATTTTGACGAGGCATAAAAATAAGAAACTTAGGTTTTTGTCAAATTTAAGGTCAATTTATTACCGCATAACCATTCGTAGACAGCTGGTAAATGATTGTTAATTTCACGCAATAAACTGTCAAGATCACTTCCATGAGCAGTTAAAGATGTATCGTCAGCATATAATCTAGTAGAAAAAAGGTGGAAGACTTTGGAAGGTCATTAATGAAAATAGTAAACAGCAAAGGTCCTAGTAACGATCCTTGAGGCACACCAATGGAGATAAAACGTGTATCAGAAGCAACACCATTTGCATGCACCTGTTGTTTCCTGTTACTTAAGTCAGATCGAAACCAGTTGTATTCACTTTGTTGTAATCCATAAGTTTATTAAGTAATATTTGATGGTTTACTGTATCGAATGCTTTACTAAGTCTAAGAATAAAGAAACCACATAAAGTCCTTTATCAAGAGAAGAAGTAATTTATTCAATAAGGTCAATTAGACAATCAGAGGTTGTAAAACCTGGTCTAAATCCATATTGTTTTGAGGAAATCATGTTATTATTCGTAAAATAGAATATCAGCTGATTAATAATTCATCTCTCAAATATTTTACTTATGGAAGAGAGAACTGAGATAGGTCGATAATTACTACATGCAAAACGAGAGCCTTGCTTAAAAACTGGAACAACCTTAGCAAGTTTCATATTATCAGGAAAAATACCTTGGTTGATGGAAAGATTAAAAATAAATGTTAGGGGACGGTATATTTGTAGTGCTGCAGTTTTTAATAACAGTGGATGAATCTTGTCAATCCCAAATGAATTGTTTGTATCAAGACTTCCCAGTAATAAGAATACCTCTATTTCAGAGACTTCTGTGAAGCGAAATTGTTTTTGTTTCTGAGAGAGATAAGAGGTTGCACTCTTATCAGATTTAGGCAGTTGTGCCGCTAGTGTAGAAGGGACATTACAAAAAAATTCGTTAAGGCAGTTGGAGATAGTTAAAGGTTGTTCATAACGTTGATTATCCACTTGTAGTTTTTCTATGTGAGAACTTGGCCGCTTCTTATTTATCAATAAATTGATGTTATTCCATATCTTTTTCGTGTTATCTGATT